TTATTTAATAATGTTAACAATGTTGTAAATTATTAAAAAAATTAATAAAAAAACATGCTTGACACAAATCAATAGAATAGTATAAATTGTAAATACAATTATTTTAAATAAATTTGAAACAAAAAAACACACAAAAAATGAAAATATCTGTAAAGTAAAATAAGCATACTTCTTACATATATCTAACACTATGGTTTGATATGTATATTTTATACCTGCCTACCCCTCTAAGGTACAAGTATATGACCTGTCCTGACTTCCTCTTCGATTAAATCCTCGATAATTCTTTGTTACCTTAATTTTATTTACATGCGACTCAAAGGGTAAGGTCTTCGAAACCGCTGAGTCGACAGATTTATTGTACAACGCCCATAAATAGGATTTCGCGAAGTTTAAAGGTCAGTAACACACTGGCAATATTAATGTTTTAATTAAAAAAAAAAACTAAGTAACATTAAAAATGGAAAATTTTAGATGGATTGTTTATTGTTTGTTTACAGCCTAAATAGCTAGACGGATATTGATAAAATTTAGTACAGATGTAGAACATGGTCTGGCAGAGCGCATAGACTAATTACGTTTTTTTAACTCCGGACAGAGTCGCAGGCGAAAGCTAGTCACATTTAAATATAAAAAAGTCTACTTGTATTTGTTTGGACTATCGAAAAAGTCAAACTAAATGTGGGAGCTCACTAGTGCCCTCACCATCTTCTGAAAGAACTATTTAACAACGCTTCTTTCACCGGTTCACATATTTGCCTAAAAACTAGGGATGTGCAAATTCAATTATCGATTTAATTCGATTCGAACGCCAGCGCACACCCCTGCTATAAACTTATTCAAAGGACAAAAAAATGAAATGGTATTTAATATTTTTTAAGGCAAAAAATCATATTTCAATTTACGTTATTTACGTTGAATATATTAATATTCATAATTGACGTCACTTTAGTGTCAATGTCATGGCAAAGTTTGAAAAACAACATTATTTACTACGGTAAGACGTAAGTAATTTATTGAACAATTGTAAAACTTAAAAGAACGTTTGCTGTAATACCACTGTAAAGGACGATAACTGAAACGACATTTAAGTATGTAACAGCGTCTGAAATGATAATGTCATGCTAAAAGTCAAATTCCATTAAAATTTTGACGCTTATCAGATTGTAAGCGGGGCTTACGAAGCGAAGTGTAAGAAGTTCGTTACAATATTTGACCGTAAGTCAATTTAAAAAGTGTTTTTTAATTATTATATTATATAATGTAATATTTCTTTTATGTTTTAAAAAAAAAACAAGTACTATAATGCAAAGAAAATGAGAGTATTTAAATGTTTTAGCAGTTGTTTCGGTGAAAACGGACGGTTATTATTAGCTGGAACTTATTTGTGAAATTATCCGTAAAAGATTTTGCTATCAAAATATATTTAGAGCTGTACCTTATTTGAGTGAAAGAAGGCGTTCAAGTCAGGTCACGGCCGTTACCAAATCCGCGATCATCGCGGCATTTGAGGTTATAAGTTAAATAACATGACGAAATGTTTGTCAAACGTTAGATTAAGGTGAAGTGCATAATAATATAACTTGTTTTTACCTTAAAAGGGTTGTTAATTACCTTTTTCGAAACTCTCAATTGTATCCTTTAAAGATAAATAGAAGTTCCTTCTGTAATTGCAATTGAGTAGGAAAGGAAGGAACGAAAAGACGCAGGCAAAAATGAGTAAGACCGACAACGCATCTGTAGATCTTCCAGCTTAAAGGATGTCTATGGGCGTCAATAATAACATCGGTTCCCTAAATAAGACATATTAGATAAGCATGGTATGAATTGATTATGGAACAAAGATTAAACGGTAGAAGAAAAGAAAGATAAAAGTAATAGGGGAAGACCAAGACAAACTTTTATGCAATATGTAAAAGACAAAAAAGATAACAAAACATGGCACAGAATGTGGGTGTTCAATCGACAAGAACATAGATTAAAGAAGACAAAGATTAAAGAAGGCAGAGTAAAGTATGTATGTATTATGTCATATCGTTTACGTACTTTTTTCGCATTTAATTAACTATTTATACATTTCGAATGTTTGTCGTTTTCATATGATAAAGATATTAATGTCAGACATTTTGGAATTTCGTTGTCCCCTCATTGTCGGACATATTAAAACTTCGAGTAAATACGAGTGTTGATGGAAATATTAAAGTGATAATGAAAAAAATTACGAATTCCCGCACTTCCTAAATAGAGATCAAGATGACCTTTAACTCAGAATGCCCTTTGCCGTTAATGTTAAAATACAGTTATTTTAGTCGCATATTAAATATTACAACATGGAAATTGCAACAATTTATTTTAATTTCTCAAGTAACTGTGATGTTATAAAAATTCTTAAATACAGTAGGTTTTTACTGTCTAAAGAATGCACAAAATATAATGTTTACCTTCGTATTTTACTTTTAAAAAAGATTTAAGAATATATTTTTGTTTAAGTAATCCAACAGGGAAAACCCACGTTAAATAAACCTTCGTAAAATCAATAACAGCACTCAATTGTTTCCGAGAGTAATCAAATTCAATACTGAGTTAAATGTTAATAAGGTTGTACTCGTAATAAAATAATTACGACTAGTAAAATTAAATATTATGTAGTTACAATTGGAAAAAAATCATAATAATTTTGTAGATGAACATTCTAGGTTATTATGACTTTTAAATACTGAAGTGCAAGATTAAGCAGTGTTTTGTTGCCAGTTTCTCCCAAATTAGAGTAAAACCGCAAACACTTGACACTGGCCTAATCCGCTGAGGGAGAGCCATAAACAAGAAATAGATAGATAGAAGTGCAAGATAATATTTTACATAATTCAAGTTTTTTTTTCAAGGAAATTTAAATAAGCATTTTTTATACTCATCAGCTCACTAACGTCATCACTAATGAGCTCGGAGCCTACCGTAAGTTAGTTTTTTTATATTATTAGGTGGCAAACGAGTAAACAGCCATTTGGATTCTATTTTACTTTCAATCCTTTCATTTCTAATGCTTTTTTCTTTGCAACCTTGTTAGTATTATATTTATCAAAGCATATCACTTTTTAATTTTTTAATGCATTATGTTTTCGGCGTGCGTTTACTGAAATAGAAAAGCGAATGCTGCCCATAGACAACCGTAATTGCAGATACGTTGCCTTACTTTAATTATCAGAGTACTGGATGCACAGGGAAGGAAAAGATGGGAAGAGAAAGTGATTGATGGTGTAGGAAAAAATAGGAATGAGTACTAATCTTTTTTGTATATCTTATTTGTTATTTTACATATCTTTGTTTTCATAATACAAAAAATTAAACAAAAAAATGGGACCCACCTGCAAGCATTACCTTTCGGATAAAAAAAGAATTATCCAAATCGGTCCACTAGCGGCGGAGTTATGCCGTAACACACAAAAAAAAAAAAAAAAAAAAAAAAAAAAAAAATATACCGACGAATTGAATACCTCCTTCTTTTGGGAAGTCGGTCAAAAAGGGTAAGGGCAAGGGTTCGCGTGATATTAAATAAATATCAGTAATCGTGTTCGTTTCAAGACTAAAGCATAACGGGAGTAATTGTTAAGTTACGTTGTTGCGTAACTTCGAATGCCTTTAGAAGTAGAGTTGAATTATATCGAATTCTAAGAGATAGTTGTGAAAGCTTAAAAACAGAGATAGTGATTTTCATTTAATAAAAATGCTATCTTTTTGTTTTTATTTAAAACTAGCTTTCGCCCGCGACTCCGTCCGCGTGATATTGAAAAAAAAACAAAAGTGAGTAGCTAATATGTTCTTCCAGACTATGCTCTAAATCTGTGCAAAATATAATGGAGATCCGTTCAGCCGTTTAGGTTACAACTGCTGACAAACATCCATCCATCGATCGTAACATTCGCATTTATAAAATTAACTAGCTTTCGCCCGCGACTCCGTCCGCGTTGTATTAATAAAAACAAAAGAAGTAGCCTGTTTGTTCTTCCAGAATTTCATCCAGATCCGTTCAGCCGTTTAGGCCACAAAGTCTAATAAACATCCATCCCTCTATCCATCCATCCAAACTTTCACATTTATAATATTAGTATGAAGTATGATAACATATAGCAATTTATCAATTATGTAAGCATCAATTACTTTGTTTAAATTTGTCATTAACCTTCAAGTTATAATAAATTAGAATTCTTCATAGCAGACGTTTTTAAATATATTTAAATTAAGAAGAGTTTTACATATTTTTTTTATTTCAGTATAGTAATTTCTAATTTCCTATTATGGCATAATAAACGAGAATAGAGAAGCATGATAACAAAATAAGAAGTGGAAAAAATTGCTTGGCCAAGCCAAGGCCTACAAAGGGCTGTAGAGCTAAGGAAGAAGAAAGAAGGAAGTCCTATTATCATGTATCTTCAGGTTACATTTAACTGAGTTACTTATGGTTTCCCAGCTACGTTTAACCATTAATTAGTGTTATTGGTTCGATAAATTCATGAAATGCGTTTCCGAACTACGTCTCTTGAGTTATACTAACCTAACAATAACGCATCGCTAGATAATCATACAAATAATACGAAAGTTTAGATGGAGGGATGTTTGTTAGAGATTGTAGCCTAAACGGCTGAACGGTTTTTATGAAATTTGGCATAGATGTAGAGCTTTCAAGAACACATAGGCTGTTTAAATGAGAACGATAAAGCAGGAGTCATGAATTTAATATGAAAACCATTTTATACAACTATTTCTTCTTTTTGAATTTTCTTTTTAATCATAAACATGCACTTTTGTTTTTTTCAATTCCACGCAGACGAAGTCGCGGGCGAAAGCTAGTGATAAAATTACAGGAAACTCCAGAAATCCAGCATGAGTTAGTTATGATTTTTTTTAAACTGTAGAAACAAAAGACTCTCCGACCTTCATCGATCTCGTTTAAATGAATCATTGAATACATTGAACGTTGGTGTAAAAATTATACGCAAAGAAAATCCAATTGGAAACAGACGAACACGCGTGTCGTCGATAACTTGTTTCATTTGACGGAATTGATTCTACGTATATATTGTAGGACAGTTCGCTAAGTTAGCCATTTGCTTAGTGCTGGTTCGTCCTTAAGTTTGGATGTAAGTTTAAGTGATGGGTGTATTGTGGTATATGTTTATTGTGACGTTGGCAACGGGGAATGCACTGGAATTGACTAGTAAGTTAATTATGTAATTAACCTAAATATTGAGATGTAACTTAGTAAATAATTTCTATTTTTTTTTTCAATTTAAATGAATCGTTTTGGATCCCAACATGAAAATTGATTATTTAAATAGATTTACAATTAACTACCCGTTGCTCTTGAATTCGTCCGCGGGAAAATAAAAAATTATAAAAAAATATACCCTATGTTACTTACAGTAAAATTACCTTTCTAACGGTTAAAATCGGTCCAGTAGTTTTGAGTTATTCCAGTACATACAAAAATACAAATCTTTCCTCTTTATAATATTAGTATAGACGATTAAAAATTAACAAACCACTTTATAAGACGCTTTTACTTTGCCTGAATTGCTTTAAAAAAATAGTTTGTTTAAAATTTATAAGCTATTATCAACTTTAAACGGTTAAGAGCCAAGTGCGTGTTAAGTTAATTGAAACGGTAATGAAAATTAACGTTTTATTTCAGTTTCTGGTAAAAAGCTATTTTACTATTAACATAAAACTTTATTTTCATATTTTGTATGTACATGGTTTATTTAAAATCATATTACATATATAAAAATTTAATAAAAAATAACTTGACTTAAACATTATTAACATTAGTTTGTTTTTGAGAAACTAGTTTTAAACTATCTCTACTACTCTACTAAATATACGACCTAATACCGAAAAGTTCATTTAATAAGAGCGTCTTATGTTTAGTTTCTGAAGCTATAGATTCTTTAGTGTTATGTTAACCTGAGTTTCAACGGAGTTAAATTCAAGTTATGTAGTTCGGAAACGCATTTCGTGAATTTATCGAACCAAAAACACTAACGAATGATTAAATGTAGCTGGGAAACCATATATAAGAGCGTCTTAAACTACAAATTACAGTAAATTTGAACTGACAGATTGTAAGCGGAGTTAATAAAGCAAATAGTAAAAGATTCGTTTCTGAATTTAGCCGAGAAGTAAGAATCCTTTCTTAAACATTACATTTTACCACCATTTATCACCATTACAATAAACCAAATAGTTATTTAAAAAAAAACAATTTAAAACCAAAGGAAAAAGGATAAAATAAATTTAAAAAAAAAAATCAAACAATCTTCACGCAACTTATGAAGCATAATAAAAAACAAACCGACTCAAACAAAACAAATGATAATGTAAAAAATATTAAATAACGTTACAAAATCATTATAAACATGTAATAGATTTTTTTGGGCATTTGAAAAAAATCATAATTAATTTTGCTTACATGTTTGCAATATTAAATTAACGAAATTAAAATAATCTCCTGGTTTTTTACTTTGTAAAAATATAGAGTGTTTACTTGAGATTTTTTGTTTTTTGAGTAGAAAAACGTATAGTTTTACAGCTTTACTCGTATAAATTAAACTAATTTTTACTCAAGATTTTTTTGAAATTACGCCACTTGGAATGTATTTATTTAATGATTTTAATGGAATATTTGTTCTTGAGACATGATTCTGGGAATAAATTTATTAAATAAAAAGTTAGTTTTTACTATACTGGAATCGAACAAACGATTTGTTCGTATTGAAATGGCGACGATAAGCCCGTACGAAAAACACTCAGTCAGTGGTAAAAGGCTATATTTTTTACTATTCCTTCGTTTACGGACTGGGTTGCATTATTTTTTTATTTGCAAGAACAGACGGAGTTTGTCTATTTGCAAGAGACATTTTTTCCATAATTGAATCACCGTGAAGTGCACCGACTGTACATATATCACCAAGGATTTTAACCCAACTTTTTTATCATTTTTAATAGAAATAAAGTATTACGCACGTGTACACATTAAGATATTTAAATAAGAATTAAGCTGAAAAAGAAAGATAAACTTTTTAAAGTTTCTTGTTAAAAGAACTTTTGGTAAAAAAATTGTTTATGAAACAACAAAATTTGAATAACAATACGTTTCCTTAAAACGCGTTTAATAGAAAAAAGGAGACTTGGTTGTGTTTCTTTTAATTTCAATTGGCTACAATATAAATTGTTGGGATTTAGTTTACGTTAAGTACTAAACCTATAGCGTAATTTAACCTTGTAATAAGTCTTCATTTTTTTTTATTTTTTTTATAACATAAGGTGGCAAACAAGCAAGCGGCCACCCGCAATCGCCAAAATGGCGAACCGACCGCTGCCCATAGACATCTGCAATTGCAGATGCGTTGCCTACCCTTAATTGACGGAGGAGGAGACGCACATAAAGAGGACATTCCCCTTCCTATGCGTCTCCTCCACTGTCAAATCCACTTTTCCTCCCCATCCTTTCCTATTAAGAAAAGGGTGGAAAGGGGAAGGGAATAAAATTAGGTCTCCGGCACCACACTCATCAGACGAAACGCGGAATTGCTTCCACTTCACGCCTGTTTTCTGTGTGGTCGTGGTATTACACCGGGCGAGCCGACCCATTCGTGCGAAGATGTTAAAGCGGGCTCTACCACTGTTACAATTCATTTTGTTAAGCACTCAAAAAACATTAAATCTATAAAGTAATAAACTCAATAACCTAAAAACTTTAATGACATGCGTAAAATAGTAATAACTAATAATATTCAAATGAACATAAAATATGACTCTGACGACAATGAAATCTATCGCAAAATATGCCTATGATTATAATCATAATTATTAAAATATTCCAAACGTAAGCCAATTGCCTTGACAGAAACATTCTATCAAGGTAACAGGAAAAAAATAATCGCCAAACGGTCAGCGAACTTATAACTAAACCCTCATTTTTTTTTAAATTATGAACATAATTACATGACCGTGATCTCCCTTTCTTCATTTTGCAGTCATCATATTAGATTTTCCAAATCAACCTATTCGTTATTTCATAACAAACCTTGGCAATCTTCCTTCCTTGATGTTGGCAGCACCTTATGGTCTCTTTCCCACATTAGGGTTTTTATCCAAAACGTTTACTCCTAAGTTTAATGGCGTGAAAATATACAGCCTAAAGCGTGACTTAAATTTAGGACTTTTTATTAGAAAGAGAATTATTCAAAAATATGATGTAATTGCTGACATCTTAGGCAACAAATAAGTGTGTGTTTACGATTTATTATGATAGTATAGAAGTATAGATTACCCTACTTATATATATATAATATATATAAATATATATACTTATATATTATTTTACTACTCTGTCCGCGTGGAAATAATAAAAATAAAAGTGAGTAGCCTATGTCCTTCCAGACTATACCCTACATCTAAGCCGCTTTTCATCGAGATACGTATGTCGTTTAGGCTTCAAACTCTAACAAACATCCATCTATCTAAACTTTCGCATTTATAATAGTAAGATAATATAACACTAGAATAGAATACATAATACAAGTACTTTAATTTAGTATAGGTACATACTTATTTGATTTATAAAATCATGTCACTTTTAAATAAGCAAAATAAGCTCTAAGAAGGCAAACATAAAGACATTAGATGTTAACAGAGTAGACAGATATATTTTTGTATATTTTATATGATTTAAAAGCCTATTAGCATATACAAACCAGAATCAATATTTGCCGACTGCTTTTTATCTTTTAGTTACATTTATTAAAAAAAAGTTTACTACTACGCATTTTCAGAATCTCGGATCCAAAGCTGATTTTTTATAACCGGATTAGGTTGAAACCTGTCTATTTTTTTGATAACATCTTAACGAAGACTTGTCTATGACTTGCTAAACTTATTGTTAAGTCCTGTCTAACTTTGATACGTAAATAATGTTGTAATTAAATGGAAAAGTACTGAGATATCAATAATAGAAGGGGGGTAACCCATAGAATACCGCTAATTGTACAAAAAACAACAATCTTACATTTTGCGCGGAAGATTTTTTGCACAATTAATAGGATGTAACTATTATTTCTTAATAATTATGTTGACGTAATTAGTATTGTCAGTGTGAATGTGTACACCACTAGCGTTTGCACGCGACTCCATCCGAGTGGAATTAAACAAACAAAATAAATAGCCTATGTGTTCTTCCAGATTACCGTCGACATCTATGCCAAATCTCATCGAGATCAGTTCAGCCGTTCAGGCTGTAAACTCTAATAAACATCCATCCATCGGATTATTCCCTACCGTACCGTCACTCCAATCTGTCCCCACGTGGAGACAGATGAGAATAAATAGTTTCATCCGTCCCACCTTTGGCGACGAGGGGACGGTTGGAACTTATGTTATTTAATAACGGTTCCAACTGTCACCTTATTGGTGATAGTGGTACTAAAAGGTGGGACGAATGAAACTTTTTATTCTCACGTAGGGACAGAGAGGGGTGAAGGTTGGGAATAATCCCATCCATCCATATAAATTTTCGCATTTATAATACTAGTAAGTAGTACAATATTAAGATTTTAGAGATTGAAACTTCACTAGCGGAGAAGTCTACAACTTTTTCTAAAAATAAAATAAACTTTGAGTGTCTGTAGGTTATATTGCTACAAAAATATTATTCTGAGATCAAAGATATACTTTAGTTGTCAATTAAAACCATTAAACTACTGTACTGATTTTGAAATACTAGGTTTGCAGAAATATTGAATAAATGTAAATACCATCTTGATTCTTATGACTTCTTTATTATTATTTTAACACGAAATATACAATTTAATTACAGAGCTCACATTTAACTTTTTATCTTCATGTCACATCTTGCACTTGTTTTACACTTCAAATCGTACTTTACTCTTTATTACATTCTTAATTTGTCTTTATCGGTGGCCAGTGTTATGAATATAATCCAAATAGTCAATATAGACTGACCAAATATAATAGGTTACTTTTTTAAATTCTTGATTTCCAAGCTAAAGCCAGGGGTGTCTTGTATTCTACTGAAAAAATTATTTAATAAAGTTTTTTTTTTAACTTAAGATTTGAAAGTATTTTAGTTATACAATGTATTGAAATATTAAAAATGTTAAAAGGTAAAAGATAACTGGTAAGTTTGCATTCGTGATCAAGTGACGTCAGGAACTTGGTCAAGTTCGTATTGATTTTTTTTTCAATCAACTTTTCCTTGTACTATTAAATATGACGTTAAATGTGTCCGTGAATATTTGTAAAATATGTTAATATTTTTTTATTGTCAAAGATGTATGGCTCCAGATGGCTATTTACCTGAATCCGGGATCCAATAGAGTTATTATAAACTAGTATTCGCCCGCGGCCGTCCGTACAGCATTAAAACGCTAATTAGTAGCCCACCTGTTTTTGTAGACTATGTCCTACGTCTATGCTGAATTATACTACACTTCACTTCTACACTAATACACTCTATATAAATTTGTTACTCCGCATCCGCGGACAAACCTATGATATGTACATATTTGTCTTTGTAAATTGTGTTCTGTTTAAAATTTCAATAAATATAATCATAAAAAAATAAAAGTATTAGAAAAAATTTGTGGGGTAACACAAATGGATAAGATACGAGATGAGTATTTAGAGGAAGTTTGAGAGTAGCCCCAGTGGTAGAGAAGGTAAGGAGTAAAAGGTTAGCATGGGCATGTTATGAGGGATGAATCGCATGTAACAAGGAGAACGTTAGTTATGAGTGTGGAGGTACACCGGTAGAGGTAGACCTAGAAAGAGATGGATGGATTGCGTGAAAGGTGACATGATCAAAAAGGGAGTGATGACTGAGATGACGTATGATAGAGTTATATGCAGGACAAAAACCTGCTGCGCCAACCCTATGGGAGTAGGATAAGGAGATGATGATGACGATGAAAAAATTAAAAATAATATCGAGAGCCGTTCAGCCGATTAAGCTGTTACCTTTAACAAACATCCATCAATCCATTTCGCATTTATATTTATTTTATAGTGACATTTGAAATGTCCTTATAATTTCAAATTCTAATTATGAAAATATTCCCGCAATAAGAAATCTAAATCGCTTGAAAACATCTTCTCTCATCTTAGTTCTAGAACAAATTCTTTGTAAAATCGAAACTCATCTTCTCTAATTCATTGTAAACAAACAGACGAATAAAGAACCTTCTTTTGGGAAGTCGGTTAAAAATGTGCTGGTCATTATTAATAACGAGTGCAACTATAATTACAGACTTTGAATTCCATACGGTTCTTAAAATGTTATTACTTATGACTTCATAAACAAGTCAATATATTACTCAGGTCGTTGAACTCTAAAAAAACATGCGAATTGGATCCGTAACATCGACCAATTAGTTTTGCTACAATAAATCTTGATTTATTACTTTTTTTACAATACTTAACTTGCCATTAATTACATGAAAAAGGGTTTTTGTGAATAACATTACAAAGAACATAATCGTTTTTATTGTTTACTAGCGGTAATCCGCGACTTCGTATAAGCGGAATTAAAATAAATTAATAAATAAAAAAAGATAAATATACAGACGATTTGAGTACCTCCTTCTTTTGTGAAGTCGCTCAAATATTAACGGATTTTATCGCAATCGGAGGCATATTGTTAACAAATTGTCGACAAGACACATCTCAGTACCCTTATGATCAGTCACATGTAAGTAAAAACGAGATAAGATCCATAAAATTTATTGTAGTAAAAAGATCAGTTAAGTCTTTAAAAAATTTAAAAAGATATTTTGATTTATTTTTTCTTTTTGATTATTGTAAATACACTTCACATGCGATATACTGTTATTACCACTTTTTTAAACAGAAGTCTAGTCAAAAACAGTCCGTTACATTGAGTAATAGCTAAACCACCGTTAAACCACACCTAGGAGAAATTACCAAGCATATATAATAATTTAGTTTAATTTAACATAGTTTTAATTTTATTTACATCTAGTGATAGCTTCTAGTGAGCGTCAGTGGCTCTAGGTTTAAGCATTGAGTTGTAATCTACAGGATCTGAGTTTGAAGCCATGTGATTTTCGATTTTCATATGTACATAATTAACCCGACGTTCTTACGGTGAAGGAAAATATCGTAATGAAACCTGCACATATCGACGAACAAATTCAAAGATATGTGTGCAGTCAATCAACCCGCAAAGGACCAGCGTGATTGACTATGGCCTAGTCACCCCTTACTTTGGATAGAGTCCGAGCCTCTTAGTGGGGACATATAGTGAGCTGGTGAAGACGATACATTTAAAAAAAAAACTGACAGGTCCTGTGCGGCTTCATCCGAATGAAGTAATAAAAACTTTTATTGTTTACATTTGTCAAATTACTAAACTACCGTTAATAATCTTGCTTTCTTAATGTTAGCAGCTTGTAGTTTATGGTCCCTTTCCCACATGAAGGTTTTTTTCCAATTTATTTACCCCCTAAGTTTAATAACGTGAAAAAATATAGCCTAAAGCGTGTCCTAAGTGTAGGGCTAGGGTAAAGTAAGAATTATTCAAAAGTATACTGTGATCGCTGACACCCTACGCCACAAAGTAGTGTGTGTTTATGCTTTATTATATTAGTATAGAAGTATAGATAACGGCTTATTGCGCAGACGAGCAGTATCACCAGCTGCCGCAGCTGTTCCAGCTAGATGATTACGAGGCGTGCCTCTCCCAGCGTCGAGGTGTATTCTGCCTCGCCACGTTTGACCTCCTACCTGCATCTAACAAACAACTATTCAATGTCATTCAAGTAAGTAATTGCAACATTGTCTAGATGACTGATATATGAAAAATGTATATCTACAGACGAATTGAGTACCTACTAATTTTGGGAAGTCGGTCTGAAAAATCAAAATCCCTTCTGTCCCACAATACACGAAGTAAAAACTCTCTTGTTTTTAATTAACTATATTCGTCTTTATTTATGGAGCAATTTCTAGTCCCCCTTCTCTTGTAACATTCTTTCACCTAATACTAGACGTCGATGAAGAAAATCCCTACATAAAATCGCACTTTTAACCTCAATATTTGAGAAAGAACACAAAAAGTGTTTCAAAATAAATATGACGGTACAAGAGCTATAACAAAATACTCTAGAATCTCTGAAATTTTTAAGATTATACGTAAAATAAGTTGGAAACCGAATCCGTGTGAAAAATTGATTAGTAAAACCTAAGTATTTCAAATCTTAATAGAATTTTTTGGGCCAGTTATTTTATTAGTTTCGCTAGTACTCGTGATGTCCAATATCTAACCTTGCTTGTTCTTATTATGTAGACCTAGCGCCAATTTTAAAGTGTCATTTAAGGTCATTGTATCATAAGGTCAAAGCCATGACCGGTCCTGATACGGTGTGAATACACCTACATGCCATCTACAGTTATTAAATAGATATCATTTAAATAGATAGAATTTAACAGTGGTAGTGCCCGCTTTAACATCCTAGCACGAATGGGCCGGCACGTCCGGTGTAATACCACGACCACACAGAAGACAGGCGTGAAATGGAAGCAATTCCGTGTTTCCTCTGATGAGTGTGGTGCCGGAGGCCAAATATAAGTCCCTTACTCTTTACCATCCTTTTTTTATAAGGACAGGATGGGAAGAGGAAGTGGATTTGACGGTGGAGGTGATGCATAGGAAGGGGAAATGTCCTCTTTATGTGCGTCTCCTCCTCCGTCGTATAATGGTAGGCAACGCATCTGCAATTGCAGATGTCTATGGGCAGCAGTTGCTTCTCCATTTTAACGTATTTAGGTGGCCTGGTGCTCGTTTGCCACCTTATGTTATAAAAAAAAATATATCATTACGAAAATTGTTAGCTAACCATTATAGAAAGAACATTTACATTGCTATGCATTAAACTCGTTAATATTGTTATCTCTTCTAAAACTTACCACTACAGTCTCTCTTACTGATATCCTTGTTTGATTGTACACTTTAAAGCTCTAACTTTTGTATTCTTATTTCAGCAATTTTCCGAAGACCGTACAAATTTCAACCATACAAGAATCCATCGAGGGTACTGTGTGAGCGCACGATGTTCACACATCGATGAAGTTTCCCTCAATCGGAGATTCGTAAAATGTGTCAGCAATATAACAAAGAACACCTACGGTTTAGACACAAAACTGGCAACACTGGAGTATTGCAAGACAACAAAAAGTCCATCAACAAAACCGATAGATGAATTAGATGTTACATTCGCGTATATATCCGGGTTCATATTGTTGATGAATGTTATCGGAACTATATACGATTTAATAAGAAACCCAGACCACAAACGTGAGTATGAATATTATGCAAACGGTAGCTCTACTGCGAAAATTTCCAACTAACATCTATGAATTTGAATAATCCGTGAAGGCTTTGCAAGATTTTTCCATAAAACAGACGACCTAGAGGTGACACGTTTACTGTTTCGAGCAATTTCTAAAGACCTTAAACTAAATGTATAATTAAGTAGATATAAATTGCAATACATTATTTAGCTGTTTTTCGTTAGAAGGAAGAAGAGAAATATTTTATATATTTACTATATTCTTTTAGTGAAAACAAAAAACAAAAAGTTCAAAGTCTGATTAAATTTATTAGTGTCGTGAAATTATTTAATGTCGCTTTAATTCCTATCAGCGTATATGGAGGTGCGCATACTACTTGATTATTATTTGTGCAACTAAACAGTTGAATTTGCTACGAAACAATCGACGCACAACAATTGTGCGATTGTTTAGTAAACTTGTGCGCACGCTCTTAATAAGAGTACGTCATAGCATTGACGCGTTGTTTTCGATGACAAAATGTTACTCGTGCGAAGCTATTATAAAAAAGGTTAATTACTATATAACCTGCTAATCCGTAGTTCTATTACACTGTGTTATATCAAATTACCGGTTACTGCCGTAATCAGAGTAAACGAACACTAAGAGAGAGAATAATGATCTCTGCATATGACTACTAAACTTTATAAATGCAAATCGAATAACAAAAGTAATTAAGAAATAACGCATAATAAAGCGTTCGTTGAATAGAATGGTCTTTTCCATCAATGACAGATAATTAATATAATTTATGTTGATTGTTTTATGCAATATTATTAGTTTTTTTTATGGCAAATGGAATAGAGTGTCATGTCATGCCCTTTTATTCCACAACCACTATTATGTCGCAATAGCTCACACATACATTAACTAAACACTTTATTTTTCTGAGTATTAAATAACACAAATGTTCTAAATAAATACTAATATTAGTTTGCACTCGGGACTCCGTCTGCGGGGAAATAAAAAACTTAGTAAGTAGCCTAAGACTTTCAGACTTCTATATCTGTGCCAAATTTCATCGAGATCAGTTCTTTTGTAAGGATTCAAAGTCCAGGCATTTACAATTTTAGTAACAAGTAAGATGAAAGAATAGATAGATAATATTTAATTGTTTTGATTGAATCACAGAACAACTCAACCGATTTTTACGAAACCGAAAATTCTTTCACTGTCGGAGACAGGTTATATTAATACTGGATTTTTTTAATTCAGCAATGACGAAGTCGCGAGCAAAAGCTAGTAGATTATTTTAGGTGTATTTGTGAATTATTCAAATTGCTAAATGTAATTCGAAAAACATATTTTATAATTTAAAAATGAAATACAGTCTAATTAGCGAATACGTTTTTAAATCATCTAATAACGCTGCCTCGATTTCGCAATAAACATTTGCTTTGTTACATTTTCTTTGTTTAGTTAAGGCAGATTTACAATAATGCAGCTACAGTATTCTTAATTTAAAAAATTGTAATACTTTATTTTTTTTTACAGCCAATCGTTATTTAATGACATTTTCCTTCGCGGAAAATTGGAAGCGGCTTACTGAGTCGTATGAAAATGGAGATTCCAGGCTGTCATCCCTACAAGCTATTCATGGAATGAAGTACGATCACATATATTTATAACGTTTATTGTGAATTTAACAATTTTATTTATACTAAAACTGTAATGTGCATTCATATAAATGTGATAGATTACCACGTTCACTGCGTAACAGGCCGATATCGACCTGACGCGGTACTTATGCGAACGAAGAAAACTATGTCCCTTTAGCTAATGCGAAAAGATTATATCAGGTTACATAACATAAAATGTGTACATTATGTTTCCACAAAGTTATAGCAATTTAAACTATCCTAGTGCTAGTGCGTCTAGAAAGACCTGCCACGCACTGGCGGGAATATGATTGGGGGCACATTTTGGCCCGCCGCACCAGATGAGAATTATGATTTTACTTGCAGTAAACGTATTAATCAATCTATCTTTTTATCCGATTCCTAATTACTTTAACCTCAAACTATTTTATAGTTACGATGTAAAATAACGTAAATAACTTATTTCAGAGCGATCACTCTTATTTTTGTGATGATGGCGCATTCCGTGATCACCTACCACACCGCGTATATCCTGAACCCACGCTTCATCGAAAACGTAAGTTATACTAATATGATGAAGAGAAAGATTTCTATTTTTATATGTAGTAAATAACTGAAAAACTACTGGACCGATTCCAATTCTTTCATCATTAATAAGCTTTGTTATCAGTGTGTAATTGTTATTTTTTTAATTTCACGCAGACGAAGTCGCGAACGACAACTAGTATTGAATTACCATACCACGGTTCTGTTTTGGTCATTTTTCAACAAAATATTAACATAATAGAGTATTTTAATTAAAATCTACTTTAGGTTTTGTTATTTAAAAAAATAAACCACAAAAGAAAGACCTTTCGAAGATATCCCCCTTGATGACAGATGTTTTTTTTATCTAATTTCAGGGTAACCGTCACCCGATGTCTATATTACTGCACAACGGGACCGTGGTAGTGCAGACCTTCATACTGCTCTCCAGCTTCCTCTACGCCTACAACATGTTCATCTACATCGAGAACAATCCCAAGAAGCAGTTAAATCTATCCATGTTCCCTAACTCAGTGTTAAATAGACTCTCCAGGTAATACAACACCCACGGTCTTTTCTAGTGGTGATATACCATTTAGAAACAGAAATCTTAACTATAATACTTGATATCAAAAGATGTCATGAAAAAAAAAAACATACAGACGAATTGAGTACCTCCTTCTTTTGGGAAGTCGGTCAAATATACCCATTGTTTAAAAGTAACTATCCTTACCCACACCATAATAGGAGGACCACTTTGTTTTATCCATGTTATGAGAAACTCGTTCCATGAAGAAATCATATAGCTTTGATAATCTATGGAAAACCGTTGATAAGCTTACAGCAACCGCGGGATTATCTAGACCTATTCCAATTTATCGGTCAATTTTAGGATCTTATAAAGTTAATCGATACTTAAATGTCGGTATATTTTTACAGAATCCTGCCTGTGTACATATTCGTGGTGGGTTTCGTAACGACTTGGTGGCGACACGCCAGCGACGGTCCGCTCTGGACCCCACTGGTGGAAGCGGAGTGTTCCCGCTGTAGGGACAAATGGTGGTCGCAATTCTTATTCCTCAACAACTTCTATAAGCCTGACGAAAAATGTCTTATACAGACTTGGTAAGTGATATTCAAGTTACAACATTATTTACTAAATGATTACCAACCCTTAAAAAAACTTATATCTCGAAAAACTTATAGCCCACATATAAACAAACTAACATATACGCGTAAAACTACTTCTGTCAGGCGCGGAAAAAAACGCACTTGTATGACACGTTAGGAACTATAAGATTGCAATTCATAACATCTCTAGGTTCCTGGCGGTGGATTTCCAGCTCTACGTGTTGGCGGTGTTCCTCACCCTCGTTTTGGGCCCGTCTCTCCGCTCCGCTATCAAGATCTTATCTGGTCTGTTAGTCTTCTCCGTTGCAATGAACTTTGGGATCGCATACTACTGGGATCTGAAGTCTGTTCTCTTTGTGACGAACGTTGAGTGAGTATTGTAGTTTTTCCTGTAAACTAAGTCAACATAACATCACCGTGATTTAAATCGATAGTGGTGCCATCTAGTTCCCTACTTACACTGATATTATCAAATCATTTGCAAGAAACCTCACTAGTAACATGATGATACAAATCTTTTACAAAAATAGAGTGGCATTGATGTTCTTTTGTTCTCATTGTATTATTATTTCTAGAACAATCCGTAGTCTTTACTACGGTGTGCCATCGTTCAAGTGGATTTACATGGCACCATGGACCAGTCTGCCATCTTCACTGCTAGGACTTATAGCAGCCTTCCTTCTCTATCATTGGCAACAGAATAACTACGATCCTAAGGAGTCATTGGTAAGATGCACAAATATACTAAAATTAACTGCAAAAAAATATAACAATTAACAAGATATGTATTTTTTTCTTCAGATCTGCCGTATCTTGTACCGGTCTTCCGTGCCCTTCATCTTCATCTCCATAATATCTGGCTACTTCATCAGAGACACGCAATCACAACTTGTCACTGCAATGTACACTGCTATAGACAGACCGCTCTTCAGTCTTATGATTGTTGTTGCATTGTTAGGATTCACATATAAAATCGATAGTAAGTACTTTTCACTCTGCTTACGAAAGAACATTCCCGAGAATTTTGAATGTTGAATACACTATTGTTCAATAAACTAAAATATTGAAATATGAAAATCATCATCTCCAGCTCACTATACGTCCCTACTGAGGAGCTCGGAGCCTACCCTAAGTCAGGGTGGAAGGCCTTAGTCATAGTCAACCATGCATGCCCACTGCGGGTTGACTTCACACATATTTGAATATCTTCGGCTATATGTGCAGGTTGCATCACCATTTTTGCCTTCACCGTAAGAACGTTAGTTAAATTATGTACATGTGGAATTAGAAAATCATATTGGTGCACAGATCCGAACCCAGGACCTGTGGATTAAAAGTCAAGGGCTCAAACCCCTGAGCCACGGAAGCTACCTGAAATATAATATGAAAATGTTCTTTGCTTATTCCAGGCCTCTGGTGGCAATTCCTCTCGTGGTCCGGTTGGAGACCGCTGAGCAGGATGTCTCTATCTATCCTTTTAGTGCACTGGTGTTACAATCTCACGCAGACAGCGATCAAAACAGACCTTGCGAGAACTTCGATATATGAAGTAGTAAGGACTTCTTCTTAAAAACTTTTTTTTTTATCTTTTACAGTTAGTTATGCACAAGTTGTAGAACGAATGTAGCTGATCTTCATCAAACCAGTATAATTTTAATAGGATTACGTAAAAAAGGGAATCTCAATAGTGGAAGTCGTGGAAAGTGGTGGCCTTTGTCGCTATGTTACTTTGAGAAAATACCCTATAACAAGCATTGTACTAATTTCTATTTTGTTTAAATACTTACTTACGATAAGGATTATGGGCAACGATAGCTTTCTGATTTCGTCGATTTCCAGTGGTCGTTTGCTCATTTACCACTATATACTAAAAAAGTAGGATCCTCTTAACTTTCCCGTTTTCTTGGCACACTCATCTCGTCCCTATAATACTAATATTATATCTAATTTACTTTTTCAGGGTGGGCATTGGTTCGTGACAATATTTATGACATACGTGACATCGTTGCCGGTGCATCTGTTGGTAGAATTGCCGCTGCAGCGGTTCCTAAAGGCGGTTTTCTTTTAAAAGGACTTACATGCAAACAGCTCAAACAAAACCAAATAACAAATTTGTTCTAGTGTAATTAATAATTTAGTTATTTTATTGGTGTGGAAATTCGTTAGACAATGTTCTGTTGTAAGATTAAGTAAATAAGTTTTGATACATTAAATGTTCAAACGGGTGTCACAAATTTGTAACTTATTGTTTTTAAAATCGTCGTAAAAGTTCGTAAGGACCTTATAAACTCAAGCATTTAAAAGCAGGAAGTTTTAAAATTACATTGTGGTACTCGTAATTGTTACTTATAGAGGAATATATTTAGATAATAAAATTATTTAAACCATAGCAAAATCCTCTTCTAAAGTTTTTTTGTTCTAAGTTATTTCTAGCCTTATTTGTACAAACATTTTCGTACAATGCATTTTAGTGTAGAAATCATAATTATACCAAGTTCCAACTATTTGTAAAAACTGTGATATACTTTAACAGGTGTACTATAGGGTAAGATTAGTTACTAAGGTTCAATAAAAAGGTACAATAAGATATTTGATTGTTTTTATTAACATAACAGAATTCAACATAAATATACAATTTTTACATAAATACACAAATGGCAACACCACCATTTTATTTATAAAAATGCATAAAATATCACCGAAACCGCTTCTAAAAAATAAGCATAACCCTATATTATACAAACCAACACGCATATAATAAATTAAAGCTATTCACAATTATATTACTCTACAGCAGTAAATTGGTCCTTCGAGCAGCATTTTCTAAATTTATTAACTGAAATTTTGATTCAAAATTAAAATACAGTATCTGTATAAAAAAACGAATAATTACAACTTAATTTTGCAAATGGAACTCATCAATTAGTTATAATCTAACTAAAACATAAAAACTTCAATGTTAACATTTATATTCATTATTTTCAACTAATATACAATATAAAAATACTTTAAACGAGACATTTAATAATATTTGATAAGTATAACACCGTCAACATCTCTAATAGTACTTGTTTGGTTACTTGTAAAGCTGTGGTTCTTCGGAGAGCTGAGTTGGCTGGAGTAATCTATGTCCTATTCTCACGCAAAATACGCGCTAGTCGTGGAGTCGCGAAAACCGTAGCCCATACTACTATAGTATAACACCGTCAACGTCTCTAATAGTACTTGTTAAGTATTAATGTAGAGACGCACCAGCGTGCGGTCTGAGGCGGGCAGGCCGCTGGCGGGGCACACGCCCGCCGCGCGCACCGCACGCGACACACAGCCGTAGCAGAATACGAAACTATAATATATCATACTAATATTATAAATGCAAAAGTTTTTCTATACTATTATAATAAAGCGTAAACACACACTTCTTTGTTGCTTAGGCATAGACATCTTAGGATGTCAGCAATCACAGCATGTTTTCGAATAACTCTTTTCTTAATAAAAAGCCCTATATTTACGTCACGCATTAGGCTATATATATTCACGCCATTAAACTTAGGGGGTAAATATTTTGTATAAAAACCTTAATGTGGGAAAAAGATCGTAAGTTGCTGCCAACATCAAGGAAGCAAGGTTGTCATCATGTCATGTCATTTTGACTTTTGTAATTAATAATTTGACAAATGTAAACAATAAAATGAAATTTTCATAATTTCATGCGGATGAAGTCGCATGGGAACAGCTAGTATTATATAGAAGAAAACTTTGTTTGATTGTAATGAATAGGCTCAAAAACTACTGGGCCGATTTTAAAAATCCTTACACCGTGTGAAAGGTTTTATCTGTGAGTAACATTGGCTACTTTTCTTTCCATTTTTTTATTATTATCATAATTCACGTGAACAGTGTAGCGGGCAAAAGCTAGGCTTGTGCTAGGATACGGTTCACGACGATAGTTGAATCGTGGGATTCGAACCCTCGACCACAAACCATTAGGTTATTGGGGCTAGGTATAGATTTAGAGAACAGCTAGGAAGAACACATAAGCTCACTTTGGTTTTTTTAATCGCACAGGGGAAAGCTAGTCATATTATAACGCGGAAAGATTTTTGTATTTATTGAAATAACTATATTTACCCTGAGACAGGCAGAACAGTGGGCACTTTCCACGGCTGCAGACATACTGGACATTTGTTCTTCCATTTTACTGTTTTATCACATTTCTGTAAAAATAAAAATGACCATGTCACTATAGTATATTTCACATTTATACTATATCTCATTGATATCATAAAAGCAAATGTTTGTAACAAGTAAAAAAAATTGGGACATATTTAGAACATAGTCTGGAAGAACCCATAGCATAATTTGAAGAATTTTTTTACTTAACACCATATTTTGGTTATAAAGTAGAAAACTAAGTCCCACTCCTAAACATGACAATAGAATAACAAAAAGTAAAAAAACTTTTTATCAACAGTCAAATTTGAGGTACTATTTACTTGTTTCTTTTACAAATAAACATTAATTTATAAACCTGAGGTGTTGTGGGCAAAGGTAGTGAAGTGACGGGAGAGGCCCTCGCTTCCCACCACTTTAATAACTGTACACCGTACGCGCCGTACTGCACCATACTGAGCAACCCACGGCCCACTAGTGGGAAGGTTAGAGTCACATCACTAAAAAACAAACATATAATTATATTTTCTTATAAGATATAAACCAGAAGAAATTAACAAAGAACGCTGACCTCATTACCATATTGGATGCAACTATAGAGATACAAGAAATATATAAGAAGCAAAGTTAACATTTCATTTGAAACATTTTTCACATTATTATGTCATTAATATGTCAAATTTGATATTGAGATATTACCATACCAAGAAGTTACTGGAGAAAAAATATTTTTCCCTATATCTACTCTATATATTTTTAAATGTCTGGATACATCCTAGAAAGAGAGATGAAATACAAAATTAATTTAGAATAAAAGGAATGTGTCATAGAATAGATAGCCATTAGATAGGATAAAAGATTCTAGTTTTTTATTTGGTGTTGTCTACTCAAACATGAAACACTGTATAGTGTCAATATTGATTTCAAAATTTTATATAGTAGCGTAAAACACAATTTTAACTAACATCAGGTAAAATAAATTACCTTGTATAAAGATATTTATATGTATACATAATTTTTTATATTACCTAATCTGTCCAGCCCAAAGGCTTTTAAATAAATCAGACCAGCAGTGTTCCTCAGGTTCCGGAGGTGGTGCTTCCTTGACTGTTAGACCGAGCAATGCAAAGTCTAACGCAGGAGATAATGTACCACCAGTCAAATATCGAGCTAGCTGGATGAACTTTGCAGCTTCTAATACAAAATGTGCTATTGAATATACCTTTATTGCGGCTTTACGAGCTTGATCGCTTGTACTCTAAAATTTTAATAATCAATGTCAATTTAAAAATGAAGGATTACCACAGATTCAAATAACAATGAAAAAAAAATATGTTAACTACATAACCTCAACTAAATAAACCTCTAATAGATTAGCGCCATCTATTGACTGTATTTTAAAACAAAGATTTTTTTTTAATCTAGCCAAACTGTTATTTTAGCAATAATAAAACTTATGGCAAATGAGATTAGAGCTTATTTGTATACTGACCTTGCCAAATTTCCCATCCTCATAATCCTCTCGCCATTTCTCAATAAACTGGTCAACTTTATCTTTGATATAAGGCCCCACAACAAGTAGTAATAGAGAACCTTTTTCCAGAAGTTCAGGTAACCGAACACCGGAATGAAACTCATTGCTTGGATTTATAGGTACTCGTAACAAACCATAGAAGCACTCTGAGAATGATGCGGCTACAAAAAAAACATTGATTAAGTCTTTATGATATTGTTTTTTAAAAAAGGCCAAATTCAAATGAATAAATAGCTTTTAAATGCTGGCCTTTAGGCTGATTCACTGTTTTAAATGGCCCAGTAGTTTTTGAGTTATTTTAATATATGAAAATATACAAAATCTTTCCTATTTATAATATAAGTATAGATGTAATTAAAAAGTTAAATGATACTCTAAGAAAGGTACCTAACATCATATACTCTATCATAATATAATAAAGAGATTTGTATTTTTGAATTTTGTTTTCCAAAAACTCAAAAACTACTGGGATGTTTTGAGAAATTCTTGCACCATTGTAAAGCTATGTAACCACTGTGTACTATAGGCTATATTTTTTACTTTTATTTTATGCCACATGGACAAGTTTGCAAGCAACAGCTATTAATAAAAAATATGGCATCTATGAAAAAAACCTTTAAGGTTTGAATTGAAATGTATAATACAATTTCTCTGTTCAATAATCCTTACCATAATGTTTTAAATAGTGATACTGCAAGCAGAAATCTAGTAGTAAATACAGCTCATCATACCATCTCTCACACCACGCATATCTGTGTGGATTGATAGCAGCTAGGTACTGGAATTAATACAAAATAGCTAAGCAATTTAAAGTAGTCCGTAAATTTGATTGAGTAGCATTTTTCAGTATATTTTACTATTGATTATTCTACATAAAAGATTAAACATAAAATGCAAAATAGTCTAAAAGGTTTGATAGAAAAGATATGGTGTAGGTCAGGAGTTTTGAATGTTTTTAGAAATGGCATTTTAGACTCTGTGTGTGTGCAGTTATTTGATTGTCTATTTATCTTAATAATTGATATTACCTCTGCAAGTCTTTTCAATGCTGGTTTGACCGTTGCCCCCAATGCTTCTTGAGCAGCGATTTGAAATATTGAAGGTGTACCTTGTAGGGTTCGCGTTAAATGTGCAGCGTAAACTGCCATGGCTATTATTATACGCCTATGTTGATCTGTAGTAATTTCTCAATTACTTTTCTACGACATTATCACAAAAACTAAGTTAAACTCATTTGATAATTTGTTTATAACTTTTTGTTATCATTATTCAGCCATCATTACGACAGTGACAGCTGACAGTGACAGCAGTGACGTTTAAGCGATGAACGATGTCAAATTGTATTTGTTAAATGTTTATAGAGACTGCTATGATAACTTTCTAATGAAAATAACAACTCGAAACAATTTTTGCGCCATTATATTATATGCTCTTTGCCATTAACCGTAGAATTTCATTGAATACTTTAAAAGAGAAACTGTTGGACGGTTACTATCCCCCGTCCGGGGCTCTGGAGGTGTGGGGCTATTGAAACACTTTCTTCTAGTTAATCATCATTATAATTAAAATATCTGAACCATATTTTATACAAAGTCTATTAGTCCTACTTACTTGGTACGTGTTGAGATGTGAAGTCACATATATATAAAACATCAATTATACAATACTTTATTATTTGAAATACATTATTCTAAAATTAAAAACCATCCTCTGTGTGTACAGTGTTGCCTGCCAGTATACAAACATATAAAAACTCCAACAGAAACGCTGTTCGCTTAATAAAATGAATTAAAACCCGGACACAAAAAGGTCCATATAGCGGTCGCACCAAATATAAAAGCGTCCAAAAATAAACAGGTCAGTTTGTAGGTGAAATTTAAAAACACTTTTGACTTAAAAACCATTTATTAACTTCATATACAATATAGTACAAATATAAAAGCAATTAACAGCACTGTCCTTAACCAAAAAAAACTTAATTTTGGCAGAATTAACATTACTGAGCTGTCTAGACTAACTTCGAGTGTTAGCCGACGAATTAATCTAAGTATTAGCATTAACAATGTATTTTTTTTTCGTGTCTAGACAGTCTGTTACAAGCTATGGCCTACTTTAGCACCATTTGCTTCCAAGCGCTTTTAAAACAATTTACAAAGCTGATCTATCTATGCTTACATTCTATTATGAACAATTTGGTCCTTTGAAATTAAAAAAATATATTGTCTATGCTAGTTCTAAAGGAGTTTTCAAGAATTAAAAAAACTGGTAGTTACAAATACATTTAGAAAACAATGCAGTAAGTTCAAAAGCAATTAAAACAAAGAGAAGAAAAATACACAATATCGTTTTCAGCTATTTATGGGTTATCCAATAATGACTTTCTAAGTACTCATAACATGAGAATGGGTTAGGTATTTTTAATAAAATTTTACACAGATCTTTTAAAGTTTGGTTATTACAAAAGCCTTATCCAATATTCATCCGCCCACAGAATTAGACATTTTCTAGACATTAAAAGAAATCTTTAAAGTTTTAAATATGATGATTGTGAGTGCAACAGAGTTATAATCATTTCAACACATGTTTTTTTACATATAAAATACTTGTAGGAGTACAATCATGGAATCTGTCGGTGTTCCTAATAGCGAGTCGTTTAAACATTTTGTTAACATTAAGACGACACGAAAAAGTAACCAATAGGATGCAGATTTTTAACATTTGGATGGAAAGAGTTGGTACACGGCTAATTGCTTTAACGAAACTCACTGCTCAAGCAAGGAACAAGGTATTTTCTAAAATTGGACCACCGAGAAGGACTCTGACTGTACATTGAATAATCTATAAAACATATTTAAGTACAAGTTTAAATGCTCTTTCTAGTTTTTAATACTTTTATTAATTAACTAGCTGTTGCTCGCGGCTTGGTTTGCGTGAAATTAAAAATTAGTTAGTCATAAATAAATTATTTTCCTAACGGTGTAAGAATTAAAATCGGTCTAGTAGTTTTTGAGTTATTTTAATACAAACAAAAATACATATTTTTCCTCTTTATAATATTAGTATAAATTGTACAATATATTTTACTTAGGTTTTTACCAAGAAAGTGGTTACATAAAATATCTATAATATTAGAAAGAAGATTATTTTAAACCATTTAAGTGAATAATGATATTCTAGACGTATTAATATAACCGTATTAAATAAATAAATAAGCTTTTTGCTATTACACGAATACTATCTCTTTCACGTCAACTGTTCACTAGTATGCATCTATCTCGCTTATATCTTCAGAGATTAAGGGCCTGTCCCACCAAATTGGAAACCCCATAAAATATGTGGTGGAAGAAATATCGTATTATGTTCTCTTATCTGACAGTGACGTTTTTATGCTATCTGAGACTCTATCAGCCAATGGTAGGACAGGCCCTTAAAATTATTATTAATAATAAATACAGCGTAAAATTCAAATAAAGACAGTACAGTAACAGACAGTAACAGTGGTAGTGCCCGCTTTTAACAGTGGTAGTGCCCGCTTTAACATCTTCGCACGAATGGGCCGGCACGCCCGGTGTAATACCACGACCACACAGAAAACAGGCGTGAAGTGGAAGCAATTCCGCGTTTCGTCTGATGAGTGTGGTGCCGGAGGCCTAACTTTAGTCCCTTTTCCTTTCCACCCTTTTCTTAAGGGGAAAGGATGGGAGGGAAAAGTGGATTTGACGGTGGAGGAGACGCATAGGAAGGGGAAATGTCCTCTTTATGTGCGTCTCCTCCTCCGTCAATTAGGGTAGGCAACGCATCTGCAATTGCGGATGTTTATGGGTAGCTGTCGCTTTCCATTTCGGTGGATTTAGGTGGCCGCTTGCTCGTTTGTCACCTCGTATTATAAAAAAAAAAAAAGTATTATGTTAATACAAATATGTAATACTTTTAATAATCTTAATATGCGAAGTATATTAGGAATACAAAAATAAAGTATTCTTTAAGTAGATAATTTTAAATTTGCGCTCTCCTAAGGGGTATATTGATTTTCGAGATTTTTATGCAAAAAGTATATAAACACTAGCTTTCGCTCGCGACTCCGTCCGCGCGGGATTAAAAAAATAAATGTGAGAACCCTATGTGTTCTTCCAGATTATTCTCTACATCTATGCCAAATTTCATCGAAATCCGTTCAGCCATTTAGGCTACAAACTCTAATAAACATCCATCTATCCATCCATCCATCTAAACTTACGCATTTATAATATTAGTAAGATTTATTTTGTGTTAAAGCGATTAAGAATCAAAAATAAAAGAAAATCTTTGACAACAAAATGCGATTTCGACATGTTTTAAAATGCTAGAGTCACTTTATTTTTTCTGTCTTTTTGCATTCCATCTTATTCCTATTTATAAAAATAAATGACACAGATCTAAAATATATTTTTTTTGTCTTGTACCTTAAGTACTTAAAAAACTTGCAAAGCACAGATTAAAACAATAATTTAAATATAATATTAATACTTTCTATTACTAGACTAGAAAGTTTTAGATTTATTTTGTACGCAACTAAATGAAGGCCTTAGTTTAAAATATCGGAATAGAAAGGTTTCTACGTTCATTTATTTTAACCGAAAATATTAAATCGGCAAAAAGGCACTGACTTTGTTGAAAAAATTTCTTCAACGTTAAAATTATATTAAGATCACTTGGCAACTGTCATTTTATATACACAATTATTTTTCCCGATCACTGCATTATGTTCCCTGACACTACAGTTTATTTCTATCTTCAGAATGTTCCAACAGACTGCAGTATGTTCTAATTGACTCCAGTATGTTCCAACTGACTTCAGTATGTTCCAACTGACTTCAGTATGTTCCAACTGACTCCAGTATGTTCAAACTGACTTTAGTATGTTCCAATAGACTACAGGATGTTCCAATAGACTACAGGAAGTTCCAATAGACTACAGGAAGTTCCAATGGACTTTAGTATGTTCCAATTGACTCCAGTTTGTTCCAACTGACTGCAATAAGTCCAGACTTACTCGATCACGATCCGAGTAATTGGAGTATGATTCAACTATATTTAGTATGTTTCTGTTCCAACTGACTTCAGTATGTTCCAACTGACTTCAGTATGTTCCAACTGACTTCAGTATGTTCCAACTGACTTCAATATGTTCCAACTGACTATTTCTATTTGTGATGTTCCGTTTCCCTAAACTGCAGTGTTTCCCGGGGCTGCAGTGTTAGATTACTAGCTTGCAGAATTATTGTATTGCGGTCTACCCGCTAGCTCTAATAAATATCTATCGGGATGTTCTATCCAATCAGCGGCGGATAGTTTGACCTGAAAAAAATTAAAAATTGAATGAACTATACAGTTTTTAAAAGTAAATTGGGTAAATAGGCGCAAATGTCACTACAAAATTATATGTTCAAATAAAAAAAAATAAAAAAGTTATGAAAAATTAGAAGTTATGTAAATTTTTTTGAAAAACACATTAAACTTTTTTGATCGGTCTGATTTATTAAGTTTACAGCTTCTTGTTAGGTTATGAAGTGTGATAAGTTTGTATGTAATATATGCACTTACTTGTCTTTGCCTCTCAGCCTCGCGAACCTGCCATTTCTTAACTTCTAGTTGGTTTTCCCGCGACGTCTGATCGCCGCAGCCCCATACCTATAAATATTATTGTTTTACATAAAACTAAAAACTATACTTTAAAATATGTTTATATAATCAACATCAAATGTAAAAAAAGTCTTTATCAGATTTCTTCAACAGTTCTGTTATTTTAATTGAAATAGGTACTAAAGAAAACATATTTATCGATTCTGCACAATCTACTCTATGATGATTTACTCTTTGACATAGAATATAGATGGCATAGAGTATAACATAACTTACTCAATTTCAAACAGATTACAAGTTTTAAAACTATCTACTCTATGATAAGTACCAATTTAGTCTTTGGCATAAACCACAGACTAAAACATTTACCTTAGACAACTTTAGACATCTGAGAGTACAAGCATACCTCGATAGCCTGTATAGTGTAAGGCACGCCCTGGAAGGTGAAGGAGTCGAAGTCATCATTGACGGAGAGCAGCGGCTTGCGCGGGTCGCTGCCGGCGCGCAGCCCGCGCGGGTAGCCGCGGATAGACGTGTTCAGATACAGCATCTTTGGTGCGTGCTCTATTACTGCGAATCTATGGATAGAGGAACAAAATAATTTAAACCCTGATGTAAAATATTGAGACATGCCATAGATTGTATAGGAGATGAATCATTTTAATCTGCTGTTTAATTTTTCTAAAACACTTTTACTGTTATATTAATATTGCAACATAGTAACCTAATTTATTTAGTAAGTTTATGCGTATTCAAAGCAAGAAATGTTTATGACTAGTTACATGTTCCATGTTTATCTGAGTTAATTAATAAATAAAAGTTAAATAATTAATAATAATAAAGAAAGAAAACTAAATAATGTTATCACTTTTATAAAGAGTAAATTAAAAAAGTCATTGTAATTCATAGTGTTAATTTGTGTTAATTGTTAAGTGTTGTTTTTTGATTCCTTGCAAGTTTTGATAGCCGATAAACATTTATATGCTATATTATTTAACTTTTTTATTTAATTTATAGACTTACGTGGGATATAATTGTATTAGTGCGCAGTCAGGCCCGCCCCAGTACTGGTGCGTCTCGCGCCACTCCTGCGGACACGCCACCACGGCCGTCATCTCCGCCGCCGCCACCACCACGAGAGTGGGGCCTCTGTATAAACACTGCATTTAAACCCCATTTCCACTAAGCGAATAATCGCGCTCGCTAATTTCGCCCAGTGTCAATTTGCAAATATCAAAATGAAAATGTCAACGAAAGCTTTGCTATTGGCTAATAATTGTCGTTATATGTCAATCTATTTTTCTTTACTATCGCCTTTTACTTTTTGTTTCTTTCTCGCTGTCTTCCAATTTACGAGATTTTATTTTTACAAATGTGAACAATAAAAAAAATTATAAAACAAAAATCGTTATAGATTATTCAATTATTATTGGAACAATATTGATTTCAATGAATGTCAATGTAAAACGTATATCCAATACCGCAAATGTGTTTCTGAACGATTAGAAAAATAAGGAACTGTCAAAATTTATTGCGCTAAAAAAAAATCTCAGCCATCTTATGGTCTTGTAAGGGTTTTTTTTTTATTTATCAACTTCTACAGACTCTTGGTCCGTACTCTTTTTTGCACAGTTTGTTTTCCTTTTCTTTTTCTTTTTTTTTTTGATGAAAGAAAGAACAGTTGGTTTATATTTTTTTTATATGTAGCAAAAGAGCAAGCGGCCACCTGAATCCGCCCAAAGGGCGAAGTGACCGCTGCCAGTAAACACTCGCAATAGCGCATGCGTTGCCACCCATAATCGACGGAGAGGCACATAAAGAGGATATTTCCTCTTCCTATACGTCTTTTCCATCGTCAAACCCACGTTCCCTTTCCATCCTATTCTTATGAGAAAAAAGGTGGGGAGGAAAAGGGACTAAAGTTGGGCCTCCTGCACCATACTCATCAGACGAAACGCGGAATTGCTCCCACTTCACGCCTGTCTTCTGTGTGGTTGTCTGGGCGAGCCGGCCCATTCGTGCGAAGATGGGCTCTAGCACTGTAAGTTGGGCACCGACACCACACCAATTACCTGTAGGCGAGGGTGTGATGCAGGAAGCGGTTGGCGCCGAGGCCGTGTTCGCGCGAGGCGTAGAGCGGCGCCCAGTGCGACGGCACCGCGCACACCAGCCGCGCCAGCCACAGCGCCGCAGCGGAACCGCCGCCTAAATATACAATAATATACTAAAATATACTTAAATATACTATCTATACTAATATTATAAATGCGAAAGTTTAGATGGATGGATGTTTGTTAGAGTTTGTAGCCTAAACCGCTGAACGGATCTCGATGAATTGGCATAGATGTAGAGGATAGTCTGGAAGAACACATAGTGTACTTGCATATGTTTTTTTAATTCTGCGCGGACGGAGTCGCGTGCGAAAGCTAGTCTTCTTTATATTGTCTATTTGCCGTTCTTTATTATGTATTTTTTATTATAATGCTGTGTTCGCCTGTAAGTGTATCCAAGATATTGTGTTTTTAGTTATAATTATTTTTTCTCATTAAACTTTCAGGAAGCAAGACTGTCAAGGTTTGTCATGTCATATCATTTTGACATTTGTTATTGATAATTTGACAAATATAAACAATAAAATGAAGAATTTACAATAATACACGGATGAATCAACGCGCGAACAGCTAGCAATATTATAAAGAGGAAAAGATTTGTATTTTTGTATGTATTCAAAAAACTCACTGAGTAACATATGCTATATTATTAACGTTTTTTCTTTATTTGATGGGGCGACTGTGTAATATGAGTGTAGTTTACCGGAGTGCTGTGCGGGCGGAGGTTTGGCCGGCCTGGAGTACAAGGGGGGCGCGGTGGCGGCGAGCAGCCAGGCGGCGGACACGGGCAGCAGCGCGCCGCTGCCGGCGAGCCACGCGCCGCGCTCCAGCACCGGCGTCGCCAGCTCCAAGCCCGCGCCGGAACCGTTCGACTCCACATGCGCTTCTATATCTCGGTGGCGGGTCGCTAACATATGGACGCAATATCTGTCGTGGAATTCAAAAAAATAACCGACCGATTGATTGTACAGTCAGATGCATAAAATGCATGAAATCAGCAGTAATTATTTCAGCCCCCTTTAGACAAAGTACCATTCGATTTTCGCATCGAAAAGTCAAAAACGTATAACTGACAACATTCGATAAGTCACGTGCTTGTCACGTATTTGTTTCCATATGTTTTGACACATTTTGTCGACTCTACAAGAGACATCGCAATCGAAAGTCACTTTGTCTAGAGGGGTAAGTCGGAAGTAAACGCAACGATAAGTCAATAAATATTTATGTTGACTGTATTCTTAACACTAAGGGAGCATCGAACGAGAAATCACCCATCAAAGAGGCTTAGCCTGTCCCACCACAGGCTGATAGAGGCTGAGATAGCTTGAAAAATGACATCACTTTCACATTCCCTATGTATAAAATCCGATCTGAGATATTTCCATCTCATATTTCACATGTTGGATAGTTATCAGACAATTTACAATTTGGTGGGACAGGCCCTTAGTCTAAAACGTTCTGATCTCACTATATAAGAGTCCGTACACACAAACCGGGGCGCACAATTTGTTTTAACAGTATTACGCTCTATTTCATTAGCAATCAAAAAGCTTCGAACTACGGTCTGTTTTGTGTGAACGGACCCTTATTTTAAATGTAAAAAAAATGTCAGCACAAAATTTTTAGTATGTAAATGTACCGTTTGAAACACTTACCTATGAACGGGAAATATAAGTCTGTGGCAATGCTCTCCCAACCAACGCACCACAAAACCAACACTATGCGAATCTTTCTTATTAAAGCAGCCATTGATTACCGCTGATAATGTTTTATTTATCTGCAATTATAGCTTCGGTCAAAGATCAAGTATGTGGTCTTTATATTTTACGTCATTAGGCCACTCACCATTAGACAGGTCTGTGGTCCTTCCGGATAGTGGTCCATGGACAATTTATAGCTTATGTAGAGTAGACTTCTTAAGCCGTCCGGAGTTACAACACTTTCATCCGAATCTGAAGTGAACATCCTGTAAAGATAAGAGAAATTAGTTCTCAAGGACCTTGTTATTCTTCCTTTTTAGTAATATTATAAATGCGAAAGTTTAGGGTAATTTTAGGGGGAAAGGATGTTTGTTAGAGTTTGTAGCCTAAACGGCTGAACGGATCTCGATGGAATTTGACAAAGATGTAGAGGATAGTCTGGAAGAACAAATAGGCTAGTCACTTTTGTTGTTTTTAATTGTACGCGAACGGAGTCGCAGGCGAAAGTTAGCAAAGAATAACTGTTTTTTATTGTATCTGAATAACCAAATACGGGATGTTCAACAAATCAAAAATCATAGAACACGTAAGCGAACTTCGAAGTCTAATATCTGAATATAGGATGTTCTAAAAGTCATTAAATTACCTGACATAAGCTTCAATAATAGCATTGTCATCAAGCATGGCCATAATACGTTCGCATTGTTGTTTGAACGTCGACAGATTTATATGCTTGTTTTTACACTTTCCGGTCTTGTGGAGATATTTGAAGAAGTGTCTCGCCAGATCCGGATACATTGGGAACAGATATTTCTGTGAAAGAATACTTTGATAAAATGATACAAGTATTGTAATCACGTAAGCTTGTTAAACGTAGTGTAGTCCCAAAACACAGCTAGACACTGTATTGTTAAACACGTGTTTTAACTCTGACCGACTCTGGGTCGTAAAAAGGGTTTAATTAAATTTAAGCTAAATTGTATTTCGTTGTCTAAGGTAAATTCATAATTATGTTTTTGTGAACGAGATTGACGACATTGTTTATCTATTGTACTTAATATTATAAAGTTCGTATTTTTGGATTATTGTATGTATTGAAATAACTCAAATACTGGGCCGATTTTCAAAATTCTTTCACCATTAAAAAGATACGTTATCGGTGAGTAACATTAGCTATTTTTTTTTGTTTTTTATTTTTTTAATTTCACGCGGACGAATTCGCGATCTACAGGTAGTATTTTGACAGTGGAAACCTGTAGTAAATTGTATAATTCGTAACATACCTTGTTTTCATTCCAATGAACGTTTACAATATACCTGATGCTTGCTAACGTAAATAAAGGGGAAATCATATTTGTGCAGCATTAGCAGTGTTATTATAACATTTACTTATTATAAATTATATTATAATGATAGACAAGTAGCTAATCTTTACCGTAGGTTTCCATTGTAGGAATTAATTACATATTTCTATTTTTATTTATTAAAAAAATGCGGGTATAACGAGCGACAGGAAGGACAAGATCGTCACGACGCCCATAGACATCTGCTGCCTGAGGAACTACAGACGCGCTACCGACAAAGAAAATGGTAGGCTCGCGTCTTGAAAGACCTTAAGCCGTACTTAAGCGGTTTGGAATTAATTTAGTCCCTTTCCCTTTCCACCCTTTCTTGAGAGGAAAGGATGGGAAGGAAAAGTGGATTTGACAGTGGAGGAGACGCATAGGAAGGGGAAATGTCCCCTTTATGTGCGTCTCCTCCGTCAATTAAGGGTAGGCAACGCATCTGCAATTGCGGATTGCCACCTTATATTATAAAAAAAACCGATGAGATAAGACCATTCCACAAAGCAGTAGAAAGTTGGGAAAATCGCACGACTGTGAAAATCACTCTTATTCGTTTAAAAAACAACTAATGAAGTTTTTGTACAGGTTTTTCGACAGTGAAAACTCGCTATAAATGTTTAACTCGAAATTACTTACAGTGAAGCAGTTCTCCGTGACTCCATTCACGCCATCTTCTTTCTGTGACCGTTGAACCAGCAACTGAAAAAGAAAGTGATTTTGTTACCAATAAGAACTACAAATAATCCTATACTATAAAAAAAGTTAAGTACATCTACAGGGTGATTCTTAACGGACGGATCTCAAGCTTTATGGAGGTGAAGGACCTCAATAGCTATCGTTTAAATGCAAAGTATGTTCCCCGATTTTCAATAGCTTTAAACCAGATTTTCACGCAAAATTCTCCTGTGTTAGTATTTTATATCTTTATTTTCAGCAAATCAGATTTAAAGTATGCTAATTACATACATCTGATATGTCGAAAACATTTTAGTTTCCAATTTGTTATATTTATTTCATATTTCGCGTTTCGCCAATTGCAAAGATAAATACAAGGAGACAAGTAATTCTGACCTACGTTATAAATATACTAAACAAAATTAAACCTTAACAACACACGATTAGAGTTAAATTCGAATTTAATAATGCGTTCAATAACAGTAGCCGTAGTAAAATCTTATAAAAACAACATAAATTACTAAGAAGTCTAGGACAAAGCTTCATATGGTCGGCAGAATGAACACGTTCCAACCATAGATGGATACAATCTAGACAGGACAAAAAAACATAAAAAAGTAGTGTATACCTCTAGCTGCTCTACTAGCGAGCTGTCGAATCAAATTACACGAAAAGTATTTCTTACAAGCTATAAGAGAAGAAAAAAGAAAATCCATATTTAAAATGTACAGTCAGCTGCACAAATATGTATATCATATGTATAAATTTTTCTAATTTATTCTAAATGTGGCTTATAGCCCGTCCGTTGCAAAAATATTTATGCACGTAGCATTTCGTAGACGGAAGCATACAGATTTGTGCATTCATATTTTGGAAACCAAAGTTTACATATTAATTTAGCTGACTGTACCAATGCAAAGCTATCAAAGTGGGCTTTCTTACGAGTGCACAAACAGTTAGAAAACCTCACATAAACAAACCGATATTACAATACTACCGTAATTTGATCATCAAATATTTAAAAATAAAAATTAAAATTCAAAATAAAACTTGAGTCTTTATTTTAGTTTCTTTACTATTTTTATCGATAATTCCAAAAGATTTTGTTTGATAACATTCAGAAAAGATTCATTAATAAAGATTAAAAGATTACAGTCAATGGTATTTTAGATAATTTCGATATTATCATTTAATTTTCTCTTATCGGTTACATTATTTTCATACTAATTAAATGTTTTATTAGATTTTCTCCTTGACCCGGCTTCGTTCCTTACAATGTCAAATTTGAGGTTCTTTATCAAAAACTAGCTTTTGCTCTCAACTTCGATCGCGTGAAATTAAAAAAATAATAAAAAACATAGCCTGTGTCAATCACTGATAACGTAGCTTTCTAATGGTGTAATTTTTTTTAAATCGGCCAGTAAATTTTAAGATATTTAAATAAATACAAAATCTTTTCTCTTTATTATATTAGTATAGACAAAGTTAGGGGTGTCAAAAATGCCCAAGCCAGTCTTACGAAATGATGGGTCGTGTTCCGTGAAGGCATTACTATGACCCTAGATATTTCTCAGAACTTTGAAACTCTTGGACTATGCATTATAATGATCTTGACAATGGGTCTTTAAACGATGACAATTGCTAATAATTGCTACTGTTAGACAGGAAGTAATTATATAAGTTACTAGCTTTTGCTCGCGAGTCCGTCGGTGTGGAATTATTAAAACAATAAAAGTAATTAGCTTATGTGTTATCTATACCAAATTTCATACAGATCCGTTCAGCAGTTTAGGCTACAAACACAACAAAAATCTATCCATCCATCCATCTATCTAAACTTTTATATTTATAATTTTATAATAATGTTTTAACACTTTAGACCTACTTTACTAAACAATTATCAAGCGTCATATAAAATCTAGTTCGACCGACTCAAAAATATTTTGGACAATGTTTTTTTTATTGTGTTGTAAAACTTGTTTACGACATTCGGGACTGTACCTAATAATTTCAAGAACTGTTTCAATGGGTTATCAGATTATCATATTCTTAGTACTTTGATGTAAATATTCGATCTGTTATTTTTTATACTGACTCAAATAGATTAGGTTTAACTTTATAATGGCGGTCTTTTTTATTCTCCGCTAATTATTTGGGAAACTTGACCAAATCGAATGGGAAACGCCGATTGATCGATAAGACGAACAGTAGAACGAGAAATATTTACTACCGCAGAGTAGTTTAGTGGTTACTTAAAAACTCCATAGTGTGAAAATTAGCTCTGTGGTTAACGGCTCTGAGTTAGCAATTAAAAATCAAGGTTATAATCGGATTTCTTAAAAAATATCTGGAATTTTATAGTACCGAGTAAAATACCATTTATTTTGCGACTACTTAACTTATCCGAGCATGTACTCTTAGTTATAAAAATAATAAGTAAGGCACAATAACTCGCACGTAAACCATAATATTTATATGAAAAACTTATTGTAAATCTATACTTATATATAATACTTAAGCGTAAACACACACTTCTTTGTTGCCTAAGATGTCAGCAATTACAGCATATTTTTCCAATAACTCTTTTTTTAATAAAAAGCCCTACACCGCTGTCTCCCACCGCTGCCCATAAACATCCGTAATTGCAGATGCGTTGCCTACCCTTAATTGACGGAGGAGTAGACGCACATAAAGAGGACATTTCCCCTTCCTATGCGCCCCCTCCACCGTCAAATCCACTTTTCCTTCCCATCTTTTTCTCTTAAGAAAAGGGTGGAAAGGGAAAGGGACTAAAATTAAGCCTCCGGCACCACACTCAACGCGAAAATGCATTCGCTTCACGCTTGTTTTCTGTGTGGTGCTGGCCCATTCGTGCGAAGATGTTAAAGCGGGCTCTACCACTGTTAAAACTTATGGATTTCGATAGCTGTTACCTTGCATGTCGGAGCCGCAGTCGTCTTCCGTACTTGTCTCACTTGTATACCCACTATAGTAAAACGTAAATCGTTTACAACAACCCTCCAGCGATCCATCATTAATAAACAATTAAAAAAACCATAACGAAAAAAAAACAATTTACAGTCAGCAAAAAAAAAACTTTTTTTTAAATTTATATTACAAGTTAACACTTCACTTGCATTTAAGCCTATACTGTTCAACACTCGATATAACCGTTACGTTCTTGCGTTAACTATAACAATGGATACGTATGAAAACAAATCATTTATATCTAATACATGATAAGATAGGGGTTACTCGATATAATGGATAAAAAACGCATTAGTTGTGTAAGTGCGGGAGCACACCTTTGACTAAACTATCGCACAATTGTTGTGCGATAATCTCGCAGCCAATTCAACTGTTCAGTTGCACAACTAAAAATCGAGTAGAGTATGCAACTCTATATAAGCTCATAACAATCAAAGCGCGACTAAACAGTTGTGCGATAGTTTAATCAAATTAGTGAGAAAGCTCTAAATGTTGACGAAAAATGTTAGATTTACGCGATGTATTGACATGTAACTCTTTTCGTTACAACGTCTACCGTTACTTGAATACGATTGAATGGAATCAAAACGTACTTGCCTGCAACGTCATGTGATGTATTGAATTGGTTTTCATTGACTAATTATAATTATCTTTTATTAAATACTAGTTTTAACTCGCGACGTCGTCCGCGCAGAGCTTTTTGTTTTTTTTTTAAATCCAGTAGCCTATGTTAATCAGGGATGAAGTAGCTTTTTAGTGAAAAACGAGAAAGCGGCTACCGGAATCCGCCGAAATGGCGAAATTACCGCTGCCCATAGACATTCGCAACAGCAAATGCGTTGCCTACCCTTAATCGACGAAGGAGAAGACGCACATAAAGTGGATATTTCCCCTTCCTATGCGTCTCCTCCACCGTCAAATCCTCGTTTCCTTTCCATCCTATTCTTATGAGAAAAAGGATGGAAAGGAAAAGGGACTAAAGTTGGGCCTCCGGCCTCATCAGATGAAACGCGGAATGACAAACAGGCTCTACTACTGTTTTTTTTTCTTCGGCAGTTCTCATAGCGATTTTTTTTTAAATAGCTCCAGTGAATCCAATATAAACAAAATTACAAATCTTTTTAATATCAGTAGAGATACGTCATAAATTTGCGCAATAAAGCGTATTATTTTGGGTTCCGTAAGTATACGGGTCTAATTTTTAATTAAACATCCCTTGAATTTAGGAATCCTTTAATGATTTGGGGCTCCCTAGTAAGAATGTCTTTTAGATTTATAGAGACCTTTGACAAACAAGCTATTTATTAGAATGGATGGTGTCCCTGCAGAACAAACATGCGGTCAAAAGAAAGTTCAATTCTGAACATCCTAGGAACTCCAGTGATTTAAGGTTCTTGCGTAAATAAAATGTAAATATGAGTATAATGTTTCGAAGGAAGGGCTCAGCTCATGGCCTTTCTGTACAATCATAATTCTTAAAATTTATAAAAAAAATCATACCGATCCAAATTTTCTCCTAAGTAATCTCATTGGAACCTAATGGAAAAATGAAGCACTAATGACGGAAAATTGTTGATTCATATCTCGTATCACGAGAAGTGCAAATAGATTTGACAAGTGTTTGCCGCACCATGTGATCTTCAAACGCACGTGACGTATGTGCCCAGGGTTGTCACTACTACACGAAAGGCTGACATATCTATACAAATATTGTAAAGAGGAAAGATTTGTACTTTTGTATGGATTGAAATAACTCAAAAACTACTAGGCATATTTCAAAAATAAACCATTAGAAAATTGCGCTATCGCTGAGTAACATAAGCTATATTTTAAAATTTCACATAGCGGAAGTCGCGAGCAATGGCTAGTATTTAAATAAACTTTCTGTCATTTAATGTTTACTTAATCATCTTTTAAAAAAAAGAATTGTCATCATCAATCCATAATAAAAGCCATATTTCATTGTAATTTTGTTACTAAGTAAAAAGTGAGAGCACTTTCAATAACTTGAAGTGTGGTAGTTATTCTCTTAATGACAATTAACAACAAATTATAGCAGTTAGAATCACAAATACAAAATATTTCCAGCTTTTGTTCTGAACATTTATCTTACTGTCTTACTAATATTATAAATGCGAAAGTTTAGATGGATGGATGGATGGATGTTTGTTAGAGTTTGTAGCCTAAACGGTTGAACAGATCTCGATAAAATTTGGTATAGATGTAGAGGATAATCAGGAAGAACACATAGGTTTTTGTTTTTTTAATACCAAGCGAACAGAGTCGCGGGCGAAAGCTAGTATTTAATAACTTGCTTTCTACTTCAATTGTTCTGGCACTGAAATAAATAATGACACCTCAAAAAAAATCTTTTACTCATAGCCCACTTTTTAAATGATTCAGACAGGAAAGGCAATTGTGTGGGTGTTGTGTACTGGAGTTGATGAATCAACATGAACTCGGAATCTCAAAAGAATTGTAATAGAAAAACAGAAGTTAGAACTGTATTCACATTCTATTTTAAACTGGACTAAGTATTTATTTTCTGCTACTGTAACATGTATAGAAACATTGTGATCCCTTTCATACTTTTTAAGAAATAGAGATGAAAATATATATTTTTGAAAATTAAATTCCCCAAAATGAAGAAACCACAAATTTCTTTTTTATGTAATGCTTTTACACAATAAGTGACAAGTCTACAGTCAAAATGTTTTCCTTTTTTATTTGATATTTATATTTTGTTTTATGTGACAACCCTATCTCTAATATTAATTGACCCCATAATCAATGGGCTGTTGAATACAATCACAACTTGTTTTATTGAAACACATACCTTTTCATACAGAGCCAATGTTGTTCATAACATGGTATAAAAGCAAATATGCTGCAGTATAAACTTTAAATTGTAATAGTTATACCATATTTTAGCATTTAAAATTTAACATAATTTGCACTATAATAAAAATATATTCAATCTATTAGTAACATGTATCCCCTTTTTATTTATCTAAAATTTTAAAATATCATTATTTTCTATATAAAATACTAGCTTTCGTTGAGACTCCGTCCGCACGGAATACAAAAAAACAAAAGCAAACAGACTATGTGTTCTTTCAAACTATCCTCTACATTTATGTCAAATTTCATCGAGATCCCTTCAGCCATATAGGCTACAAACTGTAACAAATATCCATCCATCCATCTACACTTTAGAAGTAAGATAATCATTATGTAATTAATTTTTATACTTAGCATAAGCGAGGGATAAAACAAAAGTGAAATATTGTTTAAAATTACTCTAAGTAATTGTTTTTTTTTAAATTCTGGACTATATTAGTCATAAACAGGCCAGTGATATATATCTTAGCTAAAGTGTGCATGGATAAATAAAATGATATTATCTGTTAGTCATAAGTGTTATCAGGTTGAGATCTTAAAAGATTAATGTCATTTTTGAGTTGTAAATGCATTTATAATCTAATTGTGTCCATTTCAATAACTATATGTAAATCTGTACAACTTTTATAAATAATGGTTGTCATATTGATAATAGTTTGACATTTTATTGTGATTTTATTTCTCTTTTTACTTATTTTTAGATTTGATGGAATTACTTTGCTATCTATTGCTGTTATCATAATCCTTTGTACATTGTTTAATACCACTCCACTACTAGAGCTAATAAACGATTAAAATTTTACTTTTAGATCTTTCATCTCGAAAAAAATATGACTTGAGTATAGAACAACAATACAAATTGTAACTTTTAAAGCTGATATCATAAAAATAACAATAGTTTAGCCAAAACAAACATACGTAATTTGATTCAAGGTTAAATATTCGTTCATTTTTCATACGAATAGGGAAGGAAAACAATTAGTAACCCTGACTACGACCTTGTTTGCATAACATACCTTTGCCAGTTTCTCAACAGGCACCATTGACGTGGTTTGAGTAGGTTCTGGTTTCTCAGGCAGTTCTCCACTTGATCCTGACCGTGTACCTCGCTGGGATCCTCGAGGAGTACTGGAACCACTGCCTCCTTCGGCTGAAGACTTTTCATGACTATTATGACTTCCCATTTTGTTATTATTCTATGAGCACTGAAGAACTCACTGCCACGAAATTCACTTTAAAATGAAGTACCAAAACCTATAAAATAGTTATTAAATAACCTTAAAACTTAAAACAAATAAAGTAATCGTAATATTGTTAAATTATTTTACACGGCGATCAGTCTGTTGGATTAGACAGATCATTGACAAATTGACAAAGATCGACACAGATAACACATAAATAGCACAGACTATAAAATCGGAATAGTAGTGATTAGCCACGTAATCGATTCCACGGTTTTATGTTTTTACGAATGTGTCTGGCAATAATAAAATAAATGCAATACACCAGTTCTATTTCCCTTGCATTGATTAACGACAAAGGGCAATAAGTTTTATATATATCCTCTTGCTATAAACCACACTCTCTCTAATCACACTAATATTTTTATGATACCTTAGGATTGGTTGATGTAATGGTAGAATTGTTTTAGTAGTAAAATGTTCATTAACTAGTTAAATAACAAGAATTCCATTTTTTTATGATTTATTAGTAATCAATTAAATAATGTGAGTAAATTAGCTCGATTTGACACTTTTTAACTAATGTAATCACCGAAAAAAAAAATCGATTTCAACGAGTTGCACATCGAAATTATTTTTGTACGTTTGATAGTCGTCATTAGAAAAACCTCTATAAATATTGAACATCTGAAGCGTGGACACCATAAAGGTAATAATGAGCAAGTTGTCTTCCGTTATGGGTGATTAAAGTTAATCTTGGCGTTACTCCCGTTAACAACACAGGTCGCACTGGCAGGTCGGACGTTACTTCTGCTGGCGATAAATTCGCAAGATGTTTTCTCAACTCGTCGCGCGATGAAAACGTCTGTTCGCCATAAATTACTTCTCCCTGCATTGGGTGAACTATTTCCCATGGTAGTGATGTTTCGAAATAACCACCTTCACCCTGAAACCACAACATCGATATTAAAAATGGTCAGTTATGTTAATTTCATTGTTTTAATAATCAGCTTACTTCGAAGTTAGATACAGCATAATGGTTTCCTCTCTTAGCAGTGACAACCGAGACTAGAGCACCCTCTTTGTTGACGATTGGTGTACCAGCGATATAGTGATTGGCGGACTCGAATGTGGGCGCACATCGCCATTGCGCTAAACGACCGTCGCTGGACACCATCAGAACACGTTTGCTACGGTTTATAAATACCTGAAAAGATTTTAATTTCATTATTACACTTACAAAATACTACTTTATCTGTAAGTCTTTGAGAAAAAATAACAATATTACGTAATATTAGCAGTATTAGGTATACCTTTTCTGCCGTGTTCTCATCGAGCCGGACAAAGGCAAGCTCTCCAAGCGGAGCCAAAAGTTCCTCGGTGAACACATCGCAGTAATGATGAGTGTCGTTCACACGCTCTTTTACCTGGAAACACATAATCTATGTTTTTTTTTCACATGGCAACAAAAAAAACTACAAACAGATAAATTTGAAATTACGGAATTCCATTTGGAAAATTATCCGGTTTTTATATAGGAGCCTAGGGGACGATCTTGAGTGATATTACCAATTTTTTTCCAATGTTTACCCCGATTGATAAAGAGGGTAATGGTTTGCGCGTATTGTTTTTATTTTTTTTGCGCGTTTGTATGTATACAGTCTAAAAAAAAAAACGTGAAAATACCGAGTTTTAATCTCACACGCCATTGCTTTTTATTAGTTTCTCGACGTTTTTTTGACGTTTTCGAGTATATTAGTTGTGATTTTTTTTAAAGTGGTATTTCGTTTCTTTGTTACCACTAAAAAAACTATCGTAAATTTTACCTGCTCAGGCGTGCAGCAGTGTATGGGAACAACTGTGCCAAAGCTGGCATACTTCTTGCCATTTCTATGATGCACCTCAGCTGGTATCGACATGGACTCCACCAATCCTTTGTATACTTCATTCAGCACCGTGCGTTTAGACATCGTGGTACACTGTAAAACAAAGAAGTACCTATTTAAGGCTTATTAATTTTTGCATAAAATTATTAATAAACTTATCTAAACACACGTTCTACACGATTTCCTTTATGTACGTCCACGTTGAAGATTTAATGACTTTCCTAGTTTTTAGTACCTATAAATCTTTATTTAGTACAATTTAAAAAAAACAATTGCTGTTTAATAGTAATAATCGATATAATTAAGGCGACAACCGACAAAAATATAAATATTCTACACACCCTGATAATTGTATCTCGTATAGCTTGATTAATGAAATGATAAATTACGGATTATAGCAAAAAATAGAAGTAATTACTTTTATGTAATCGTAAAAACGTAACTTTAGCTTTTAAATTAACTTTAAATTGTTTAAACTATCGTGAGAAAAGAGAAAATTACTTGCTTAACTTTGGTTGTTATTTTAATAATTTCATTAAAATTGATTTAACCGATTGTTAAAAAAGTCATCGAACGATTAAATGCAGCATATCGTAAGAAAAAATCAAAAGTTAACCAAAAATTTCTTTCAAATTCGCCAAAATTAGTAAAGCTATCGCTGCCCATAGACATACGCATTTGTAGATGTGTAGACCTTTAAGAACCAGATGGGGAGCACAGAAATTAAGTTTAAAAATAGTAGCAACTGGTTATTTTTTTATATTATATAAAATATGCATTAAAAAATCTCACCTGTTGTAAATTAACAAATACCAGCTCTGTCTAGACTTATAAACAAAACTGAATCCAAACAGATTGCGATACACCGACTTTGTTTATGATAACGTATCTTTTTTTTTGATAAGATGTTACTAACAGATGAAGGTAAGATGCTAAATAATGCTACATACGTCAGGGAGGTGACAGTTTTATATCTACGATGACGTCATCGAATTTGTCTACGTTTAACTTCATAGTATGAGATTTGTTTTACCAAAACCTTATTATTATTTATTGTTGTTGTTTATAATAGGGTAGACAGATATTGAGGTGATCTCGTGACGCTGACGATCTATGGTTTCATCATGATAATGCTTTCATAATGGTTTTCCGAAATAGAAAATCGTTAATTGGTAGATTGACAAATTGTCTGTTATTTTACCTAGTTCTAGCACCTTCAAATAAGCATGCAATTGTTTTGTTGAGCAGACATTTTTATTAAAGCATCTATATCCGCATAGTAAAGTTACAATATCCTTAAAAAAATCGAGTTTTACGCAATAGGAATAATTTTCGTCTCACGAAAAAAATAAAAGGAACAAAAAATCTTGAATTAAATTAAAAACTTACCTCATCAGCTAAAATAATATTGAAGGTTGTAGAAAACACAACCAAATATAAGGCTTTTACTCTTAAATCCATTTAAACGGTGGAAAATAAAACAAAGTGTTTACTAGTTAACTATTAACGAATAACTAAAAGAATGACAAATACATTACGATGTTTATTAATATATTTCTATACAGAATATATAATGTTTATTCTGGGATTGTCCCAAATAAAGATATAGCGATATAATTATGTTGCAAATAGTTTATACCCAATAGTATTTTACATGTGCGTAAGTTTTTGCTACTGCGTATAAAACTGTTCTGTCTCATGCATGATATTGCGTAAGAATTAAAATCACATATAAATCTAAAAACACACTTACCAAAAGCAAATAATTCAGAAATATATATAAAACTTCAATCAATTGGTAATATAAAATTTCGTATTTTAAGAATTATCTGAAGTCTAAAAATTTACGATATTTCAATTGCGAAATGAGATAATTCTCATAAAACAGAGGTCGTATAACGAGTGTTATTGTAAGAAAGGCTCCTAGTGAATGGTGACTATCCAATCACATCCATAGTCCACTATTATGCCCGGTTTACATTATGCCAGTAATGATTTAAATCAGCGCTGGCCTACAACTGGCATAAAATACTATCCTCTTAACTCCCATCCCAAATGGTGGTGGGTCGAGTTGTTTTTTCACTCTTCCACTTCGTTCTGTCCTCGATGTCCTCTGATCTTCGTCAGAGATTTGGGAGTCACCCCTGTCTAGTACTATTACTGTCCAACTGTAATGGCCATATGTAAACTATTTTTGGTAGAAAATCCCGGATATCATAATATTTAGGGTTGCCAGTGGTTCCGATAATAATTAAATATTTCGTTTTTCGTAGCAAACTTTTACAATTTTCACGCTGAAAAACTAACCTGCTTTACTGAGGATACGACACCTCATTCGTATATCATTTTGATCCACTATTTAGTTTATAGACTTGTGTAATGCTCTGAAGTGGCTTGAACTGGGTTAACCCTTAAATGCATTTTTTCTTTTTAAATACCATGAATTGAAACGGGCAGTAAATTGAACATAGATTAAGGGAAAAAAAGAAAAAAAATTGCTTATTCAAAATAGTCTATTGGGTAAGGAAGAAAAGACTGATGTTTGAACACCTGTATATTTTACTTAAACCAAATACAGTTTCAATATGTTTTAATACTTCAATTATTAGGTAACGACCTAATAAATGAATTATTAAAACAGTAATAACAGCATCATAAATATCATACTGATTTTATCGTGTATAATATACGATGATGGTGTTATACGTCATTGCATATGTTTGTTTCAAAATCTCATTACGCAGTTCGATTATTTATATGTGATTCTTATTTCAGACATTCCTAAAATCGTAAATACATTGTATTATGTGCTTTATGCCGTAGGTAATAAGTGTCTAACAAAAGGAATAAAATGCTTTGGTAAATGTTAATCGGGGACTCCCTGATCATAAAGCAGAACGTTTCGTTTCATGTTTCTATTCTTCGAGTATATAATCTGTGATAAAATTTAAATTTAATAATAAGTATAAATTGCGATTACACATTTTATTTAATTATCTAAATTTTAGATTTAAATTTAATTATCGTACTATTAAAAAATATAGTTCATAGAGCAATAAATTGCGATAAAAATTGAGTTTTGAGTTTAAGACAAAAATAGCAAATAAAATAACATTGTAACACATATTTTACAAAGTGAATATATTTCAAATTAAACACCTTCTCAAGTCTTTGTTAACAAGTATAACATCGAAATCAGTGCCGGGGGCCCGTCTAGCGGCGTGCAGACGGGCAAGGCTGGTTGCACAGAGTCGGGCGCTTAATGCCGGGTCGCGATACAACACTTTATTCCCGCTGTGACCTACCACTAGTATATAGTGACCCTTGTAGCGACCACCAAACGCACGTCTATAAGTCATACAAAACATTTATTATTAGTAACAAATATTCCTCAAATATTAGATTTTCTAGGTCACCCTGGACGTAGTGATTCAGTTAGGCGGGATAGTCTACTGTAATCAAATCACCTTTAAGCATATTTCCTTATTAAACTGAGAGAAACTAAGTGAAATAATATTAAAGGTATGAAAGGTGCCAAATTATTTATATTTAGATTTATAAAATTTCAGGTTTTCATTGCATGAAAGAATATTAAGTTAATATATAATATTTAAGAACACAAACATTATGCATTTTTATCGAGTGCTGGCTTGTTCGCGACTTCGTCAGCGTTGAATTAAAAGATATAGTCTATTTTACTCACTGATAACAGGTTTTTAATGGTGAAAAAATTTTTGTAATTGGTCCAGTAGTTTTTGAGTTATTTCAATACATACAAAAATACAAATCTTTTCTCTTTATAATATTAGTATAGATATACAAAAATATTACCTGAACTCTGCTTTCATCTTGTTATGTTTGCACAAGTCACATATCAATAAGGGAGAGTCGACCAGCACAATAGCAGGACCCTTACACTCTACATGAGACAATATCTCCTTTACAGTTAACTCTTTCTCTTTTATACAAATTCCAGCTTCTTCGGCATTAAGTATTCGATTTTCTACTCGTTTACAAGCCTAGAGGACATATATTGATTCCTTTACATTATTTCTTAAAGAAACCAATTAGGACCATTAAAGAACTATTATAATCACATGCATGTCATTATTTAGTATTGCTAAGCCAGTACATATAAAAACTACTTTGAAACAGACTATATTAGTGACTAGCTGTTGCTTGCAACTTCTGCATGAAATTAAAAAAATTATACAAAATATATTCTATGTTACAGATAAAATACCTTTCTAATGGTGAAAGAATTTGTGTTTTTGTGTGAATCAAATACATAAAAAATTCAAAAATATAAATCTTTGCTCTTTATAACATTAGTATAGAAGTATAGATAAATGGCCAGTAGACAGAGGTTAAATCATCAGTTGGCAACTGATGATGACATATTTAAATTGTAATTATTTACCTTATTTAAAACTGGCTGTCGCTCGCTACTTCGGCCGGGTGAAGTTAAAAATAATAAAAAAGTATAGCCTATATTACATAGTGATAATGTAGCTTTTTAATGATGAAAGAATTTTAAAAATTGGCAAAGTAGTCTTTGAGTTAATTGAATACATACAAAAATACAAATCTTTCCTCTTTATAATATTAGTATAGATAATTGATTACCTGGTAATCTATTCCATCATTGATGGCTCGCCTACTATTGACAGCCTTTACAATAGTGTACATGCAATGCTCAATACCAAATCTGTATTAAATTGAATAATTACTAACACATTCACAAGCTTTACAACTTTTAACACAAAAGTGAACAATCACCAATTAATGATTTTGAGATTGCTTTGCTTTCAGAAAGTATGTGTTAACATCTGCACATAGCCATCTAGCTAAGATTGCATTATTAAAACACAACATCCTAATGTAGCTATTTTTAGCAAAACAATTTTGTTTTTTTTTTACCTTTTTAATAAATAGCAAAGGTCTATAGTCCATGTTGACTGTAGAAATCCTTCATCCAAGCATATTTTTGTGAAGTGTTTTCTTAAATAGTCTCGTTGTTCTGTTGGAAGTAACATCATGACACATGCAATGCCACAATCCCAATTGAAACATTGTTGATAATGAATTATATTGTGTTCGATATATTTCGATTTTATGGGTACTGGAAATCAAATTAATGGATTACATTATTTACTAGATATACTAGGATAGCAAGTATTCAAAATTAACTTCATAAGATACTACACATATTGCGTACTTTTATATATATTTGCTTACGTTTATCTTTTGTAGACATTTTTTTTTTTTCAATTGTTAAAGATGTAATTCGTCCTTATTTTTGTTTATCTATCTTCTTATGTTAAGCATTTAGCTTAGAAAAAAAGTTGAAATAATTCTTCGAGTTTTGATATAGTAAAAACAAATTAAATGATTAAGTGTTTTGATAAGAGATAAAAGTTTTCTTTTGAATTTCGTATCAACTTGCCCCGGCTCTGTGTTGACATGTTTTGACATTTTAAGTTTTTAATTTTAACTTAGCTTCTCTAGTCTAAAACAAGGGAAATACAAGTTATGTTCTATTAAATTCATGATTTACGATTTGCACTTCTACCTCGTAGATGTAATAGCTCCTACCTTTCTGGCTACCCATAGTTTTTAGGTTCACGTTAATTGCTCAAAAACGTTAACAGGTATAAGACCTTTGGTTTTACATTTGCGTGGGTTTGTTTTTACAAAATCTAATATTTCATACTAGCAACAATATCGATTTGCAACTTGACAAACAGCTGATATTTTATGGATTGTTGACAATTGTCAAGTTACCTTATAAAATTAAGAATATATAGAAAATAAAGAAAATGGCTTTTATAACAAGAACAACATTTAGATTGTTACAAATACGAAATTCCACTCATAGTTCTTGTAGAATAAGACAGTTGAGTACTAAAACGGAAGCGACTTTGAATGAAGAGGAATCTGATAAAAGTAAACAAACTCATTTTGGTTTTAAAACAGTGAATGAGGAAGAGAAATGGAAAAAAGGTTAGTCACTTTTTTAATTAATTACAATGTAATTTAATATTTTATCAGATATCTCGTATGAAAAAAATATAACCTTTAACTCAAAGCTTAATGCGATTTATTTGACCGGCCACCTTAATTTACCGAAAAAGCGAAGTAACCGTTGGCCATAGACATCCACCTACCCTTATCAACACAAAAGGAGATGCCATAAAGAGAATATATACTTTTCTATGCATCTTCACCAGCATCAAACCCACTTTTCCTTCCCAAACTTATAAGGAAAGATATATTTATTTTATTTTCAGTTCACGAAGTATTTGAAACCGTAGCAGAAAAGTATGATGTGATGAATGATGCAATGTCTCTCGGCATTCACAGGCTATGGAAGGATATATTCCTACAACGACTAGCACCTACACATGGGACAAAGCTTCTAGATGTAGCTGGTGGAACTGGTATAAATATTTTATTATTCTACCAAGTCTTACTAATTTTATAAATATTTAAGTTTAAATAAATGTAACAATATATGCTCAAAATGGCTTTATTGATTTTCTTAGGCACATAGGCTACTTTAAGTTATTTTTATTTTGTGCAAACCACAAGAAAAGATAAAACAAGCTAACAATGTGACGGAATAATGTTTACTTATTCCTCACAACTAGCTTCAATTACTTTTTTACTAATAGTTTTGATAATAAAAATTATTTCCAGGTGATATTTCATTTAGGTATATAGATTATTTAAAAAATTTGGGCCCAGCACCTGAAAACAAGCAAAGCTTAGTCATTATCAGTGATATTAACCAAGCTATGCTTGATGTTGGAAAAGTTCGAGCACAGAGGTAAATAACAGCAATAATAATCACATTTATGAATCAGTGTTAAACTTACACACCCATACCTTTATTTTCTTGCACTGCAAGAAATAGTTAAAGTGAGAATTAAACAAAATTGTTTTCTCTAATATTAATAGGATTACTAACACTAGTCAATAAGCTTTTTGATGTTTTAGTTAATTATATCTCTATTAGTGCAAATCCTCACAACCACTACCATTAGCACCAAAATGGCGTAAATCAAACAAACACAAAACACAGTTCATAGCTTATCCATTCATTAATACCAATTCCGCTGTCATTTTACTACACAATTACTTTAGTATCATGTTTATACATGTGAATGGTTTAAAACAAGTAACTGCAATAGGATCAACAAGAACTCAGAAAAGCAAAGCCAACTGCACATAGAATTTTTCTGAGAATATTGGATTCATTAGACAATTCCTTCATTCTCACAAAACAATCCATTTACATAGAAAACCATTTTACACAATATTTTTCACCAAAATTGCCTTCAGAATGTTAACACATTTTGCCAGTACGATTTGTGTGGTACTGTTAGTTTTAAATTTATTTATTTTCTTTGTAGACAAGGATATACAAAAGAATCTAGCGGTGTTGATGTTCAATGGTTGTGTAGTGATGCAGAAAAGCTCGCCTTACCTGACGAGTGTGTTACTGCATACACTATTGCATTTGGTATCAGAAATTGTACTCATGTTGATAAGGTTCGTGAAATGTTACATTCTTATTTGCATCTTACTAATTCTTTATTTATATTATAAGGTGGCAAAGGAGCAAGCAGCCAGTTGAAACAGTCGAAATGGCGTAGCGACCGCTGCCCATAGATCTGCAATTGCAGATGCGTTGCCTACCCTTAATCGACGGTGGACGAAGACGCACATACAGGATATTTTCTCTTCCTATGTCTCCTCTACCGTCAAATCCACTTTTTCTTACTAATATTTTGGTCAAGTCTTGATGCATGGAGAGATGTTTGTTAGAGTTTAACAAATGGATCTTGATGAAATTTGGGTTGGAGATAATAGTCTGGAAGAACACATAGGCAACTTCTTTTTTTTAAATTCTGAATGTGGAATAGAGGAGAATGTAAGTATTTATTTTACTTACCATGTAACTATTTCGTATTACAGGTCCTAGAAGAGGCATACCGCGTGCTTATGCCTGGTGGTCGTTTTATGTGTTTAGAATTCAGTCAGCTACCTAATTCTGGAATGCAATGGTAGTATATGATAGCTATTTTTCTTATATTTTTTTAACACATATTTGATTTTTTTTTCTTTACAGGTTATATGACCAGTATTCTTTCCAAGTGATACCAGCATTAGGACAGCTTATAGCCGGACAATGGAAACCTTATCAGTATTTAGTGGAAAGTATAAGGCAATTTCCAGATCAGGTTAGTTTTACTATATTATTTGATCTTGCATATAAATGAAATTGGATTATACAACAGTATCTTCTATAATAATATTGTACAGAAAAGATTTGTATTTTTGTACTACTGGAGCTATTTCAAAAATTCGTTTACCATAAGAAAGCTATGTTTTCGTTGAGTAAAAGGCTATAATTTTGTATTTCACATGGATGAAGTCACGAGCAACAGCTAGTATATAATAAGATCAATCTTAAGCTCCAAATTACTTTAAATTTTGGACATCTGTCAAATTGTAAATGGTTACGAAGCAATGTGATGCAAGACTCATTTCAATACAAGGCACTTTTACGTAACGTCACTTTTTTTTTACTTTACATACTTATAATTAATTCTGATTTAATAATTTCAGGAAAAGTTCAAAGGTATGATAGAGGAGGCAGGTTTCAGGCAGGTGACTTACGAGAATTTAACATTTGGAGTTGTCGCGATTCATTCAGGTTTTAAAATATAGTGATTAAAGTTTATTAATTTATTTAAAAAATGTTTTTATTTATGAAAAAAATAAACATAATCTCCAATACAAATTAGGATTAAGATGCATGATTTATCCCTTATTTCTAGTCTGAATTTTTTTGTGCAAGACAGTAATATCCTATAGATAATATCCTATAGATAGATAGATTAAGGGTTACATGTCTCACTACTTTTAACTAAATTGATATGGTATGGAAACCCACCTTTATTTACAATTGTTATAGTTTCTAGCCGAGCCTTTCAATGACTTAACATTATAGAAGGATTGTCAAATAATTGTACATAATATTTTTAAGAGATATTTATTGATCAAATCATGTTGGTCTTTGGAATGCTGGTTCAGTACCTAAATTACATTTCACACGCTATGATATAGTCAAATGGTTCACAATAATGATCAGTCGAAATTCATTATAATTATGTAACAATTTGTGATTTTTTAAATTTGTAATTTACAATTTATATCTATTCTATATGTAAAACACAATCTCTGTTCCCTTTACAACATTCGCACCGATAGAAAATAATAAAAAAAAAAAACAATGAACCGGCATACCATCTGAGCACTCTCTCTTTCTCGCACACCATCTCTCGATTTACTGTATATTTTGTATGAAAGCTCAATTAAGCATGCTAATTATATTTATGACATCGATTTGTTAGAGCTAAAACTAATGAGCAAAGCTAATGTACTCTCGCCTTAGGGCCGTGGCGCACCTACGAGTAGGATAATTACGCAGACATCGAGAAAAGCAAATAAAGTGTGAGTTAAGGATATCCAAAACAAACAATTAATACTCTCGTATTATACCGAGCGTGCACTCAACATAAGTTATTTGGCAAAAATTTATATTAAAATCATACCCAAAGATCCATGATCCGGTGTTCCTGCGTCGAGCGCGGTACGTGACATCCGTTCACAATCCAAAAAGTTAACTGTTCACGTCTACAAGCGATACTGAGCGGAATCCTCAACCGAGACAGCCGTCCGAGATCCTTTGGTACGATCCGAAATCCGAGATTCCTGTGCGATGAGTGCGCGCGTCCTACCCGCCGGTCCAGCCCAGCCATCGAGCGAGATCCTATCCTAGGCATCCTGACTCACACCTCCAGCCAAGCACATCCAACGAGCCAAATCCACAGTGGATGAAACAAAAAAAAAGTACTTTTAATTATATCAACTCGATTACAAACTACAATTTATACAACTCATTCTGTAAGCGACTCAAATCAGCTTTCATAATCGGTACATTTGTTAAGAGAAGAGAGTGCATGTGATATGTCGCCTGCAAAACAAGGAGTATGGAAATACATATTGTTCTTATTATAAACATGGCAGAGCGCTAAGTGGGCGCAGTCTCGGGGCTACGGGGTCGCGGCGCCCGCCCTCCGCCGCGCGCCGCTCGCTAACTGTCAAACAACATCACCTTCAGTCCCACACCGGCACAACTCTACTGTTAACAAGAAAATCACTACTGCGCTGCAGGATTAACACAACACTAAATCATTGGCATGTACGTCCCTTCCCTAGCTGACATCTGTCAATGTCATTGAGACGTATCTTATAGTGCGCCATTCTGGCGGGAGTCGGTACTTTAGTCGTTAATTATGTTGATACAATTAAAAACATTTCTTTCACTACACAGCAGCTAACATCACCTTGTAGACATAAGGGTAACTACACAGACAAACTTATCTGACCCGGTGGGAATAAAACACACTAAGGGCTTATCCCACCAAATTGTAAAAATTCTGATAACAATCCACCGGTAAAATATGTGATGGAAATATCGGATTTTGTTTCCCTATCTGACAGTGGCGTCATTTTAAAGCTATCTGGGCCACTATCAGCCAGTGGTGGGATAGGCCCTAAATCATAATAATCACACTAAATTACAATTACAATTATATATTAGCAATCAATGCAAAAAAAGTTTCACATGATGCTAATCGAATTGTGGACACACTTGTCAGCCCCATGAGCATAAGTAGAACTAAATCATAATTAGATAAATCACCTTAAACATTTAATACTTGTTATTTTCAGTACGAATTTATGTAATATCTTACATTTAACGTATTTAGTATATTGTTATAATATACTGTTTTTTAAATACAACTACCATGTACCTAACATCACAGTTATATAATAATAAATAACAAAAAAAGTGCCCCATATCAAATATATAAAAAATTCTTGTCCAGCCTAGCTTTCTTGTTTTGTGTAAAATTCCTTAGTAAATCTTACATATTTTCTAATTGAGCTAATCACAATCATTGTTCCTTTCTCACTGATCCAGATAACTTTGTCTTATTTACTAAGTATTTTTAAATGAATAAAAAATACTATAAGATAAACAAAAAGGTCTTGTACTACCAAATTGGTAGTAATTAAAGACGCCCACCTCGACGGGCTGCTTATCTTTAAAAGTATGTTTTTTATTATAAGAGATTGATTATACAGGAAATAGTAAGTACAAGTAATTACAGTAACCTCGTGTTATGCTTTTGGATAACAAAGAAATAAAATTAATAAGTTATCTATGTAAAATAGTTTCTTGTATTTTATGTTCCGCTGAAATAAAGTAGTGATTAAATCATTTCAAATTAGGCATTATCATCTAGTTTTGTTTTCACTAATTTTTCAACTATCAACATTTATGACGAATCTGATTTCTCTTCAGCCAGAAAAAGTTGTGACATTTAACACTTAACAGTTTTCGCATTTAGTTTTTCACAGTGTTGTTAAATTTATTTGTAAAAGTAATGTGTACAAAGATATATGTGTAAGTGTGTAAAAGTTCTATGGATTTTAATTGTGTAAAAAGAAGTTTGTGTATTTCATGTGTATAAAGACGTTTGTATTTCAAATGTGTACAAAGACGTTTGTGTATTTCATGTGTATAAAGACGTTTGTATTTCAAATGTGTACAAAGACGTTTGTATTTCAAATGTGTATATAGACTTGTGTATTTCAACTGTGTAAAAAGTAGTTTGTATATTCTAATATGTATATCAAGTGTGTACATGTATGTAAATGTGGTGCGATCAGTCTGACCTGTTCAGTAGTTGTGGTCACGGCTGCGGCTGCGGCTGTAGCTGCGGCGCACCGGCGAGTAGGTCGGCGAGCCGCGCCGCCGCGGCGAGTACGACCGCGACCTGCCCGATGCACCTCTATATTTGTACACACTCCATTTTCATTGTACACAATGTAGTTACAGATTTTGAACTAGAATATACACCTGGTAAAAGTGCTTCAGGTAGATTCCTTGACATCATTAGACTGGTGTGTATAAGGAGAAATTACACTGTGTCTTCCAAGTTGTAAAAATATAGCAGAGTAAGTACATACTTACTCTATGATAAAAAAAATCTGTATTGGAATATGTTTTGTCCACTTTACTATCAGACTAATCAGACTTTACAATAATAGATATAGATTTTACAAGAATATCAGGTGCTATACTTCAAGAATAAGTAAATACTTTTTTTCTCATATTAAGATTTGAATTTGAATTAATTCACTTGATCAATGTTAACACTCAAACATGTTTGAAAACTAACAGTGATTTACATACTAATGTTGTTTTTATTAAGAAGCTAATAATTCTTTGCTAAATTCAAGGATTCTTTACATAATTGTCTGAATTACTTTGATCTGTGGCCATGATCTGAAATTAGACTTTAACACATGTAGATTTCTTAGAGCAGCGGTTCTTTCATGTACATGTACATTATATTACAATATTATTACCTGTCTCGATCACCACTGTATCTGTCACCGCCACCACCGCCGTAGTCCTCCTTCACACGTATATATGATACTTCGCCCTGAAATAACACACCTACTGTTATCTCAATGGAAATGAGAAATTGTAGTTAGACACTAGCTTTGGCCCGCGACTCTTTCCACATGGAATTAAAAAAACCAAAAGTGAGTTCTCAATGTGTTCTTCCAGACTATCCTCTACAATAATGCCAAATTCCATTCAGCTATTTAGGCTACAAACTCTCAAACATCCATCCATCAAACTTTCGAATTTATAATATTAGTATGATTTCAATGATTTCTTATACAATGCTAAAGTGTTGTTACGTCTGTGATCGACCTTACAAAGGTAAAATCGTTGAGATAGGTTTTTAGTTTTTAGAAAATGGAATGAAATTTTAATTCGTCTATTTCTTTTTAATTTAAAGGGAAAAAAAACTATATTATATTTACCAAAACATTGACAATATTTTGACAGATAATACAGGTTAGTTCAAAATGAGTAACAGTGTACAGTATCCTTACCTCATGGCTTCTAAATCGCGAGTCATCAAGTTTTTTCACTGCATACTTCATATCTTCATGGCGGAGGAACTCCACCACACCGGTGCCGTCCTTGAAAGTATCCGCGAAGCAGACATCGCCAGCTTCACGCATGTGGTCTTTGAGATCCTGATATAAATTCATATGTTGAAATATTATTTTAATATTAGATTACAAGTTCATAACAAGAATTGATAATTTTTGGTCTACTGACTAGTCAAAAAGGATTATTATGTCAATGTTTATGGGGTAGTTAAAAAAAGTCTTGCATTTTATGGTGCTATATAATATGACATTTTAAATTATTATGGTCACTTAATACAACATAAGAAGGGTTTGAAAATATACCTTTATTTAATTTCAAGTTGTACTTTACATTCAAAACTAATCAAAGTATATCCTAATACTATTTAGTTACCAACCTGCCAAGATCCCGATGGTGGTAACCCAGTAACAAGTACTCTGTACTCCGAGCGCCTTGCTGGAGGGCCTCGTGTGGCCGGTCTGGCACCAAAGCGGTCCCCACCCCCGCGCCCGCCCCTCGCACCACCACCACCCCCGCCACGGGGAAACTCCACGCGTAGACGATAACCGTCGTAATCATAGCCATCTCTTGCACGTACCGCATCATCTGCATCCCTGTTCAAAATGTGATATTTCATCATCAGCACTTCCCTTCCAGAGAACATGAATTTACTACAGTTTCAGTTGACTTGGCCAGTACAGTTGGAAGTCGCACAGGCTTCGCATGGATTAAGTACTGACTGGGGCCAGTTAGTGTTCATACGCCAGTTGAATGCCAGTCCAGTTATTGAGAGCTACTGACCAACTGTACTGTACAAGAGTGAACCAGGCATAAGATTTAGTCCACTGCCCAAGTGTAGATTGATTAAACTTGATTATCATTTAATTATTTTCAGATGTGCAGGTTGTGAATGTTGATTTCGTAATGCTGCTAAAAATCTGACAGACATCATAACTTTAAAGAAATTTGAAGTTAAGCATGGTCTTATTATTAACATGCTGTTACAAATATAAATTTTGTTTCAGTATTCAGTTTTATAAAAAAATATTAAACCCGAGTATGGTATTATTTAAATCAATTTTGTGATGCTTTATCTTAGACTTCAAAGTTTCACAATATTAATATGCTTGTTTGTCATATACTTATCGGAGTTAATAAAGTAGGCATAAAGTATGTTTCCTGCAATACCTGACCTCTGACACTTTCAGAGTAATCCATAACTACATAATAATAAACAATACATAATACATAATAAACAAGTAATTTCCAAGTATTCACTTTATAAAGTTAAAGATAAGCAAGAATACTCTTGATTGAACATTAAAGTAAATAGAATGCAACAAATCTATACTGATATTATAAAGAGGAAAGAATTGATTGTTTGCAGTGAAACTATCAAACCAATTAAAAAAATCTTTTATCATTAGAAAATAAATCAATCACTCATTAACATAGGCAATATTTTACATAAACAGGAGAGGTTGGTTATAAAAGAAAACCAATGATAATCTATATGTAATTTAGTATGGAGAGAGAACACTGCCAAAAACAAGCGGCAGTTGTAAGCAAAAGTTAGTTGTTACACAAAAGTAAATTATCAATTTCTTATCTTTATTCAAATCCAAAGCCCACTTAAAACACTCTCAAGAACTTATCATTAGCATAGTTTGATAGTCAGTGATAACATTAAATTTTAAAACTTAGTAGTTAGTCTTTTATGCAATGATCTATGACTAGTTTTAGTAATACTGGCCATCAGCTCTGACAACCAAAAAGTTTTACCTTTAGGTAGCATTCACATTGATAGCAATGTATTGTGTGACATGTAAATGATAGTGGTCGTTCCATGAGTTAAGTGGAACATTAAGACTTAGTTGAAGTGGAAAGCACTGTAGTACTGTTCCATTTCTATTCTATACTTACCGAACTTTGCAAGATTTATAAATAATCAAATATGAAGTTAAAATGTTAGAAACGATAGTTTAATGTTGCAAAATACAATGCCATAGCGAAATCGTACATCAAAAAAGTCGTGAACCAGATGTTTTTCATAAATAAAACTACACACGCAAAATTATAATAAAAATTAAAAATTATATCAACAGATTACGAAAACACATTATGACACGTTAAATTTTATACAAAACCTTTATGCACCGTATGTTTGCAAACATATTCTCACCTAGGATCCTCGAATTCCACGAACGCGAATGGAGGACCTTTTCTGTTTTTCAAATCCACGAATGTAACTTTGCCGAATTTGTAAAATAAGTCTTGAATGTCCTTTGTTCTTATGTCCGGCGGCAGGTTTCCTACGTATATTCTGCACTCATTTCGGTTGCTACTGCTTCCTCCAGACATTTTTATATGTTTCGAAGAAAATAAACTTTTCAATAACAATTACCTTAAATTAAATTATTTGAAACGAATTATAGCAGAGTATTTTCTTATCTTTACGAATAAAATAGAAGCTACAGCTGAAGCGTTTGTGACAAATACAAGATGGCGGCAATGGCAAACGAGCAAACCAAAACGACAACGATACGAATAGATCGGATATTCATAGTATGGCAAGTGGTAAGAAACAAAGTATCATTAGTTTGTGTTATAATTCATTACTTATATGTTTATGCATTATTATACTTATGGCTGTTTATTTTGTATAAAATAAAGATAGTTGTTTAATACATTTTTGAAAACATTTGAAAATGAAAACAAATGTACTTTTGAATAACTTTGAGAACATCATAAAATGTTTCAGTTTTAATTTATGTAAGTTAGAACTAATCGAGGAAATAGACATTTTTTATAGAAATATATTCTTTAAAGTGTCCTTCTTGGCCACATATATAAGATGCAAAGACCAAGTTTTGTGTTTCGAATCGTTTTGAATTTCGAACGCCCTCTGCCGCAATTGGACAAAATCCGCACTGAAAGAAGCCTGTGAAAGAATCCTCTGGAAAGTAGGCATACGATCTCCGGTATCTAAATCATTACGTGAGAATTTGTTCTTTAGCCCGAAGTAAACGTGAGTATTTTAGTTTTAATATTATTCCTAGCTTTTCTATTAATTCTAGTTCTTAAAATTGGTGGATAATTTTAAGTTTTTCATGATTTTCCGAAAATTCTGGATAGTATTAACGTGGGTGAAATTAATCTCTAGTCTCGACCCTTGGGTACCTAGCAAAATGTTTATTGATTTAATTTCAGAGTTTCTATGGGGATAAATTACACTATGTCATATTAGGTTTTTTACGACATCAAATTCGTACTTTGGGGTTTAATCTCGTTCCTTTATTCGTATAATCTTAATGACTGGTATAACTGCTAAAGCGACTATTAGAATAGCAAGAAAAAACCATAAGCAGTCGATTGATTGCGTCAGGTATTGATAATTCTCATTTAATTTTTATTTGATGGCTGAACTTTCACCAGTTTTCCAATTACCTTTTCATAAAAGGCGCGCCGAAGTCCCGATTTTCGCGCCTGACCTTTCTGCATTCTATAAATAGTTTTGCTGTTATTGAACGTAAACAATCAATGTGGCTGTTATACGCATGTGGTGGAAATCTAGGATGTGTGAACGGTAGGACCGAATCAGGGTGGATGTGAAGTGGTTAGAACTTTTTAGTATTCTGCTGTAAGAACTCCCATCTTGTTTGTTTTCTCATATTCTGACATTTCAAATGAAATTCAATTGTTATTTTTGACATGAATAAAGTCAATATGACTGAAGCAAATAGTAGTGCAATGACTGATAAGGTTTCAATTGGCACATGCCAATAATTTACAAGCTGAAGTAAATAAATCAATTTAATAATATATAATATAATATAAAACTTTAAAATAACTGCTCTTTTTTGACATGGGTCAGTCTTACAAAGCATTTAAATGTAATGGCATACATTTAAACAGAGCAGCAGTCATGACATCCTCCCCCTCCCTATAAGATCAGTCAATAATAGCTTTCTGTAAGTCCTGTATATATTAATGCAGAAAAGTCAACACTTCTCAGTCTTTGGTTAACTATTGCAAAGAGTTTTAGTCCCATTACATAAATAATTAAAAATGTCTTTGCGTGATCAGAAATCTTGGGATAGTGCCACAAGTACTGACCCAAAGTGTAATCGGTAAAAGTTTTTTATAATTTATGTAGTTTAAATTTTTCTTTGTCAATGAAATTTATAAATTGTTGAAAATTCTTATGTATGGTTTACACTAATGAGCTTTTTTTATAATATGATTTTTTTTTAAATCTAATTTTGGTACTTGATATCCCAATACAATTTTATTTGTAATTTTTTTGGCCTATATTAGGGTAACATTTTAATACTTTATTATTGATTTCTAATTTCATAGTCTTTTGCACCACTAAAGAATAACTAATAAATTTCAAGTGCACCTGTTTGTTTAAGAGTACAAATAAATATTATAATTCTATTAAAATATCTAAGTTAATATAATGTTTCAGCTATACACCTGACAATATGTGTGACCGCAAGGCGGTGATCAAGAATGCCGACATGAGCGAGGAGATGCAGCAAGATGCAGTGGACTGTGCAACACAGGCCCTGGAGAAATTTAACATTGAAAAGGTATGCCTTTGTTATATTACTTTTATACTTAATAGTCCACACATTTCATAAAATTGGACAATTTAGATTTTTTGCCTATTGAAATCTATAATTTCTACAAATATAGTTTGTTGCATCTGTTTTTTCAAATAAAAATGTAGGAGAATCAATCTGGCTAATAATTTTCTGGTTTATCTAATAGAACTATATCCTTTATTGCAAGCTTAAGAACTAAGATGGCAGTAAAGTATATACTAATATAAATGTGAAAATTTGGATGTATGGATGTTTATTACATCTCCATAATGAAATTAAAATTTTGCCCTGATATAATATAGAATGCATAGGACATGAATAGATGTAGGGCAAGAGATAGAATGCATTGTCTACTCCATTTTTTTATTTATGTGGACAGTAGCGGGCAAAAGGTGACATTTAAATTGACTTAAGTGGAACAATACAAGCTTATAAATTATGTAATGTTACCAATAAGATAATAGCAGATTTGCAGTAGACATTGTTACATACATATCTAATTTTGTACAAGTTTCAACTGCAAAGTTTAAATTATGGCATTGCTTGGCCATGAAATTGTGAATACTAATTTAATTACTATACCAATAGTAATAAGGTTATGTGTTGCTGAGACTGATAACTTAGGATTCTTATCAATTGGTTGCCTGTGATAATTTGTGGTCAAAATTAGGCAATATTTTTCTCATAGAAAATTGATAAACTTTTAATTTGGTCACTTATTTGAACCCTTTATTGGTAAATTTAAAATAATTCTGTGATTTCAAGCAAGATCATTTTTTTTTTAAATCTGATGCCTTCTAAAATTTCCGTATTGTAGAAAATAATACTTCAAAGTGTTGATTGGTGAAAATTTAAACAGGAATTTAGGAAGTAAAGCATCATGTTTTGTTTTATAAAATTTAATCAAGTAAAAGGATATTATGTATGCGCGTCTTAGTATGTGTATTGTTGCAGGACATTGCTGCATTCATCAAGAAGGAGTTTGACAAGAAGTACAACCCGACTTGGCATTGCATAGTCGGCCGCAACTTCGGCTCGTATGTCACGCATGAGACGCGTCACTTCATATACTTCTACCTTGGCCAGGTCGCCATTCTCCTCTTCAAGAGCGGTTAAACCTCTACACTGCACCTTTGCTCTAAATTTTATGTTGTTAGCGATGGACATAGTATAATTGGGTTCGAGGATCACCTCTCGGACAACCTGCCAACTCATCCCATGCACTGTGACTTAGGACACGATTCTTTACATTCCTACCTGGGGGTAGCATTTACCTAGTTTATTCGTCTCCTATCTGACTGTTGGGGTGTGTTGACTTCGGGAGGTGCTGTTGTATATGTACATGTATGGTTGTGTGAGTGAATGGTAGAGTGAGCGGTCACCATGCCTCTACACCCCCTCCCCCTCCCTCTTCCCCCTTCCCCCTCAGACGGTGTTCCACACGTCGAATCTCCAACACTTGTAGTACCCTGCGCACTTGATGTATGTTTCTGTGTTAGCTATATGTTAAGGTTCAATCGACTTGGGAAAAACATTCACTTTTAGTGTTATATTATTAAAATTTTTAGTTTTATTCCTAGACTTTAACCTAGCATAGCTGAAGTCATATGTTAGTACTTATCTAAATTTATTGTTTATTTCTTTGTTTTACAAACACTGGAGATATTTTCACTACTTCTATAATAAATTAAACTTTCTTACAAACCCATTTTGTTGTTTTATTTCATACTGGAAACACTAGTCTAAAGTAAATAGTTAAGTGACTAAGTAATAGGTACTTTTATCATGGTAAAACAAATTGGATACTTGCTATACAACACTGACATCCATACACTAACCAAAATGTTACCTACTTTCATTAGAGAAGATACAAACTAAAAAGGGATGACTTCATAAATTCTTTCCTTCCGAAAGAACCATATAGACACTTTATTCTCACAGGAAATGTGATAATACTCTCATTATAACTACACGCCGGTCTTCTATTCGGCTGTTTATGTAGTAGCTAAAGGCTGCTAACATAGTATAAAGAGGAAAGATTTGTATTTTTGTATGTATGCGGTTCACGTAAAAACTACTAGGCCGATTTCAAAAATTCTTTCACCATTAGAAAGCTATGTTATCGCTGAGTAACATAGGTTGTTCAACATTTTTTTTAATTTCAGCGGGCGAAGTTGCGAGCAACAGCTAGTACATAATATTTATTTTGTGAATCCATGGCTTCCGCAGCTATTTGAAACCTATCCTTCGTAATTGTTTTGAATGGAAACCAAACCTCATTTCCCAATCCATTAGGAAAAAATATATTAAGCCGAATCATCCGTAGACCTATCGATTCAAGAGGGGATAAGCAGAGATTACACATTATTCTGTTTGTCACAAACACGAAGGTCACAGCTCAATAAAACGACTCCATATCACACTTCTCTACACAAGGAGCGACTATGAGCCGTAGTATTGTGTGTCTATTTGATTTTCGCCATATTGGCAATGACGGTAGCGATTGTGAGGTGGGAGGATGACTAATGATATAGAGTTAACTGAGTGTAACATCAAGCCCGTTGAAGTCGGAATAAAAGCAAGAGCTATTCTAAGCAACGACCTATTCTATAAAGAACAGTAAGGCATACACGCTTGAAAACAATGTCGCTACCGCAGTATTCGATTATTGTGACACATTGTATGTTATATGAACTAGGTAACTCCCCAAGCGACAATTACATCTCTGAGTATGACAGTAATAGAGCCAGTGCAAGAGCATTCGTAGTTGTTAAGAGCTCGACTGAACTGTACCTAAATCTATACGTTGAGGTTCGTTTCCCGCCGATATATTAATGTGTTTGTCGATTTACCAATATCATTTATCCGATGTTTTCACAGAGATGGAAAACATCGTTATGCACTCCGTTTAATTTTATTTATTTACTAGCTTTAACCGGCGACTCCGTCCGCGTGGAATTAAAACAAAGCAAAATCAAGTAGCCTATGCGTCTACGTCTATACCAAATTTCATCAAGATCGCAGAAACGCTAACAAACATTCGCATTTATAATATTAGTATAATATCGGCGAAATATGTGTGAAGTCAACCAACCTGCACTTCATCAGTATTGTTGACTGGCCTAGTCACCCTTTACTCATGATTCCGATCCTCGCAATTGAAGTAAAACGTCTCGAACAAACGGAATAGTATTCCATTTTTTAACATGATATTCGTACATTAGATAACGTAACCGCACGTTTCCTATCTTTTTTGGCTGTCCTTGTTTTAAGTTCATGCTATTTTGGCCTTTATTTCTTTGACTTATGAACTCTACTCCTAGTTCTGTGGCCAGGATGTCTATTCGTTCCAGATATTTTGATGCGTGTGCATTTGGTGAAAACTAGTATAAATTGGACAATTTTCGGTTGTTACATTATTAGTCGAGAATAAGTTTCCGACTGACTGTCTTTCGGAGCATTGTCAACTTTATTTGAGTATTTTTTTAAAATAATTCATCCAGGAATTGTTCAGGTGAGTGTTGTTTTTTAAATTTCTTTCTAGTATTGTACTATCTATACTATAAGAGCGTCAGTGGCTCAGTGGTTTAAGCACGACTGGTAATCTACAGGTCTTCGGGTTCGAATCCCGCCATGTACTATTGTGATTTTCGTTTTTTTTTTGAATTTTTATATGTTTATATAATCAGTTCTTCTATAAGTAGTAAACTATTTTATAGTAAAACTACCCGACGTTCTTACGGTGAAGGAAAACATCGTGATGCAACCTGCACATATCGGCGAAGAAATTCAAGGATATGTGTGAAGTCAACCAACCCGCACTGTAATTTTCATTAGAAATTAATTTCTATTTATTAATACATTTTAGCTAATCAAAATGGCCGATTCAAAACAAAACCTTTTACTTTTCTTCGACCGTCCAAGGGAGCCATGCTTCATGCAAAAGGGGGAGGACAAATCCACCTTCCAGATACCTGATAATTTTTACGTAAGTGTATTTGTATAACCTTTTATTTAGCATAATTAGAAACTTTTACCACACAAGTTGACACAGTAGGTACTTTTCGATAGATATCAGCTATCAAACCTCAATTCATTCCCTTCTATATTTTCGGCCTCTATGTAGTAACATTGAATGTATATTTTCTTGTTTATTTAACCATCATTTCTCCACATTCTAATCTAATTAAATAATAGCCAGATAAATACAAGGCGGTTAGCAATACACTCGCTAATCGTTTCGGTGCTGATGCAAAATCAATCCCGGTGAATGAGATAGCATTGCCGAATCTCCAGCTGCCGATGGAGCTGCCGTTCAGCGATCAGTTCTCTCTATTCGTTCCCAAGCATAGGAAAATGGCGGGAAAACTTATTGACATATTCATGGGTGAGTCAATGTAGAAAGAAAATTTTATGATATGGAGATAAGAATAGCAGTCGAAAATATGATTTATTGTATTAAGGGTGATCGTATAACTTTTTTTTTTACTGTTAATTTATAAACAAATTGAATAATTATCACTTGTATTCCATTTTAACAATGTGTTTATTTTAGTCGGGTGTGTAATTCTAACAAGGTCGGACATATTTGAGTCGACATTTTAGACAATTACTATAGTCATTTGTTTTTGTAATAACAATATTTTAATACTTGATTTACTATAATTATATTTTTCTAGGTATGAGAAACGTTCAAGATTTGATATCGATTTGTTCATACTGTCAGCTACGTATCAACCCTTATATGTTCAACTATTGTCTTTCCGTTGCTATTTTACACAGGTAAATATATTAAAAAAAACCCTATGTCAGTTAAAAAACGTGAGTGAGGAGTGAGGAAGAATGCTTGAATGAATGAATCGAATCTCATTAAAATCTGTCCACAAGTTTAGGAAATATACGTTAACAATAGAAAACTACCCCCAGTTAGTAATTTTTTCTTTTTCTAAATCATCAATTTACTTATTTTGTTTTCTTCCTAGACCTGATACTAAGGGTTTAAATATCCCAACTTTTGCGGAGACATTTCCTGACAAGTTTATGGACCCTAAAGTCTTCCGCCGCGCACGAGAGGTCAGCACCGTTGTTACTTCAGGCGTGAAGGTACGTGATGTTAAAATAAGCTGTTAAAATTTTCTATAAATCTATATTACACTATAATCATTTGTCTCCGATGCCTTCTATGTCTAGTGCTAATTAGTAAAACGGTTCAATAATCAGCCTTCAAAGCTAGTGTTTCAAAACAAATCAATAATTTCTTAGAATGGATTATTATAGCTAAAGAAATATTGCACACGAGAAATGACGTTTGGCATAATCATGTATCCATCATTGACCGCCTATTAAAAAAAACTTAAAATAAGCAGCGTCATTTTCGATTCGTTTTTGTTAATCCTTGATTTCGAAATTCAAAATGTTAAGATAAGATGTTCAACAGATTTTTTAATTTTAATTTTCTTATTCGCTATTTTTTTAAAACACGAGTTATTCAACAGATGCCAATAACAATTCCTTTGAACTACACCGCGTCGCCGTCAGAACCGGAGCAGCGTGTAGCATACTTCCGCGAAGATATAGGCATCAACCTTCACCATTGGCACTGGCATCTGGTCTATCCATTTGATGCTGCAGACCGCTCGGTTGTCAACAAGGACAGGAGGGGAGAACTCTTTTATTACATGCATCAACAAATCATTGCCAGGTATATTAAATGATTATACGAAATATTGTTTTCTCTGTTTCTCTTAAGTAGAATGAGAGAGATGGTTTTATTGTCGTGTTTTTAGTCGACTTCCCAAAAGAAAGAGGTACTCAATTCGCCTGTATGTTTTTATGTGCCTTATAATATCATATAACTAGGTAAAAATGTAGAGATATATAATATTTCTGTGCGTAACTTCCTATGCCAAGGTATGCATCTACAATGAGAGATGCGTATGGGCAGTGGTCTTTTGGTTATTTCGGCGAACATAAGCTGCTTTCAGCTTTGTCACCTTATAATATAAATAAGCTTACTAAATTACAACATAATTAATTCGAATGTTTTTATTTTAGATACAATACAGAACGTCTGTGCAATAATTTGGGAAGAGTAAAACGTTTCAAAAATTTTAGAGAGCCGATTGAAGAAGGTTACTTCCCTAAAATGGACTTGCAAGTGGCCAGTCGATCTATACCACCCAGGTAATATCGTACTAATTAGCTGTTCCCGTGCGACTTCATACGCATAACTTATTATTAAAAAAAGAGTTATTCAAAAATATGCTGTAATTGCTGACATCTTAGACAACAAAAAAGTTTGTGTTTACGCTTTATTATATTAGTATAGATATGGTTAATGTAGAAGTTTGAATGGATATATGGATATTGGTAACTTAATTCTAACGGTTGAAGGATCTAGAAAGAAAGGACAATCCGGTTAATATTTCATTTTTTAATCCTTTAAATTAATGGACGAAGTCGCAGGTAGTACGTATAAATTATTTACTTACTGGCTATCGCTCGCGACTCTCCGTGTGGAATTAAAAAAAAGAAAAGTGAATAGCATATATTCTCTTACAGACTATCTTCTACATCTATACCAAATTTCGTCGAAATCCATTCAGTAGTTAAGGCTACAAACTGTAACATCCATCCATCCATCTAAACTTTCGCATTTATAATATGAATATGATTATAGTTAAAATGTGCATTTTCCTTATTAATAGGAATAGATTAACTCTGAGTCATGTTTGTCGCTGTAATTTGACGTCATAATGGTTACACGTGGTGGTAACATGATTAAAACTGAATCATTAACCAGACTTAGTTCCTTTCGTCTAGATCCTTCGACTGTTTAAGATACTTAGTACCCAATATCTTTATCTTTATTATTGCGTAGTCAGAAGTGAATTATACTATTTCTCTCTCTTTCTATTACAATCATCATTATTTCCACCTTATCCTACTCCCTAAGGGTCAGCGCACTGGGTTTTCGTCTTCTAAATAACTCTATCATCCATCATCTCAGTCAACCATCCATCTATTACGGTATCAAAAAAAATATTCTGCGCAAGAAAGAAGTGGATTCAGATATGATGGCTGATAGAAATGTATGGCAGAGCTGCATTACTGTGCCGACCCTCCGTAAGGACAACGCCAAGTTGTTGACACTTCATTATTATCAATATTTCTCCAATATTACAATATATGACATTAAATGTGTGTATGGATTTAAATATGCATAATTAGGCAGTTCAGAAATGACGGCTGATAGAGAAGTGAAAGTGCCAGTATTCCCAATTGTCTAATCCCACTAGTGGACACTCGAACTTAACTTATAGTATGATGAAAAGTACTACACTTTGTTTCTTTTTAAAATATTATGGCGCGTCCATAGATAATTATACTGAAATTCTAGAAGTTTTCCATAACTTATTTGAATTTACGATTCTCGCTTGCGTGATTTAAATGTGGTACGAGGAACTACCTAGTACGAAGTTTGTGTTTAATATATTTGGTTGTATGTAGGTTCGACGGCCGGATCGAATTTATTTGTAAATAATTCTTGTTGTAATATGTGTGCAGTGTAATTTAATGGCAATGCAAAATAATGTATTGAAAACCAATTTTAGATTTCAAACTTGCATGTAACCAATTATTTAACGGCTTACTCACGTCATACTTTTTTCCGGTGACGGCACCGACCAGTTTCCCAGACCAGACCAGTTAAATAATTAATTATAAAATGTCTCACGAAAGTTTAAATAATTTAATTGCATGTAACCGTCCATAATTTTACTTCTTACTAATATTATAGATGCGAAAGTTTTGATGGAAGGATGTTTGTTAGCGTTTGTAGCCTAAACTGCTAAATGGATCTCGATGAAATTTGGCATAGATGTAGAGAAAATTCTGGAAGGTCACATAGGCTACTTACACTTATTATCAAATATATGTGGATTAAATTACAGATTCGAAAATTCAATAATTCGGGACTTAGACAGACCAGTCGATCAAATCAGGATCGAAGTATCAGAACTGGAGACATGGAGAGATCGTTATCTTGAAGCTATAAACAACAATGCGATTTTACTGGTAAAAAAATCTATAATTTTATTTTGTTATTATCCAAAAACTTAATATTAAAACGATATGCAAATTCACTAATTACTTTACGTTACATTTTTACATTAAATAACATTTTCGATGTAAATAAAAAAACCATTTATTGGCCCAGAAAAAAACAAGACATAAAAAATAACAATAAAACAAAATTTACCGAACTTATAACTATTATTTAAAAAATAAAAATAAAGATGTAATTATTTGTCTTCTCTAGTTTTTACAAAACAACTAAATATGACGTAATGGCGGCCATGTTTATGCAGTTAAGAGAGATAATATTATAGGTTAGGATAAGATCACGTTGTGTACGCGTGATCATTATTTCTATTGTCAATAGTTCAAATTATACGTTCCTTATATAAAATTTGCAAAAGCTCTAGTAAAAATATTTGATTTACGTATTCATTATTTTATTTCTTTTATTTAACATAGAAAGCGCATTTTTAAAGATTTCTGCGCTATTTGCTCTTTCCAAACTGAAGGCGCAGTAGTTTTATGCATGAGTTTTTTTTACAGCCGAACGGCCGTCAAATGACATTGGATGAAACAAAGGGGATAGATGTACTCGGTAACTTAATGGAATCCTCAGTCCTCAGCCCTAATAGAGTGTATTACGGAGATCTACATAACATGGGCCACGTGTTTATTTCGTACTGTCACGACCCTGACCATCGTAACTTGGTATGTTAATTCTAACCTAAAAATGTTTGTGTCAAAAAGGAAGTTTTCAGTACATTTGTATGTCACTTTGTAGGAACAATTTGGAGTGATGGGGGATTCGGCGACAGCTATGAGAGATCCTATATTCTATCGCTGGCACGCGTATGTTGATGACATTTTTAACATGTACAAGAGCAAATTACCGGCTTATGGTGACGATAAGGTGAGTAGTTTTGTTAAAGAAAAAAAAAGAAAAAAACCTGGCTATTTTATTTTGTTTCATAAAATCGTTTTTTTCCATTAATTACTTCGCCTTAACCGAGAATTAAAGTTACAGATAACAAATAAAATGAATTATTGATTTGTTAAATGACATATATAATTTGAAATATCAACTTCAACATAATTGATTAATTTCAAAGTAGTTTCCAACATTTAATTTTTTACCAATGTCATAAAAGCGAAAGTTTAGATGATTTTTAGAGTTTGCCGCCTTTTCTGAACGGATCCCGATGTTTGACATAGAACATTCTGGAAGAACATAAAGTTTTGTTTTTTTTTTTATTCCACAAACAAAAGTTGTTTATTATTCCAGTTGGATTTCCCTGGTATTCGCGTGTCATCTGTCAGTATTGAGAGTCCTGCGGGCGCTAACACGTTGGCAACTCAATGGGAACAAAGTACAGTGGAACTGAGCCGTGGTCTGGACTTCACGCCGCGTGGCAGCGTGTTAGCTCGCTTCACTCATTTACAACATGATGAATTCGTTTACGTGTAAGTATTGGTAAATAACTTGTCCAATTATATCCTTGTGCAATAATAAAAAAAAAATATTTATCATACATTTGTAAAACTTTTAAAAGTAAATTTTGAAATTCAAATACACAACAAAGGCTCGCTATTGGCTAATAATTACCGTTACAATGTCAATTTTGCTTTGCTGCCGTAGTCTATAGTTTTTATTCTTTTCCCGCGTCTTTTTTCTAATTCGTTTATCTTTTAAATTAAAAAGCCTGAAAATATATACCCCATAACGTATCCTTAATGTAGGGATTTTTATAAAAATATGCTGTGATTGCTGACATCCTAAGCCACAAAGTAATGTGTACGCTTTATTATATTATTATAGATTGTTATGAACAGAGTTGTTGAAAATTCATTTACTTTTGATATTTTAGTATCGATGTCAATAATACCCTCGGACAAGCAGCCACGGGAACTGTTCGTATATTTATGGCACCAACTGTCGACGAGAATGGCGCACCTTTGCCTTTCGAGGATCAGAGACGTCTAATGATTGAATTGGACAAGTTTACACAACCACGTAAGTATTATTATGAAGAAAAAACATTGGTAGATGCCAGCTATTCTTATTAGGATACGATGGGATGGGGAAATGGATTTGACGGTGGAGAGGATGCATGGCAATGGGAAATATCCTCTGTGCGTCTACTTCGATTTAATGTAGGCGACGCATATTTATTTCGCATTATTTTGGCGAATTCAAGCCCCCTACTTATATGTCATCTTGTAATATAATCAAACTAACTATCAACTTCAAAATGCTTTATAAATTTAAATTTGGGTAGCACTTTTAATATCACAATATGTTCAACATTCATATAAAGACTTTTAATGAAAATCATGATGCATAAAAAAATATTTATTGACTAGCTTTCGTCCGCGACTTCGTCCGGGTGGAATTAAAAAAAAACAAAAGTGAGTATACTATGTGTTTTTCCAGACTATCCTCTACATCGATACCAAATTTCATCGAAATCCGTTCAGCCGTTTCATTCATCCAAACTTTCGCATTTATAATTTTATCTTACAGTCTAATATTGTCTTAAATAGTAATACTTTATCCACAAACACTTCAATAGGTATATTTAAGCTTATTAAAATGTTGTGGTTGTTAACAAATATTATAGTAAACATGTTACGAAGAACATGATGTAAATTCCAGTGAATGCGGGCACAAACACAATCCGTCGTAGGAGTGTTGAATCTTCAGTAACTATTCCCTACGAGCGTACATTCCGCGACCAGTCTGCACGTCCAGGTAGCGCGGGCAGCGCGCAGGCCGCACAGTTCGACTTCTGCGGCTGCGGCTGGCCGCACCACATGCTCATACCCAAAGGAACACCCCAAGGATACCCTGTAGTCCTCTTCGCTATGGTCACCAATTGGGATGAAGATAAGGTAATTATTACTCCAAACACCCACGCGTCCTGCGCTCCAAGCCGCCACACGCAACATAAATTGACCTTGAACTTTTTATCGTTAAATCTTTCAACTGCAAGGCATATTTATTTAACCGAACCAGAAATAAGTACAGCCTAACACATGTAATATAGTTTTGACTACCGTAACCATTTTATTTGTACAGCCGCAGAATTCCAATTTAAGTAACATTACCTTATTTATTACGAGACTAATTTAGATAACAGTGAGTGCAAGCGAAAAGATAATAAAAAGAAACTGACATGTATCACTTTTTTTCGTATACACATTTATAGGATGCGTTGTATTGATTTTTGTTCCATGTCTCGTTATAAAATGTTCAAAAGCTTAAAATCTTTTGAGGTAGAGCAGCGCCAGTTTTCCCGATTGTATATCTTATGTAACAATTTATGTATACAGAGGCGTGGAAATCCAATACTGAACATATTATTTAAAAATAAATGGAAACCCTACAAAAATTACCACTTTAGGTCGATTGCAATAAATACATTAGTGTTTATTTATCATTTAATTCTACATTAACCGTATATATTTAATAATTTCCTTAGATCGATCAAGATTTAGTAGGAACGTGTAACGATGCGGCTGCGTACTGCGGCATCCGAGACCGGCTCTACCCGGACAGGCGTCCTATGGGATTCCCCTTCGACCGGCCCGCGCCTGCCGCCATACTACAAGACTTCCTCAAACCGAACATGGCGGTCAGACAATGCAGCATTCGTTTCACCGACGCCACTCGGATACGTACACAGCAAGGGTAGGTTATATTTGTCTAACTTTTAAGCCATATTTACAAAAAAAAACATCTTTGAGATTTACTACTGGCAACACTTTATTCGTTTTATTTTTTTATAATTTCACGATGTGATTTATATTGTCATATTATTATCTAAAACATCTATTCCATGTGAAAATGAATAAAATAAAATATCTTGTTTTTGTAATATATAGCTTAATTTGACTTTGACACCTGTCATTCGACAGAAACAGATTATAAAAAATGACGTTAGCAAATTGTTTAATGGATTGTGTGATTGTTTTTATGGAAATGGTTTTGTTATGTATAGCTGTTTTATTGGAATTTTATTATTATATGTAACGATTGTATACTAAAAAAATAGTAAAATCATCTTCGCATCGAAATATTGTTAAAATCATTACTTAAATGCTTCTAGAAAACTGTGTTTTTTTTTAATTAATTCGTAAAAGAACGAACAAATTATACGCCTTATATCAAATCATTTCGTAACAATGTTTTAAAAATCAAAAAGCACTTGCAGACATATGGCAGTAAAAAATATATTGTGTACTGTAGATCAACACCAAGCGGTAATGCTCAGCCGTGTGGATGCCAGAAGGAATATACTCCGAAGGAAATTGACCAAATAATACGAAAGCCATATTATTTTAATAAAAATCAGACTAAATACTGTCCACATTACATATTTTCACAGATTAAAAAAAATAATAAACCCTAGTTTTTAACTTTGTCTTTTAAATCAGAGATAAAAAAAAATTGAATCTATTCATCATTTGTTTCTAATGTTCTTAATGTTTATTAAAATAAGAGTATTGTAATAAAAATAAATTTAATTATTAAGTTTTAAGTACTGAACATAAAAGCAGTATTTTTGGTACTTATTAATTTTAATACGGGTCATATTTAGATGTAGTTCTGTCAATAAGTTGTATTTTATTTTTTTTCTATTTATAAGACATAATAAATAAAGTCTTTCTTATTTCGTAGTTTTATTTATCTTATGAGGATTGTTTTTCTATACTTTTTAAAGAAAAAAGGCCAAAAATATAAAATCATAATGTTTATTAAAAATTCAAAATAATTTATATTTTTTTTAACGATTCAATAATTTAGTGTTCTTAATTTATTTTGTACCCAGATTTTAAATTGTTGGTACCTTTACCATTTTTCGTCGGGACCCAATCGGCACCACGTAATAATCTTTTTCCATTTCTGAGTCAATCAAATCCAGAGGTCTGTAATTTCTTGTACGTTCTATATCATGATATATCGGTACATATCTTTGTTTTGGTATACTCAAGCCTGTCCTGATTGGATATTCTGCTGGATATGCGGGGACGCTAGGGTATTTCGAGTAGCTGGGATAGCTGGGGGGGTAGCTGGGATAGCTGGGGGGGTAGCTGGGGTAGCTGGGATATTTTTGGCGATTGGGGTCTTCGTAATCACGTATCTCAATCCTTAATTTTGGTTTCTGTGTTGTGACCTCGACTGTACATCCGCATGATTCTTCATGCACTTCGGCCTCGCATGGCTTTCCATTGGCGAAAAGACAAAGTGCTGCCAATGTGAGTATAACGATCTGAAATTATTAAACTATGAATCATCACATTTTACAATTAAAATAAAACCACATTTCGTAGTAACGTAAGATGTTAGCTATCACTGTATAATTTTAAATAATCACTTATAATAAAAAAATAAGCTATAAGCTATACATTTTTACGCTATTCAATTTAGGTGCAAAAAATTAAGTTTCTATAATATCACAGGAACAGTTAGTAAAAAAAATTGAAACCTAATCGTGTTTTGGCTTAATCTTTGCCTATTTTATAATAAAAAAAGAATTACCTGCACAGCTAACGCCATTTTGAGAACTGAATATAATTACAAGAAAGCATTCTCTTATATACTCAAAAATGTTTGCACGGTACAGTTAGAATACCTCAACATAATTTGTGCAACGATTTAAAGTTATTTGCGGTTACAATATTGAGTTAATTGTCAATAATCAAATACAAATCAAATTCATCACAGAATATATAACATTTTTTTTTTTTTATAATATAAGGTGTTAAACGAGCAAGCGGCCACCTGAATCCACCAGTTCCAGTCCAGTTCCTTCAGTTTTAACCGAACAGTCGGAGTATATAGTTTAATATTTTTGGAGGGATTTGTCCCATTGAATGTATGTTTTTTTTTAATTTCAAGATAATATCAGTAAGCGATCATGAACAACTGCCCATAGACATCCGGAATCGTATTCAATGTCTATCTTTAGGGCGGGAATACACTTACCGGTAACACAGCATGGTCGTAGCTTGGAGGAGTGTCATTATGTGCAATGCTATACATGTAAAAACTAAAATAGTTTATTTTATTTAAATTGATTCAATATAGTTCGAATAAAAATTGTAGTGAACGGCAAGCGGCTACCAAAATCCGCCAAAATGGAAAGCGACCGCTGCTCATAGACATCCGCAATAGCAGATGCATTGCCTACCCTTAATCGACGGTGGAGGAGACGCACACAAGGATACGTCCCTTCCAATACGTCTCCATCTTCACATCCACTTCTCTTTCTCGACCTTTTCTTATAAGAAAAAGAATAGAAAGATAAAGGTACTAAAATTAGGCCTTCGGCGCGCGATTTGTAAACTTTTCCGAAGATGGCCATAGGTTGTGACATATGACGAATCCCCTTATTAGCTTGTACCCTGTACTTATGCAACTCAATTATAATATGATTTTTGTTCCGTCCTACCTGTAACCATTGCTAACTATCCTCTTGACACGAAGTACTACCCAGGGGCAGGCATTACCTCGTGTACGCTACTGTGTGAATCATTCCAGTACTTGGCATACAAGTAGCTGGTACGATGATATATTTGTGATAGCTACGATAAAGTAAAATCAAGGAGGGAACGATAGGGGTATGTGCTTGACATTGACGCGTAGCTGGCACGTGCTAGTAGCTGGCATACGAACTTTTTACTGGCATGTACATCTATCTTTATTATTTGCGTTGAGTGAGAGCAATGGTTCAAAGCTAGGTGAACTGATCTTCAGAACAGTTTCAGAGTTGATGTACATACGGCTAACTAGGTAAATCATGCTAAAACCATCTATCCTTCTCATTTATATTGATAAGTCACATGTTGTCTGTGCAGCCGTTTATTTCCGGGTTTCCATTAAGGTAACGCCATTTTTAAGAGGGGAATGCTTTATGCATACTCCGTGCCTCTGTTCCCTCCTGGCCATTGGGTGGGACGCCACGGGATCGCTTTCGCTTGTCACCGCGTCACCCCACTGATTACTGTAACGCCTACGGTAGGTCTTAACCGTTTTTTTTTTCCAAAGTAAATCAGAGGGCAAACAATAAATGTCATTTTCGTCTAGGTGTTTCCTAAGTGGAATATAAAGTATCAATTTCAATGGATGGATGAAAAAAATCTAAATTTTACGCCTGTTTTTAGTGAGTAGCAGTCACAAAGTAAAAAGAACAAGGTGCTAGTGCTAGCCCCTATATCTTTACTAATATTATAAAAAGGATAGATAATTATTTTTGTACATTGATATAATTAAAGAAACTACTGGGCCGATTTTAAAAAATCTTTCACCATTGAAATATTTCGTTATAACTAAGTAACATGGGCTATGCTTTCCACGCGTCGCGGTTAACAACTAGTACTTGACAGGAGGACTAGGAGTTAATTTACTAAGCAGTATATTTTTAACTCTTATTTATACTCCTATTTTTTTTTTTCGATAATGCGGTATAAATGCGCTTCGTTGTTAAATCGCATTTATGATAATAAAAACTCTCTCCTGGTTGTTTTAGCAGCCAGATGCGATAGTGCAATAGTGCGACGATTTAGTTTCTTGCACTGCAAGAAATGTAGTTGAAGTGTAATTTAAATAAAAGTGTTTTCTTCTCTTTATTATTAGGATTACTAACACTAGGCAATAAGCTGTTTTTACTAACAAAGTATGAGATTTTCTTGAAATAAAGATTTATTATTATTATTATATACTTTTTATAAGGGTTCTTAAAGAAAGGAGTTTTGCCGTAAATACTTAATATTATACACTAGCTGTTCCTGTGCGGCTTCATGCGCATGAAATTATGAAAATTTTATTTTAATGTTTACATTAGTCAAATTATCAATAGCAAATGTCAAAATGACATGACATGGCAAACCTTAGCAATCTCTCTTTCTTGATGTTGGCAGTAACTTATGGTCTCTTTTCTACATTAGGGTTTTTATCCAAAACATTTACCCCCTAAGTTTAATGGCGTGAAAACATGTAGCCTAGAGTTGACGTAAGTGTGGGGCTTTTCATTAAAAAAAGAATTATTCAAAAATATGCTGTAATTGCTGACATCTTAGGCAACAAAGAAGTGTGTGTTAACGCTTTATTAAAATACTAGCTGTTCCCATGCGACTTCATCCGCATAAAATTATAAAACCTTCATTTTATTGTTCCCATTTGTCAAATTATCAATTGCAAGTGTCAAAATGACATGATAAGATGTCAAACCATGGCAACCTTGGTTTCTTGATGTTGGCAACAACTTATGGTCTCTTTCCCACATTAGGGTTTTTATCCAAAACATTTACCCCTAAGTTTATCGGCGTGAAAATATATAGCCTAAAGTGTGACGTAAGTTTAGGGCTTTTTATTACAAAAATAGTTTTTGGAAAATATGCTGTGATTGCTGACATCATAGGCAACAAAGAAGTGTGTGTTTACGCTTTATTATAATATATATAGAATATATAGACTAGCTATTCCCGGGCACTTTATTCGCATGAAATTATGAAAATTGTTTTTTTTGATTACACTTATCATATTCAATTTCAAATGTCAAAATGACAGACATGACATGATGAGAAAGCATGACAATTTTGTTTCCTTGATGTTTCAGCAACTTTTGGTCTCTTTTCCACATTAGGGTTTTTATCCAAAATATTTACCCCCTAAGTTTAATGGCGTGAAAATATATAGCCTGAAGTGTGACGTAAGTTTAGGGCTTTTTATTAAACAAAGAACTATTTAAAAATATGCTATAATTGCTGACATCTTAGGCAACAAAGAAGTGTGTTTACGCTTTATTATGATAAGTATAGATTAAGTAAAAAAAAAAAAACATATTATGTAAGACAATAATTTAATTTATTTTCAATTAACAGAATAATCTACTTTCAAATAATTTACTTAGTTACCTACAAATTTACGTTAAAAATTATCAGTGCATTACAGATCTCAATTTAATAAATAGTGTAATAAATAACACAATTTTAAATTACTCCAGATCTTCGTCTGAACTCTTCTTCTTCTTGACAACCTTCCGGCGAACGGCAACTGGCATCATTACATAGTCATCTTTACTTATCTCTTTTTTATCACATTTACTACACCCTGTAGAACCAGTGCTAGGATATCTCGAAGACCGTCTCTTCTCTGGTACGACGAAGAATTTTTGTATAGTCGGTTGCAGTACAACTGGTCGTTGCCTTTCTACGGTCGGAATGTATTGTGGTCTCTCTGGTTCTCTAACGTGGACGACCTCGATGGTTCTTGGTGTTGTGACAGCATTACAGCCGCATTGATCCGTGAGTCCGGCGCATTGCCCGTTGACGTTGATAAAGAGAATTGCGACGCCAATGAACACCTGGTTGGGGAATTATTAATAAATTATCTGTCTCTTTCTTACTCTCCTTTTGCTATACTTATTCTCTTTTACTTTACTTTGTCATGAATAGAACATTACGAGTATATTACAGTTAATAAAACATAGTTGTCAATAGGACGTTATTAACTTAATCTAACTAGAATTAAAAACAAAACTGAAGTAAGTAGCCAATGTGTTCTACCAGACTATCCTCTACATTATGCTAAATTTCATCGAGATTCGTTTAGCAGTTTAGGCTACAATACGCATCTCGTTGAAAGTTACTTTGCATAGGGTCCTTTTTGTTTTTTTATAATCCATGCAGATGGTGCGGACGAAGGCTTCATGGTTATAAAAAAACAATGAAAAAATAACACAAAGTGACTTATTTGGTGTAATATATAATTATGTTCTTACCGTGTACAATGGAAGAGACATCTTGATTGACTTTTGTTACGATATCCAAACTTTTCCTTTTATAGTTTCAATGACATTCCTGTGTAATTTGCTAACCTCAAAATGATGTAAAATTAATGACACAGTTATGTTTAATATGTCTAATTAAGAAAGAATGTTGTTTTCGATAACATTTAAACTGTAATTTTTTTGTGTTTCTATGGCAAAAGTTTTATGAAGTCTATAGGCTATAGACATGTCTAGACTCGTTGGTTTTTAAGAATAATTAGCATATACCTGATGGTTTTAACTATTTATAGTCTTCAAATTAATTTAAACTATAGAAAATAAAACACCAAATAACAATTTGTTATATTTTTAATAAGATACAAATGCTATAACAACTTTTAGGATAATTTGAAAACTAAATTTTCTTAAAATCAACAGAATTCCTCATCGACTGGCAATTTGACGAAATAGTTATTACTTTATTCGTCTATAACTTTTTTTTATTAACTTCTTCAACATTTTTTATTATTTATTTTCAATTCCCTCTCTCCTTGTCATTTCTAAAAAAATCATTCAATTCACCAGAGAAAATTTTAGTTTCTTTCTTTCGATTCCCAATCTCATTGACTACTTTGACATTTCTAAAAAAGTCATTCAATTCGCCAGACGAATCTTGATTTTGTCTGTTCTCGTTCACTTCCTTATCATCTCTAAAAAAGTCATTCAAATCACCAGAGAAATTTTTAGTTTCAGTGTTTAGATTAGTATCATTGCTATTACTAGATTTTATTTCTGTATTTCCAGCTTTATTGTTCGTCCTAAAAAAGTCGTTCAAATCACCGGTATAATTTCTATTTATTATTATTACTATTATCGAATTATTATTATTGAAAAAGTCATTCAATTCACCAGCATTAGTTACATTATTATTAATGAAGAAGTCATCTAATTCACCAGTGTTAGTTTGATTGTTGTTACTATTATTAGAATTTTGAATATCATTTGTATTGTTTCCTATTCCAAGAACTTCCCATTGTCCTTCATCATTTCTTGGATCAGTATTATCTAATAAATCTCTAACAGGAATTATTCGTTCGATTATTGGTTTTAAATTTAAATAATTATTATTTTTCTTCTCTTCAACATTTCGTCCTTTAAACGTAGTACTTACAATACTAATACCAGGTTTATATGAATCACATTTAGTCATATTACGATTGACTTTCTGATGTTTTACCAAATATTGGTAACCAGTTTCTATACCTCTATGGTTTTTATTGTTAGAAATGTGATAAATTGGTGATGTCACAACTAACACAGCGAAAGCAGACAGCGTCTGTTAAATGAAAATAAATAATAAACCAATAAGAAGAAGCACGATTATATTTTAAATATATAAGATGGCAAACTAGCGAGTGGCCATCTGAATTCGCTGAGAAAGCGAAGCGATCGCTACCCATATACATCCGCAATTGCAGATGCTTTACCTTCCCTTAATCAACGGAGAAAGAGTAGCACATAAAAAGGACATTTCTCCTTCCACCTCCAACGTCAAATACTTTTTCCTTCCCATCCTTCCTACGTAAGAAAACAATGAGAAAGAAAAGGGACTAAAATTAGGCCTCTGGTGTCACAGTCATCATACGAATCGCAGAATTGCTCCCACCTCTCGCCTGTCTTCTATGTGGTCGTGGTAACAGACGTGGCGAGCCGGCCCAGTAACAGGAAGATTTTAATGCGGGCTCTATCACTGTTACAATAAAAACTCTAACGTTAATTATAATATGTTCTACTCACCAATATTGCTAGCTGGTTCATTTTTAAATTAAACTTCTTTAATAAAAGCAATTTTAATACTGATTTAAGGATATAACCTAGCAATTTTATATCGTTTCGCGTTGACTGTCGTGTACAATTTTGTATCAAGAAATAATTGAAAATTTAAAATAATCATTCATGTATCTGGATAATAGTTAGTTTTTGCAGCCCCTTCCTTCAGCAATTAGAAACTGTAGTTAGTAGACTATCGTAAAACGTTCAAAACTACATCTGTAATGTGAAACATCCTTTACTAGCAATTGCTTACGTTTTTAATTGTAGGACAATTGCGTAAAACGGTAATTATGTGTTCAATGGGTTTAGAATGAGATGTTTTTTTTTATACTAGAAGGGAGCTAACGAACTTTGGAATGAGGAGTTCATAGACGACCATAGACTCAACACTTTTATCTTCATTCGTAGGTTGATATTAAGAGAAAGCATTAATTATACCTTCTTTGTATCAAATATCCATCTTTGATCTGGTAGGGAAATACAAAAAATTTCTTGACTTTCTATTGATATGAGACTTTTAATTGGTTTCAAGAGTTTGTAGCCTAAACTGCTGAACTGTTTTCAATGAATTTTGTCATAGATGTAGAGCACAGTCTGGAATAACACATAAGCTACTCACTTTTGTTTTTTTAATTCCACGCGGACGGAGTCGCGGGTGAAAGCTAATATTTAATATTTACTAGTTAAGTTTCATTTTCCTTTTTATTTAATAAATGCCGAAATTTTTTTTTTTTAAATTATTTATAATTAGATTGTGTACAACTCTATCGTTAATTACGATAATGATTTAATTACGTTTAATACTTAATGAATCAAGTTTCCATTCATTGAGTAATGTAATCATGTCCGGCGACTAACTCGAATAATTTTATTGTACATGTTGTCAATTATAATTGCATATTACGTTACGCTTTTTAACTACCGATCTGAGATAGTGAAAAAATAATGGAATATAAAATCGGCCACAAACAACGACATTAACACTCCTCGTTTCATTTATGAATATCAAATAAAAACAAACCGATTGAAAGGCATAATTATAATTCAGACTTATAAATAAAATGATTATGTACAAAATATTTAATACATCTTCTAAATCTATTGACCCATTAAATTAATACTAACTATAATTTAAAAACGCATTATTGTTTGCGATCTCTGACTTCATCGGTGAAACGAATCGTGCAGTCGGTGATAGCCATGTTCTCTGTGATGAAGTTTTGAAGATTTCTAACGTAAGGTGCTCCGGGACGGTCGAAGGGGTATCCCATAGATCTCTTGTCAGGGTAACGTCTGTCCCGAATACCGCAGTACGATGCAGCGTCATTGCAACTACCCACCAAATCTTGGGCGACCTGTCAAGGAAAAATTACAATTTATGACAAAGAGTATACATAGACACTAGAGAATACATAGATTATGCAGGATAAAAGAATAACGACGTAGACTTTAAGAGATGCAACATTTACTGTTAGATAACCTTTATCTTATCACCAGTATAACATGGTCTTTGACTTACTCTATCGTCATTCCAGTTAGAGAACATAACAAACAGGGTCACGGGGTAGCCTTTAGTGGTGCCCTTGGGTATGAGCAAGTGGTGTGGCCAGCCGCAGCCGCAGAAGTCAAATTCCGCCACACTCTGGTTCCCGGCGGTGCCTCCCCTGTTCAACTGGTTACGGAATGACCTCTCGTATGGGATTGTCACAGATGAATCCAAGCTCTTTCGACGGATCGTGTTCAAACCCGGTTTCACTGTGGACATGACAAAAGTAATGAGTATTGAATTCATGCTAAATTATAATTAACTTGATTAGTGGGTTCAGTATTATTTTAAGTTAGGTTGGCGAGTTTGAAGTTCTTATCTTTGTATGGGTATCATTGAAAGAGAGATTCTGTTACTTCATTTGGTAATTGTTTTTCGATAGATTGAATATTTAAAAGTAAAGATAACTTACTGGCTTGAGTGAATTTGTCGAGCTCGATCATGAGTTTCCTCTGATCGTTGAATGACATTCTGTTGCCGTTGTCATCGAATACAGGTGTCATGAATATACGGATTGTGCCCAATGCATATTGCCCTCTTCTGTTGTTCACTTCGATACTGTAGGGAAAAAAATCAATAAAGATCAGAAGTTTCGATTGATCCGATTTAGAAGCTGGATTGATGCTTGTGTTTTAATTTTGAAAAGTGATCTATGTTTTTACTTGCTGATCTCGTACCGTTAAGAGCTTACTGGCAATTTAAATTACTCACACATAGTTGAACTCCTCGTGTTGTAAATGCGTGAAGCGGGCCAGCACGCTACCACGCGGCGTGTAGTCCATGCCACGGCCCAGATCCACGGTACTGCGCTCCCAGAATGTTCCAAAAACATTGGTGCCGGAGGGACCTTCTACTTTGATTGAAGTCACAGTAATATTGTTGTACACCAACTGTAAAGATTTTGTTTATTAATTCTTGCAAGTGATTACATCAGATCTTTTAATTGATTACAATAGAATCTGGGTACATATAAATGATACTGTCATAGCATGTAACCCTTACCAGACACTTGTACTAATAACATGAGTTGTTAAATTTTCTTTACCAACTTCAAATTAGATTAACTCAGTTATAATTTAGTCTTTTAACAGTGGTGCGCACGCTATAGCACGAATAAGCAGGCTCTTCCTCTGCAATTCCACGACCACCGAAGACGGCGTCAAGTTAAAGCAATTTCGCTATTTTTGACGTGCAATGAATAGTGTGCTTGCTTAAGGCTGACTTTAAGTCTTTTATTTTATTTACCCTTTTGTTATAAGCAATGGTGGGGAAAAGGGTTTGACGAGAAATGATACTAGGTAGGGGAAATATGCATCTGCATATGTCATTTTTCTTTAATGTCGCCTTATACTGTAATAATCTTTTAACTTAACATTACTTAGGGTAACATAAACTTACATTGTCTCGCGTGTAGGGAGGCAGTTTACTCTTGTACATCTGGAATATGTCGTCGATATGGGCATGCCAGCGGTAGAAAATCGGATCACGCATTGCTGTCGCTGAATCACCTATTACTCCAGGTCTTTCCTGTTAAATAACGTCAACAATAGAACTATCCTAGACCCAACATATTTCATACTAATATATTATAAAAGTAAAAGTTTAGAGGGATGGATGGATGTTTGTTAGAGTTTGTTGCGTAAACTGCTGAACGCAACTCAATGAATTTTGGCATAGATGTAGAGTATCTGGAAGAACACATAGGATACTTGTTTTTTTAATACCACGCGAACGGAGTCGCGGGAGAAAACTAGTGTCTAATAAAAATTGCTAATAAGACAAAAATATCATTGTATTCCATTGTGCTCTGTTTTAAAATTATATACCATCACAAGTTAAGTTAAACAGAAGAGTATTGTGTTGCTCCAGTTTGTTGCTTATTCTGGTTCATCATCATCATCAGCTTTTATATGCCCAATGTTGTATATATACCTTCCCCAATACCTTCCACAGAACGGTCCTCCGCCTTCCGCATAAAATGTCTTCTGGTAGCTGTATAACGGACTGTTTATAACAAAACCTTACCAAAAAGCGATGATCCGGGTCGTGTACGTAAGAGATGAACACATGGCCCATGTTGTGATAATCCCCATAGTAGTTTCTGTTGACGCTGAGGATGGAAGACTCCATTATGTTGCCGAGGATGTCGATGCCAGTTTCAGGATCCAATGGCATTTTACGACCAGTAGTTCCAGGCTGGAATTATTTGTAAATCATTGAATTAGTAGATGTTCTATTATGACTACTAATTAAATTGGATTAATATTGGTAAAAACAGATGTTCTATGAAACTGAATATACTGACTAGAAGAACAGCATTTTCTTCAATAGCTTGTATAATACGATCTCTCCATCTCTCCATTTCTGATACTTCCATCTTGATTTGTTCTACTGGTCTATCTAAATCGACTACAACTGAGCCTGGAAATCTAAAAATAAAACCATAAATAAGGACATACGAATTTTGGTAATAAAGGGGACAATTTTAAAGAACAATTGACCTTAATTAATTTGTATAGATCGTTTATCTTGAGACATATTTTTAACACCGTAATTATTTGTTGGTTGTTTGTTATCATACCTGGGCGACCAAGCTCGACTTGCAACCTTTAAGTCCAGTTTGGGGAAGTACGCTTCTTCGATAGGTTCATTGAAGTCTTTATACATTTTCACCCGACCCAGGTTGTTGCAGAAGCGTTCAACGTTGTATCTGAAATGTTATTAAATTAAATTGATGTATTCCTTATATGAAGAAAAGAATGAACCCCAAATCACCATGACAGATAACGCACACGGTGATGAGGAGTTCGCTCTATGACCAAAGTTCTTGAATTAAATTTTAATCCTCAAACCACCAAGGATAACAGTCTAACATACAATTATTTTTACAAACTACAAAACTATGGTAATAAGGTAAAATAGTGTAGGTCATTGACAGCGCTTTGGTTCTACACCTTGCTATATTTAGAAGAATTTCGTGAACTAAACTATTCCATGGATATTAAAGCATTCACTCCTTATGATTTTAATCTTTTCCCTTAGCAGGCTTTATAACCTTGTGCTATATATTGTATAGAGTACCTTGCTACAATTTGTTGATGCATATAGTAGAAGAGCTCTCCACGGCGATCTTTATCAACAATGCCCCCTGTTGTCAGGTCGAAGGGATAAACTAGATGCCAATGCCAGTGATGAAGGTTGAGGGCGATGTCCTCACGGAAATAAGCCACGCGTTGCTCCGGCTCTTGATCTGATGCCGTCAAGTTCTGAGGTATTAGTACAGGAAGCTGTGTAATGAAAGAGAATCAAAGATTAATATGACGCAATATACTAAAGAAATGAAAGTTACAAGGAGAAGGGACCTAGGGAGAGACAATACATGTGTGATGATTATTATACAAAAAAAATAAATTAACATACCCTCGGGCCTGTTTTTGCAACACTCGCTGATTGTCGAGCTTGACGAAATGCTTTTGGGTCCATGAATTTATCGGGGAATGTCTCCGTAAGAGGCGGAATGTCCATGCCTTTTGTGTCATTTCTAGAAGAATCATTTGCCATACATTACCACTTGAAAAATGTTATTTCAAAGAAAGTATTTTTTATCACATAAAGCGATAAACTATCAAGGAAAAACATCATCATCCACTTGCCTTATCCCTTACAGAGAGTCGGCACAGCATATGCTGCTCTTCCATACATCTCTATCAGCCGTCATATCTGAATCTACTTCTTTGGTCTTCCTCTACCTTTGGAGCCATCCACATTCATTCTTATCACTTTCTGGTTTATGTCCCCATCGTCACATAACATGTCCATACCACGCTAACTTTTTGCTTCTGATTTTCTCCACCACTGGTGCTACTTTCAAACTTTCTCTAATTTACACATTCTTAACTTTATCCATTAATGAATAACATATTTCTTTTACATAAATGTAAGTTACATGTCTTCTTATTAAAATACTTTCACAATACTAATAATAGAGTATAAGTAGAACTAATGAATAGATGATACCTGTGCATCAACGCGACGGACAGACAGTAGTTAAACATATACGGGTTAATATGAAGCTGGCAGTAGGACAATATAGATGTCAAATCATCAATGTCCCGCATTCCTGGAATATAGAAGATAGTAATTTCATCAGTCAACAACAATTAAGCCCGTTACACACGCAGGCGAAACCGAATACTGAACAGTTTCCAGTTCTGCTAGATTTATCTAAACGATCAGATTGTTCAGATAAAATTGAGTGAGTTTTCGAAAGACATGATTCTCGAATCGAATTTTAAACTAATTAACCCTTTGGAAACTAGGAGTTACAAAAATGAAGTAAGTTAATTTCAAACTTCTTTAAATTTTTCGCGTCTTTGAAGAATATGGAATAGAATGTAGTTGTTTGCAGAAAAATTTTACTTATCTTTGAATATTAATAAAATGTTGAATTTCTTACCCAGAAATATATCAGTTAACTTGCCAGCCATCTGTCTGTGTGTGGGTAAGAAGACGGAGAACTGATCGTTGTAGGGTAGTTGCTTTGCGAAGTCCAGGTTAGGTAAGGCGATGTTCCGAATTAAAATAGTTCGATTTGCATCGTTTCCGAATCTGTTTGCCAGTTTGTTCGAGAGACTCTGGTATTTTTCCGGCTGGAATAAAAAAGAAATTAGTACATGTAATGGAGATTGTAATGCGAATAAAGAACGAGGAAGAGGTGAAGAAAACTTTCTTTCAGATGTGTAACGTACCTATTAGGGTAACAGTTTTACTGTTTTTACACTTCTGACAAAATTAACATAGGATACAACTGAAATTGTAACCCGACATGAAGCGAAACCTTTGTACCCATTTTTAGGGAAAATCACGCATTGAGAGGAGAGAGAGGTTTGCCGGGCCGCGCCGTATGGCAGTCTACGGTCTATAGATACTCACATAGTAATGATCCGGAATGTCGAAGACGGCCTTTTCGTCTCCTTTTTGCATGAAGCATGGCTCAGTCGGGCGGTCGAAGAATAATAGAAGGTTCTTCTTTTTCAGATCCGCCATTTTGATTTTTGTGATGAAATGTCAAATTTAAGTTTTATGAATGAAATCTTGTGATGAATTATAACTATAGAATATTATGAAAATAAATGAAATAGGTATAGTTAACCGTGATGTACACGGTTAAAATGTAGCAGTTAAAAGTTTTCTTGCTGTTTATATACAATAATTTGGGAAATTCCCAATTGTGACTATTTGATAAAAAAATCAGTGGGGTTCCGTAATTTTTTTATGTTCTTTTAAATTAGAAGTATGTTTAATTATATTTTTAGGTTTTTATCACATTTTTTATTTTTTTTTTTTTTTTTTTTTTTTTAAATAAGAATATCTTTATTGCTCTCTAATGTTAATTACCTAAATCAGTGTTGCCTTGACTACTTAACTAGGATTCCTGTTTTTAAGTAGCCAAGGACTTCCCTTACAAAGTTATACATTGGTGAGAAACAAAAGGAAAATTTACTATTATAATACAATTTCTTTTCCACGTTATTTTTACGACATATTGGTGATGTGAACAGACTCTAATATTTATTCATAATTCATTATCCTTGTATTTTTATCCCGGGAATAGTTACGGTTTCCGCGGGATTCATTAATTTAGTTTTTTATTGTTTACTCGATCATTCTGCAACGGTTCAACACATGTATCTTATTGAAAATTGGCACAGATATAAAACAAAGTCTGGAGTATACAAGGGATAAGGTTTATCGCCGAGAAAAGTCCGGTTCCCGAGGGATATGTAGCTTTTTGTTATTTATATAGTTCGTATGTTTTGTAATACCACGCGGACGAAGTCGCGGGCAACAGCTAGTATAACAATAAATGTTTTAGTTGCATGAACAGGGAACCCTATTTGTCTATATGAATGCGTGTGAATTTTGGGACGGGTTGTTAAAGAATTATTTATCTAAAGGAAACTGTGGTAAGTTTATCATTTTTAAAAGCCAACATTGCGATAGATTGATTTTTTATTTGTAAAATTAGATCATTGTATCATAACGTGTATTAGTATTCTTTCTTTGTATTAAGTTTTTAATTGTTTGAGAAGAATGCAAATAATAATAAAACTATTTTTTTTGGTAAAAGGCATTGATTTATTCAGTCTTAAAAAATAAATAATATGTACAAATATTAACAGAGCTTAACGAAGATAAATTGACCCATTACATCTAATTACAACTATAATTAAAGTCCATTATTCATTGCCGTGTCACATTCATAGCGTCATCTTCTTGTCCATAGCAAGCAAGTAATGAAATACACCTCTTTCATTACGTACGTTAAATAAAACGCTGAATTTACTTCGCTCCTCTGACTCTCACTGTGTCATTAAATCGTATTTTGCAGTCAGTGATTGCCATGTTGGGCCTCAAGAAGTCTTTAACAGTCTGCACGGCCGCCGGCACCGGCCTATCGAAGGGGTAGCCCATTGGACGCTTGTCTGGGTACTTGCGGTCTCGGATACCGCAGAACGATGCCGCGTCTTTACAGGTCCCAATTAGATCTTGTATAACCTAAAAAAAGGTATATTAAACACCATTATGTATAATTTTATAGAAACGAAAATGGAGATTTTGAAAGGCCTTTATCGTCTATAAGGGATTTCACCTTTCTTGTTAATTTTTGTCGATTCTACTTAAGTTGGAGTTTAAATATCTTTCAAAATATTTCCAATAAATTATGTACATTAACAATGTGTGAACTGATTCCCTAATAGGACATAGACTTAGGTATAGTATTAGATATTTAAATTATCTAATACTTACAGCATCATCAGCCCAGTTGGATACCATAGCGAACAGTATCATTGGGTATCCTTGCTTTGTGCCTTTAGGCAGCAGCATGTGGTGCGGCCAACCGCAGCCGCAGAAGTCGAACTCCGCCGCCTCTGCGGTACCAGGATCGCCAGTTCTTTGATTCTGGTCCATAAAGGTGCGTTCGTACGGAATGGTTACTGATGATTCTATGCTGGCACGACGAATTGTATTCTTACCAGGAGCCACTGTAACAGAGAATTTTTAATTCAAGAAATTGAAAGGATTATAACTGATATCATCAACGACGAAGTAGAAAGTAAACAGACTGGTGTATTTGAACGAATGTTCGTCATAAATTAAATGCATAGAAATATAAGCATGTTCAGTTCGCAAACAACTGCTGAGAATGGATAATATCAAAAACTGCCTTTAAGAGATCCAAAATCCAATGTGGTATTCAATAAATACTTACAGTCTTGAGAGAACTTGTCCAGCTCGATCATGAGTTTCCTCTGATCATTGAATGTAAATTTATTTCCTTTTTCATCAGTAATTGGCGCCAAGAAGATGCGCACGGTTCCCGTCGCCTTTTTGCCTGATGAATTGTTCACTTCAATACTGTAAAAAATTAATTAAAAATGATCTCTCTTCTATTCTCGTTTCCAGATTATCCTCTAACTACAATAAAAACACTGGTTTGAGCCAGAAAAGCGTAAGTTGGAACCATAGGTACAAAAAAAATTATACTAACACATAATCAAATTCATCGTGTTGCAGGTGAGTGAAAGTCGCCAGCACACTCCCACGAGGGAAGAAGTCCATGCCACGTCCTAACTCCAGCGTACTCTGCTCCCATTGGGTCGCGAATGTGTTCTTACCAGCCTTGCCTTCCACTGATACAGATGACACGCGAATACCCGGGAAGTCCAGCTGTAACCAGATTTAAAATTTTTGTCTGTGACTTTTAAAGTGACTGCAGAAAGTATGGGTGGATTGTGTGAAAAAGGATAAGCGTAAGAATAGAGTGGATTCAGATGTGACGGCTGATAGAAATGTATGGAAGGAAAGCACAACTGTGCCGACTCGTTAGGGACGAGGGCAAGTTGATGATGTCTGTGACATCTTAACATATTTCGATTAACGTTTGTACCCATCTAGTACCAAAAAGAGGTTATATTAACTAAGTCTTGAGTTGTATTCTAAGTATACTTCAGAGTTAATTGTTCAGGCATATAAAATAAACTTCATTATTATTGTATTTACCTTATCGTTGGCGTAGGGAGGAAGCTTGTTTTTGTACAAGACGAAGACGTCGTCAACGAAGCCGTGCCAGCGGTAGAACAGGGGGTCGCGCATCGTCGTAGATGGGTCGCCCATCACACCGAACAGTTCCTAGAATGCCATTTATAAATTCAAATTGTGTTAAAAAAAAATGTAGTTAACTGTTAAATAAAATTGCAATTCAAAAGATATTCTTGATATTAAACAGGGTTGTTTGTTTTTCATTCAGCATTTCGTAACGTTAGTTTGTAACTTTTATCAATTGAATACAGGAGAAGAAATTTCAAATTAGGAAGTGAATTTCTAAGTTGTAAAACTCACCAGGTGGCGATGATCCGGATCATGAATGTACGACATCACGGTGTGTCCCATGTTATGGAAATCACCGTAGAAAGCGCGGTTGGGTGTCAGAATTGACGCCTCCATCAAATCTCCAAGAATATCAATACCCTTCTCTTCATCAAGTGGCATTTGTTTCCCATTTGGCTATAAGACATTTTAAAGACGTTATTTCGAACCCAAATAAGTATGGAAGTAATATTAAAAATTGACGGCAATGAAACCTAAAAAACGTTCCACTCGACGTAACGGCGATGGAAAACATCATGATGCAACCTGCACATATCGGCGAGGATTCAAAGATATGTGTGAAGTCAACTAGTTGGTCAAGCGTGGTTGACTAAGCTTTAGTCACCCTAACATACGATAGGCACCGAGCCCCTCAGTGGGGACATATATTGAGCTGATGATGAAGCTTAAAACAAGTAATGTGTAGTTACTAAGTACTAACCAAAAGAATAGACTGGCTTTCGATGGCTTGCAGGATGCGATCTCTCCAAGTTTCCATTTCTGATAGGTCTAATTTGATTCTTTCCACGGGTCTCACTATATCTTGCATAACTGAGTTCTCGAACCTTAAAGAAACATTTCGCACTTTCTAATGTCATAGACAAATAAATAAGTTTTAGTTCTATAATTGTAATTAGTCTTACCTGGGTTGCCAAGTGCGGCTAGAAACTACAGAATTCAGCTTGGGGAAGTAAGCCTCTTTGATGGTCTCTCTTAAGTTGGCGCCAAAAGGTACGACGCGAGGTAAATCGTTGCAGAAACGTTCGATGTTGTATCGTGCTATAATCTGTTGGTGCATGTAGTAGAGCAACTCCCCACGTCGATCTTTAGCAACGATTTCGCGGTTGGCAGATTCAGGTGGGTATACAAGATGCCAGTGCCAATGGTGCAGATTGACACCGATGTCTTCGCGGAAGTATGCCAAGCGCTGTTCAGGTTCCGCGTCAGACGCTGTGTAGTTTCGTGGAATTACAACCGGCAACTGGGGAAATAAGGAAAAGGTATTAATGGGTGATCAAACTTTTCTTTAGTCTTTAATACTTAATAGTTTTTTTTTTAAATATACCCTCTGGCCTGTTGTGTTCACACTGGCTGCAGATCGCATGCGGTTGAACACCTTGGGGTCGATGAACTTATCGGGGAAAGTCTGTGTCAAGTTCGGGATGCTCAAACCTTTTGTATCCTTCCTGAAATAATACGTATAATTCTATGATTATTATTTTACTTTTAAATAGACCAGACTATCAAAAACGAAGTTATTAATCTATGAAAATGTATGTAGTTATTGGTCACTAACCTATGCAATAATGCAACGGTGAGGCAGTAATTAAACATGTAGGGGTTGATGCGTAACTGGCAATAAGAGCAGATAGATATCAGATCTTCTACATTGCGCATATCTGTAAAACGAAAAATAATCATCAAAAAATACTGGGGGAAAGAGAACTGAATCATGTATCTTTTTAGTATGTTCGAATTTCAAAAACTTACTGAGGAAGATATCGATGAGTTTTCCAGATATCTCCCGATGTCTGGGTATGAATAGTGAGAATTGAGCGTCATATGGCAACTCCATTGGTATTTCTAGATTGGGTAATGCGATTTTACGCACAGGTATCACACGGTCAACACCTTTACCGAATCTATTAGATATCACGCCGGATAGATTTTCGTATTTCTTCGGCTGCAAGATATCAAAATTAGTAAACACAACATATTAGCTTGTTGCTAATTATTTAAAAATACCTAATGATAAACAAAATTCAACTCACGTAATATTCATCTGGCAATTGGAAGATAGTCTTTTCACCCTTTTGCAGAAAGCACGGTTCCCGTGGTCGATCGAAGAAAAGCAGTAAGTCATTTTTGGTATTTGCCATGTTTGCAGTAATTTAAACCTGCGTAAAACGATTAACAAATAATAATATTTTCACTTTGTTTTCAGCGCTTTTCTTAAATTACCCTTTTTGCTTATATTTTTATTCTTAACCTTGTACGTAACCTTTTAATGGATGCTACTTGCTTAATACTTTAATAAAGGGTCAGTTGACATTCAATTATTAGAGCACCTTTGACTCAACTATCTCATAACTGTTCAGTCGCGCTTTGATTCCTATGAGCTTATATGGAGGTGTACCACTCGATTTTTAGTTGTGCAACTAAAAAGTTGAATTGGCTGCGAAACAATCGACAATCGCACTGTTCTGCGATAGTTTAGCCAAAGTACATCCGCTCTTAGAACATGTTTACAAGTAATAAATGTCGCTTTCTAAAACAGGGATAAATCAGATTGTAGAACTTACCAGTGGATATTCTAAAAGTAGTTACTCAATAGAAATCACAATTTAACTGCGTATTTGTCGGTTTAATTAAGGTATTTATAGGATATATCTCTTGTTTCCTTAAATATTTCCTCTTTATTGTACGTTCATATAAACATCTTATGTCGGGTTCTGAATATACATTTATAAAATCTATAGTTATAACTAAAAAACTTACATAAAGAAAGTTAAATAAAGTTGTATATCTATTTCTATAAAAACATTAAAGTAATATATGACACTAGTATGTGTGTTTTTTTAAACAGATCTTCCTTAAAAGTATAAAAATTGATTAAATATATATAAAGTAACAAAAGTCAAACCTTTTTTAATAATTGTGTTGAAATGACGTTTTGACTCTGGGGTAATAACGACTTATGTTTTAACTTACTGGACTCTTAGGAGGAGCTTGTAATTAAATGAATACTGAGAATAAAGTTAAAGTTAACTACATTTATAGATTTTTAACATATGTACATTTGTAGCTTAGGGATTCCTAATAAAAACTGTATGAAATAAACAGAATTATCTAAAAGGAAACCATTAAGGGTAATTATAATAGAACTTTATTGAAATAATTACATTTTAATAAATTATTATATTAATACTAGCTTTCGCCCGCGACTCCGTGTGGAATTCAATATAGATCGAAATTACCTTACATAACATTACTGCAAGCGTACTAGGAATTTAATATAATATATTCACTTAAAGTGACGAAACTTAAGATACATACAAGAATCATTATCAAGTTGCATCGAGAGTTAAGTGTAGTCTTAGTATAGAGAAACAAAATAAAACAAACGTTACTAGTTACTGGTTAATATCACGAGTAGGCATTAGAGTAGGCCGGGGTGGGGCGATTGCCCAGGGCGCCGGACTCAAAGGGGCGCAACAGGCGCATAAAGGGGCGTCACAGGTGCCTTTTTCCGTATAGTTTTGTATTGCAGTTTGAGGGCGCCGATATTGCTAAAACTAATTATCAATATCTGTTACAAACAGTCATAATTAATATGTTTTAATTTGTTAGAGGTCACGGAATAACGCGTTTCTCTAAATAACTATATTTCATTACCTTGTTTTATTGTATTCGAGACATATTTTATGCATACGATTCAGAAGTCCCCTAACGACAAAACTCAACAACAAACATTTTTCCTGTTGTCATTTCTATTATTATAAAGAGGAATTTGTAATAAATAACATTAAAACCACTAAATTAAATAATTCATTTTCAACACAATATTATTACCAAAAATGTGTAATGTTAGTAATTAAAGGAGATTAACAAAAATGGCTTAATTTAAGTCCTCTTTACCACCCTTTTCTTATAAGGTGAGGATGGGAAGGGGAAATGGATTTGACGGTGGAGGAGATGTATAGGAAGGGCAATATCCTCTTTATGTGCGTCTCCTCCTCCGTCGGATAAGGGTAGGTATCTGCGATGTCTATGGGCAGCGGTCGCTTCGCCATTTTGGCGGATTCAGGTGGCCGCTTGCTCGTTTGCCATCTTATATTATAAAAAAAAATATGTTCTAGACTTATGACGTCCAGATTGATGAAATGGGCACAAAAGCACTCAAATCCGAACCGTAGATCTAATGAAGGTGAATAAAACGATAGAGATATGTTTAAACTCCATCAGATCTTAAAAATCTAACTGAAAGTATGTGCGATGTAGTGAGGTTTGATTTACTATTGTTGCACTCGTAGTAGTACTATTTTAAGAAAGTTTTATTGATTATAACTTTAGAAAAAAACGCCATCTATTGTAAAACACGATTAACACTGTCACAGCATTGTAAGCAAAATGAAATACCTAATTAAATAGCAACAAACTGAAGACTATACTTTGTAATAATGTTTAAAACCAGTCATACTACTTTCAAAATGTCTCTTTAATATTTTTTCTTAGTTGAATGAGTTTGTAGTTTCAAGGGATAACAATAGGTGGCGCTATACTCAAATTACAAGAGATGCGTTGGAAAGAGCGTTGGTGGCACAATTGTTACACATGAGACATCTTATTTACTGATCTGAGTTCGACCCGCGCTATGTTATTATGTGTTTTACAAAATTATTACATACATTTGTTTGTTGTTTCCGGTGACAGAAAATATTTTGATGTAAACTCATATCTGAAAGCAATTAAAAAACATTTTTGATATTAACCAATGCACTAGACCAGTGTGATTGACAGACACCTAGGCTTAACATAAGGGTTGGCACCTGCCCCTAGGAGACGCGAATGCGCTATTTAGCAGAATAGAGCTTCCATTAATTTTAAGAACCCATTTTTTGTAAACAAATTTATTGATAGTTTGTCTTATAAGATACTTTTTTATATTAGAATAATCGTTTTATAAAGTCTTGTTATGTCGTTACTGACATTCATCTTAAGACCTACTTAAGCTAAACTCCAACTTAAAATCTGTCAAATTAATTCAGGGGAATTGCCGATTCTTCGTTTACTTTTTGATAATTCCATCAATCGGATTCATAATCTTTTATGTGCCGTTCAATTAAGACTAGTCTTTGAAAACAAAAGACGCTATATCTTCAAAAGAATTGTTTCGCGCCATTATTTCTTAACTCGGAACTATACGTACAATGCCGAGAGGCTTTCCAAATGAATTCTCAAAAGACCTTAGATAAAATACACATGCAAGATAACTACAACGTCGCATTGCAGACTTTTTAGTTATGTATTATTTTTAAAAGTTGTGACGTAATTGAATTTAAAAGTAATTTTAATGATCAAAGGGCTCATCACGAACATTCATGAAAACGTATTCGTAACGAAATCGACAAAGACTTTTGCAATACACCAACAAATCTCATAAATTATTTAATAGCGTTACCAATTTTTCTCTCCAATTTTTTAGCTAGGTCCTCAGAATAGTAACAAACTATTAGAAAGTGTCCATTGATTTCCACTGTTTATATATGATTTAAAAACATTATTATTATTATCCTTCTTATTTTCTATAGACATGACAATATTTCAAATATTTCAGTAAACTCAAATGTTATGTACTCGTAAAATGTTCAAAGCCAAGGAATTCTATCTGTAAAATTATCGAACACCGTAACCCCTGGGGAAATCATGGGATGGAGGTGTCCAGTCCCGGGATATCTCTCACACAGAGCTCGGGGGAATTCTGAAACTGAGCTTGTATGTGACGTGTGACGGAATAATTAACTAACCCTGACAGTTTGACATTTGATATAAGCACTAAATATAACCTCAACGTAATTAAACTCTATTCAATTCTACACGCAAATCAGAGTTTTGAATTTTCCTATTAGTGTGTCTGTTTTTTCGTAGGGAAATAGAGTAAGAGGCTTTAAATAACTAAATATTAAGCAGAATTCCTTAAAAATTGACATTTTGGAACTAGTAGTTAACTACATGAGTATTTTTTCAAAATTTTTCATATAAACAACGAGGTTGCAGAAATTAGTCTTAACAAAGCTATAGCGTGGGTTCGTCCCAGAGTTAAACCGTCCAAGTGAAATCTATATCTATACTAATATTACAAAGTGACATATTTGTATTTTTGTATATGTTGAAACAACTCAAAACCTAATGAGTCGATTTCAAAAATTCTTTCACCAATAAAAAGACACGGTAGTTAGTAACATAGGGTATACTTTTCTTTTAAATTTCGGGGACGAACGGAAATGGGAAATAGAGACGAAGTCGCGAACAACAGCTAGTACTCAATAAAGGTGATATTAGGCAGCCGAAATTTATGAATCTACATGTGTATCGCGCTAAATGGACAGATATCCATTTTGTACAGTCCTCCTGTGCCTCTTTGAGTTTGAGTGTGAGTTTTGTTATCGTTAAATGTATGAAACTATTGTGTTGTTTAGAAAAACATACAATTGGTCACACGGAAACACACAAACAATTTAGGATATGAGTACCGCAATGTGATAATGACCGCTTCCTAAGATAGTGCTGTTTGCACGACACTATGCACACGGTCTGTGTTGGGATTCCCTAAACCGATTGATAATAATGAAATTTGGAAATTCATAAAAACAATACTATGATTATTATCAAATATGCTATCAAATGATCTCCTTAAAACATGCTATTAAAGACGACAGACGTGCTTTACAAAATGAGACGAATTTTATAGTAATTAAGTAGATATATTTGTTTAGGCTACTAAACAAATATTTTTAAAAGGTGGTGGGCAACCTTAAGTATGTGATAGAGATAATTTATTCTAATAACTTTTTTTAATTCCATTATTCTATTTAAAAATGCATTCAGAACCCGAGAAATATAACAACAAAATGACCTTGGTAAGGACGTTTTTCCAGCGAAATGCAATTGCATAAATAGTAACAAACCGAACAGTACGAACCAGTCAAGCCGTGATTTTCACGGCTTACGCCCTTACTTCACTTTCATTTTTCCATTCGTTGTAGTCTCTTTTGGTAAGTATATAATTTGATTATAAAATACCAGTATCGCAATATTATAACTAACTTGCTGTTGCTCGCGATTTCATCTGCGTGAAATTAAAAAAATAATAAAATACATAGCCTATGGTACTCATAGTTAAATTTACTAACGATGACAGAATTTTGAAAATCGACGCAGTATGTTTTGAGTTATTTCAATAAATAGTAAAATATAAGCCTTTCCTCTTTATAATATTAGTATATATCTTCTTCTGTAAAAAGTAATTATGTATTTTATATTACCCTCCTATTGATTTTAGTGTACCACTCCTAACGCGCGGAGCCTGGTAATTTATCATAGAAAAGAATATTTTATCCAATTGTTTCTTATCGTAATGTATTCACATGTGTTTATACTTTGAGTTACTTTATTGGAAAGACATTGTAATAATTTTTCAGAAGACGTATCAGCTATCAAAATGAGTGACTCCAAGAAAAATTTGCTTCTATTCTTCGACCGGCCGACAGAGCCGTGCTTTATGCAGAAGGGAGAAGAGAAAACGGTCTTCGACATACCTGACCATTATTACGTAAGTGTTTGTCGACAACTCCTAAGTAGCTTTTTAAGGGTGGACACTCACCTTTTTCAAAACTATCGGACAACGATTGTGCGATTGTCGATTGTTTTGCAGCCAATACAACTGTTTAGTTGCACAACTGAAAATTGAGTAGTGAGCACATCGCCATATAACTCATAGGAAACAAAGCGTGACTAAACAGTTGTGGGATTTTAGTCAAAACTGTGCGGGTTATTAATTTAGACTTTACATATGTATCTACTACTAGCAAATAGCGCGTAGATAATCATATATTCATGCTCTTCGCTATAGTGACATTCAATACTGGTTTTAGCGCTCATCGTAGCCTGGGTGTATTACGACGACCCCTTTTTTAGTAGGATTAATGAAGGTTTCGTCTGATGATGGTGCCGGAGGCCTAACTTTAGTCCCTTTTCCTTCCAACCCTTTTTCTCATAAGGATAGGATGGAAAGGGAATGTGGATTTGACGGTAGAGGAGACGCACAGAAGAGCAAAAATCTTGTTTTTGTGCGTCTCCTGCGACTGAGGGTAGGCAACGCATCCGCTATTGCTAATGTCTATGGTCAGCGGTCGCTTTGCCATTTCGGCCGGATTTAGGTGGCCGCTTGCTCGTTTACTACCTGATAATATAAAAAAATAGGTTTAACAAGCTTATGCGAGAATGTGTAATTTGTATACTTGCAGTTCTATCTGCATCTAGTGGACATTGAATATGATTTACGATGTATCAGACAATAGCGTATATTTGATGTTTTTTTTGTTACAGCCCGAGAAGTACAAGGCATTAAGTAACACATTGTCGAACCGATTCGGGAATGACGCTCGTCACATCCCCGTACGCAACATCGCCTTGCCCAATCTAGACTTGCCTATGCAGCTCAGTTACAGTGAACAATTTTCGCTGTTTGTGCCTAAACATCGCCAGATGGCGGGCAAACTGATTGATATCTTCCTCGGTATGTATTGCTATGTTAATACTGTTATTGGATCTTTTTCTAATAGTAGTTTAGCCGTTAGCTTAACAATTATATAATTTAGTAATGGTACTTTCTCGGGTAATTCGCAACCATTACTCTCTTTACAGTCAACTCGTTTTCTACCTGCGATTATCATGATAGTTATTAAAATGGGTTGTAAAATGGCTATTCTTTTACGTAAGGCTGTGACAGTTTACTAAAAAGACCTAATTAATGTTTTTCCCCTCTGCCCGTGGACGGGGCCTTAGGTATATAAATAGTAGTTAATAATTGATTTCTTTGCAGGAATGCGCAATGTGGACGACTTAATATCTGTCTGCTCTTACTGTCAGCTTCGCATTAACCCCTACATGTTCAACTATTGCCTCTCTGTTGCTCTGTTGCACAGGTCAGTATTAGTTATATTTAGTAGTTATAACAACTCATTGCCTTTGCCGGACAAAACTTGTAATCTAACTTTCATATTATCTGATTTCCATTAAGAAAACCATTTATTGAAGTAGAAATCTGTATTCTTTAGCGGATTTAAAAACGTTTTACAAACTGATGCGATTTGTCTCAACGGTTTAGTTTTTCAAACAATACTTTTTATTTTATTACAGACCCGATACAAAGGGATTGAATATCCCGACTATTACTGAGATTTTCCCGGATAAGTTTGTGGACCCAAAAGTGTTCCGCCGCGCGCGAGAGGTCGCCACTGTTGTGACATCTGGTCCTAGGGTAGGTATCTCCTTTCATCTTCTTTCATTTGTGTCATCTAGTTTTTTTTTAATTATTTCATCATTCATGTTATTTTCAATGTCATGCAAAGTAATTTCGAAACTATAGTCCCGTATGATTTAGAACTGCATGTTGGAATACAGAATGATATTGTATGAAAATTTCATTTCTAGTTTTACAAACATGTTTCCAAACTCGTCGCACAATACTGCTTTTGTTTTAACAACGTCAAGTTTTATTTTTTATCAGACTATAGCAACAATTACTGGTTCATTTATCTTACGTGTGTGACGTATACGTTAAGTGATCACGATTTTAACATGGTATTTGTTTATCTGGTCTAATATGTGACTTTTAATTAACAGTTGCCGATCGTATTGCCACAAAACTACACGGCATCTGACGCAGAGCCGGAACAGCGTTTGGCGTACTTCCGCGAGGACGTCGGCATCAACCTCCACCACTGGCATTGGCATCTCGTGTACCCATTCGAGTCTGCTGACCGTGCTATCGTTGCGAAAGACAGGCGTGGAGAGCTGCTTTACTATATGCACCAGCAGATCATTGCCAGGTGATTTTCTTTTATTTTAGAAAGTCAATAAAGTTGAAAATTTACTTCTATAATCACAGGAAGATCCAGACAAATTTGTAAAATGTGTTTTTAACCTGTTTGTATGGGGGATTGTCAAAAAATAATGCACAGAACAAGAAGAGAATTATCTTCAAACCTTTAGCAAGCAAACCTAAAGATATTTGGGTTGAAACAGTTACGAATAACAACCAAAAGCATTGCTTTCTTTACTCATCTCTGTCTTTTTATCCCACTCATGAGAAACTACGAAATTGCGTAAGAAAGGTGTTCTTACGCAATTTCGTAGTTTCTCATTAATATTATAATCATTTTTCAGATACAACATCGAGCGTTTCTGTAACAAGTTGCCTCGCGTCGTACCTTATGGTTCCGATTTAAGAGAGAATATCAAAGAGGCTTACTTCCCCAAACTTGATTCTCAAGTCGCCAGCAGAGCTTGGCCTCCGAGGTAAGGAACAGTTATTAACGCGCTTAGTGCTGACTCGTGTGCCAAGTTTACTTTCATTCAAATTTATCGTAGTGGATTGGAATGTGTTTGATTTATTTTATAATGATTTACACAAGGAGTCTTCTTACTACGAGTATAAAAAAGCTTTGGATATTGTAATACCTAAGTAAAATTTTAAAATAAAAATAAAATGTTTCTTTTAAGGTTCGAATTTTCGTCCATCCAAGATCTTGACAGACCCGTGGATCTAATCAAGATTGATATCTCAGAGATGGAAACGTGGAGGTCACGCATTCTTGAAGCAATCGACAGCAATTCCATTCTTTTAGTAAGTCTACTGCGACTGAAACTATTCTATCTACTATTTGATGAACAAAATGTAATATGAAATATATTTTTAGCCAAATGGACGTCGAATGCCACTTGACGAAGAGAAGGGCATTGATATTCTCGGAGATCTGATGGAGGCGTCAATGCTCAGTCTAAATCGCGCGTACTACGGCGACTTGCATAACATGGGCCATATCTTCACGTCCTATGCTCATGACCCTGATCATCGTAACTTGGTGAGAATTAATGAGACATATACGTCTGATAAAAGACCTGAAACATTTCAATCGAATTAATTCTTCCTACAAAAGTATTAGGACTTTTAATTTATTGAATTACATGAAATTTTAGGAACAATTCGGTGTGATGGGTGATCCGTCTACGACGATGCGTGATCCCCTGTTCTACAGATGGCACTGTTTTGTTGACGATGTCTTCGTCTTGTACAAGAACAAACTCCCACCTTACGGCGATGATAAGGTAGTATTGTCAGGATTTAGCTGGTGCAGTTAAGGGTCCCAGTTGAAATACCTAACTTAAATTTTGTGTTTAGTTGGATTTCCCGGGTATTCGCGTGTCATCTTTATCAGTAGAAGGCAAGGCTGGAAGGAATACGTTTGGGACACAATGGGAGCAGAGTACGGTGGAGCTGGGACGTGGACTGGACTTTACTCCTCGAGGCAGTGTGTTGGCGCGTTTCACTCATCTACAACATGAAGAGTTCGATTATGTGTAAGAATATCAATGTTACATTATATCCTAGTATATTATACTCTTTGATTGTAACGTATTAAAGTCTAATCATCGTGTGTTTTCCATGTTACTTCCAGTATCGAGGTAGACAACTCATCTGGACAAGCTGCAATGGGAACCGTGCGTATCTTCATGGCACCAATCGCTGACGAGTCAGGAAATAGGTTCCCCTTCAACGAACAAAGGAAACTCATGATCGAACTGGACAAGTTCTCGCAAGGCTGTAAGTGATGTCACAAATTTCTAAACGTTGATGAAGTATTTTTATGCAAGCCTGAGAACTACTACAGTGCATAGTGAATCATTTTATAAAAGTAACGTGTAATTTTATTTAAACACAGAAGGCATTATGTTTTGTTGGTTTCAGTACGTCCAGGAAAGAACACAATACGTCGTCGCAGCGTAGACTCCTCTGTGACTATACCATTCGAGCGCACATTCATGAACCAGAACAGTAGACCTGGTGAACCTGGCTCAGCGCAGGCAGCTGAGTTCGACTTCTGCGGTTGCGGCTGGCCACACCACATGCTGCTGCCCAAGGGCGACAACAACGGATACCCCATGCAACTCTTTGTTATGGTGTCAAACTGGGCTGAAGATGGCGTAAGTCTTTTTATTGTCTGTATTTTTGGTCTAACTAAATCGCATAACTAATTAATATATCGATTAGAAAACAATTGAATACCAGTTTTTAGTAACTAAATTATGATTCCAGATTAACCAAGATCTTGTTGGATCTTGCAACGATGCTGCCTCGTACTGCGGTATTAGAGACCGCAAGTACCCTGACAGGCGCGCTATGGGCTTCCCCTTCGATAGGCCTGTGCCTACAGGAGTACGGACCGTCAACGACTTTTTGAGGCCCAACATGGCGATCACAGACTGCAAGATACGCTTCACTGATGCAGTCAGAGTAAGAGGTGGACAATGAGTCAACTAGAGTCGATGTTGTAAACGGCAATGGCGAGGAAAAATGGATAATTTAGATGTAATGGGTCAATTAATTTTAATAAAGCTCTGTAAATATTTGTACATTGTTAATACTTTATGATTCATAAGACTGAATAAATCTAATCTTTCACCAAATGTTTTTTATTTTATTATCTTTATCGACATGATTGTAAAACATTTTGATAAGTTCGATTGCTTGTAACTGACAAACTCAAAAATTTGTGCACTTTTAAAAGCACTTTAATAGGGGAATAACTTGTAAGTTATGTTATTACTATTTAGTATACAATAGTATGGATCGTTCACAACAACGGGATAGGACTGAACTTAAAGTACAAGTTAGCTTTGATTGGATTTACTTGACTGTTTGAAAATAATTTATACATCTCTTGTGAGAAATAATTTTTGGCTACAATAAATCTCAAAAGACATTAAGATAACTAAGATATTATGCCTTGAAGTGTAATTGTTGATTATTACAAGTAGTTACTTTATAAACTATGTGGTATGGGTGCTTTGTGAGAGGATGGAGAGAAGACCTACATCTACGAAAACATGTGCGTCTTTCAAGAATTTTTCAATATCTCTTAGTACTCTCGGTAGGTACTGTGTCACTGTAAACAGTCTTGATACAACTTTTGGAGTGATTTTTTATATATCATTCAGTTACTTAAAGTAATAACTAATTCAATTATTTAAAACGTAACGTATCGACTTATAGAAACAATACGTATTTACTAATAATAAGATATGATTAAAACACATCTTGGTTGAATCGTCGCTACCGAACACATCAATAATTGTGCAGAGCACTTGTATCTTATAATTCACTTTCCTAATGATCAAAAATATTAATCTTACATAATTCTTCAAGAGATTGATAACACAAACGTATAAAATATGATTTTTCTTTCGAATTTGGTATTCAGATTCCATCATGGCGCTAAATAAGGTGAGAGTAAGAATCTTATGTTTGTAAGCCTATTGAAGAAACTCGATATATAATCGTTGTTATGAAACTAATAAATTGTTTATTATTTCAGGTTGTTGTCTTGATTATCGCAGTGTGCATCGGCATGACTATAGTACAAGTTCAATCAGCTGATGAACCCTCATCTGAACAAGAGGAAGCTTCATCTGACGAACAAGAGGAACTTCCATCTGAAGAACAAGAGGAACTTCCATCTGACGAACAAAAGGAACCTTCATCTGACGAACTAGATGAATCTGCATCTGACGAATCAGATGAACCTTCAGCTCCAGCGAGTTTTGAGGAATATATTATAGAAACGGTATATTATATGCCGTCATATCTAACGTCGCGACGTAATCCTCGTATCATTTGTTAATGAATCATAAATTAACTAATTGAAATAAAATCTTTGCGCCTTACGTTGTTGATTTTTTTATGGTACTAATGTGATTTAGTTTATATATGGATAACATTCGTACTTCGCAGTTTACTGTGAGCTCTTCTAGATAAATATTTAACGTACATGTAAAACTTTTTGTTACACCAAATGCAAGAATGTCAAATTCTGTAAATGGGCCTTGATCATCATAAATAGTGTTCTAATTAAATTGATTTTAATTTGTACAAGATCTACATACATAATACGTTTTAATTGTGTGTTTAGTTGGACTTCCCGGGTATTCGCGTGACGTCGTTATCAGTAGAAGGCAAGATACACGTACGGGATAATTGTGTCCCATATAGTGTTCCTTGACAGGGAACATAGCACGAGTAAATCTTATCTTTTACCAAATGTATTTATTTTATTTTGTTTTTTGACATGACTATTAAAAAATGGTAAACTCGATTGCTTGTTTTCAAAGACTCAAAAGTTAGCCCTTTTAAAAGCACTATAATCGGGAAGTAACGGTTGTAAGTTATGCTATTCACGAACTTACGAACATTGTAATTGTAAAAACCACGACAGGTTAAAGTTACATATGTTATTATTATTTATTAATAGTCTCGATCTAGATATAAAATTGTATTATTCAAAACTGTGGATGTTCACCAACATCGGAAACAACATGATAGAACTCAAATTTAACTACAAGTTAACTTTGCTTTGATTGTATTTACTTGGTTGTTTGAAAATAATTTATGGGTCTCTAGTGAGAATTAATTTTAGTCCACAATTAATCTCTGAAGTCATTAGGAAAGACTGATATATCAAGATATTATCCCATGAAGTGTAATTATTTGCTTATAAAACCTATTTAAAGCCAAATTCCTCTAGATACTAATTCTTCATCTTATTAATATTATAAATGAGAAAATTTAAATGAACGATGTCCAATCCATCGTTCATTTAAATTTTGCTGAACGGATCTCGATGAAATTTGGCGTAGATGTAGAGCATAATCTGAACACAGGCAGATTGACGAAAACTAGTAAGATTTATAAGTATTATAGTATGTTATGTCGTAATCTATAGCTATACTAATATTATAAAGAGGAAAGATTTGATTTTTGTTATCATCAACTTGCCCTTATCCCTTATGGAGGGTCTGCACAGTATGTGTTACTCTTCCATACATCTCTATCAGCCGTCATATCTGTATTGAAATAACATAAAAACTGCTGGGCCGCTTTCGAAAATTCTTTCACCTTCAAAAAACTACGTTATCCCTGAGTAACATATATTATTTATTATCTTTTATTTTCACGCGGACGATGTCGCGAGAAACAACTAATAACCCTATAAAAAAGCTAGCAACAGCGATTATTTATCCACGGATGTATAGTTTTAAAAACAATTTTCGGTATGGGCGCTTTGCAACGGGATGGAAAGATGGCCTACATCAGCCGTTTTGGGCTCGCTTTGCTCCATTCGCAGCCTGCCTACGATTACATGAATGCGATGCGATACTTGTCTTTTAAGAATCTTTCAACACCATGATCTCACATTACAGTCTTCAATGTTTTATATTAGCGTGACATATTTGATTAGTCACATAAAGTAGTAACTAATGCAATTAACGCACACGAAACGCAATGACTTCAAAGAAACAATACGTATTGACTTATCAATTTTATATCTTGTGGTTGAATTATCGCTTCCCAACACTTACAATAATTGTAGAGAGCACTTTCCTAATGGTCAAAAATATTAATTTCACATATTTCTCCAAGAGATTGATAACACAAACGTATAAAACATGAACTTTCTCTCGAATTTGGTATTCAGATCCAATCATGGCTCTAAGTAAGGTGAGTTTACAAAAAATATATTTATAAAATATTGTGTATGTACTCGTACTGTCAGCCTTATTATTAAACTAAGAAATTGTTTATTATTTCAGGTTGTTGTCTTGATTATCGCACTGTGCATCGGCATGACTATAGTACAAGTTCAATCAGCTGATGAACCATCACCTTCTGAACCAGAGCAAGCATCACCTTCTGAAACAGAGCCATCTTCACCTTCCGAAACAGAGGCAACATCACCTTCTGAAACAAAGCCATCTTCACCTTCCGAAACAGAGGCAACATCACCTTCTGAAACAGAGGCAACTTCACCTTCCGAAACAGAGGCAACTTCACCTTCCGAAACAGAGAAACCTACAACTACCAAACCAAAAAACACTACGACTCCTAAATCAAAAAAAACTACAACACCCAAACAGAAGTCTAAGAATAAAACGACAACTACTCCACGATCACGGACATCCGCTCCAGCGAGTTCTGAGGAAGTTGTAATCGAAACAGTTTATTATATACCATCATATCGAACGTCACGACGTGATCCCTGTGGTTTTTGATAATGAATCACAGATGTGCATATATTTTATTTAAATAATTAAAATAAAAACTTTGCAATTCACGTTGTTGTTTATTTTCTTTTAGATAAAAATGAATGAAGAAGAACACAACTGCGAAGTATGAAGAATATTCACACTTCGCAGTTGTGATACTGTGATTTCTTCCAGGTAAATATTTAGTCTTTGGCCTCGCTTTGATTCCTTTGAGCTTATATGGAGGTGCGCACACTACTCGATTTTTAGTTGTGCAGCTAAACAGATGAATTGGCTGCGAAACAATCGACTATCGCACAACTGTTATGCAATTGTTTAGTCACAGGGGTGCCAGCCCTAAATGTAAGAATGTCAAATGTTTATACTAAAGTCTTTCAAATACAATTCAAATGAGATTCAAAAATAGAACATCTGTCACCATTGTGAATTATTCACGTTAGTTGCAGATGCACTGCGGTGTTATTGACGATTGGGAAAAAACGTAAGAGCAATGTTAATATCACAGAGATTTCGAAATGTTTCTTATATTATGCTAGCTTTTGCCAGCGACTCCATCATTGGCATTTAAAAAAACAACACAAGTGTGCCAAATTTTCTTTGAGCAGTTACGGAGATACCTTTTAACAAACATACATGTATCTAAACATTCGCTTTTGTAATAGTAAAAAGATTATTAGAAACACTAATATATCCCCAAAAAATATTTTTGAAAGTGAGTCTGCTGCAACGTCTAGAAGGGACAGTGGATTTGTCGAAGTATGGGACGCATGGGATGGATATGGAGGAAGTTTGAGAGTAGCCTCAGTGGTAGAGAAGGTAAGGAGTAAGAGTATGGTATGGGCATGTTATGGAGGAGGGATGAATCGCATGTAACAAGGAGAACGTTAGTTATGAGTGTGGAAGGATACACCGTTAAAGGTAGACCTAGAGAAATATGGATGGATTGAGTGAAAGGTGACATGATCAAAAAGGGAGTGATGACTGAGATGACGTATGATAGAGTTATTTTTAGGACAAAAACCTGTTGTGCCGATCTTACGGGAGTATGATAAGGACGATGAAGATGATGGGATGGACATGGCCAGCGGTCGATTCGCTATTCTGGTAAGATAAGTAAGTTACAATTATAACTCCATTTGTTTTTTAATGATTGTGTACCTCAAAACTATCTATATGACACTAGATAAAATTAATGTTTTGTAGTAATAATCATTTAAATGTAGTTAAACCCTCGTAACTTGTTTAATTACCTAATCGTATAGCGATCATATAAGAATAATCTGAAATGCAATTAAATCAATAAAACATCGCATCTTATAAAAATCAAAGTTGATTGAATTCTATTTTATTCAATATTTTGTTCTCTT